GACGCAGAAGGATTGGGTGGCAAAGCTGCCTGGAATCGAGTTTGCGATCAACTCGGCGCGCTCGGAGTCCACTGGGTACGCACCTTTCTTTCTGGACACTGGCCGCATGCCGCGCTCGTTCATCTGGGACGATCCGTCTCGTTCGGAATACCCTGGAGTGCGCGCATATGCCCAGCGCATGAAGAATGCAGTCATGGCCGCGCACGATAGCCTGATTGCGGCACGGGTAAAGCAAGTGCGCGATGCGAACCGCAAGAGGCGGCCCGCACCGTTCGCGGAAGGAGATCTGGTGTATGTTTCCACCAAGAACATCTCGCTGCCGAAGGGGTACGCACGGAAATTAGCCCCTAAGTTCATAGGGCCGTATCGTGTGCTCACCGACTTCGGGAATCACTCCTATCGGGTGGACCTCCCAGCTGACTTGAAACAGCGAGGGATTCACAACGTGTTCCACGCATCACTGCTCCGGGTGCATGAACCCAACGACGACCGGCTCTTCCCTGGCCGGCTCGTCAGTCAGGTTGCCGATCTTGAGGAATCGGAGGGCGAGTGGGCCATCGAGAGGATCTTGGCGCATAAGGGGCGCGGGACCGACGCATTGTTTGAGACGCTGTGGAAGTCGGGGGACCGCACATGGGTGCCCCTGTCAGCCATCGGACATCTCGGGGTACTCAAGGACTACCTTACCGTTATGGGTATCTCCTCTGTTGTGGAGCTGCCTGACGGTCAGGGGGTGCCCCCGTCGGATGACCCTCAAGTGTACTTGGGGATGGTGGGAGTGGGCGAGGAAGAGAGCGGACAAAAGGCGGGCGGCGCAGCTCCTTGCGCGCTCCTTGCCCCGCTTCTCGCATATCTCGCGCTCCTGCTTCTAATTCTCATCACTATTCCCCTCCCGCTCATTCACTCCCTCTCGCATTTCCATCCCATCCTCTCCACCATGGCCCCCACGCACACCTCCGGACGCTTCTTCCACCGCGCCATTCGTCGACTTCACGGAGGCGATGACATCATCCTCAACGCCGACGAAGGGACCGGCCAACGCTACCGGGTCACGGCAGTCCAAGCGCGGACTTTCAGCGTCTTCGACGAGCTTCTTCGCGGGCGTGGTTTCGACGCCGACAAAGACCTCATTCCGTTCGGCTACCACGTCTGGGCGGCGGCCTTCAACGCCCTCCCGGACACCGACTACAAGTATTGCATCATATCGCCTACCGACAACTCCGTCACGTGCCTCGGCGTCCACCTCCCTCCCGAGTTCCTGTGTCCATTCGCATCCGCTACCCCCTCCGCACCCACCGAGCTCTCTTCCGAATGCTTGGGACTGGTCCAGGACATGCTCTGGGACCAGGCGAAGCGGTCGCAGCGCGATAAAGAGCGCATCGCGGAACGGATCACCACTCGCGCGGAGAAGCGGAAGCTGCGCGAGGACGTCACGGGCTCGGGCGACGCTCCAGTCGGGAAGCGCGCTAAGTCCGAGAAGCGCGACAAGCACTACAAGCGTGTAGACGATACCCCCGCTCCCGAGGGCTCGCGCGGCGACTCTCCACCTCCTTACCCTGGCGCTGTGCGCGGGCCGGACAACCTGTGGCAGTACCCGGACGAGCCGGTAGAGGGCGCTTCGGCTGCGTCAGGTTCGGGGTCGACCACGAAGGTGTCGAAGAAGTCGAAGAAGACTACGTCCAACCCTGACGCTATGGAGCAGGAGTAGGATATCGCGCGTTCAGCGATATCCGGAGGGCGTATGTAGCGCGGACCTGTCGGGTCTGCCTACTTTCCGTTTCCGATTGCGTTCCTCCCGTCACGGCCACTGACTCTGATTATTCCGATATGTCACACATACACTGTCTCTACCTGTTCCGTCCGTACGACTCCAGCCTCCTCCGTAGTGGCGTTGCGCACGGACCTCTCTCGTCGCCTATATAGTCTGGCAGTCATGTTGTAGAGTGGGCAGCACGCTCTCGAGATAAAGCAGTCCTGCAACCTGTCTTTCCTCTGCGTGACTTTTCCCATCACCTTGTTACCTTGGCGCTCCCACGGGGGCACTGCGGTTACACTCGCTTTTCACTACAACCACACTTCTGGCCCACCTTGCACATGTCCACTGATTCTCAACCGTTTTTCAAGGTCTCTTCTGCGTTGGATAGCTAAGATGTACCCCGTTCTAATCCATGTTTTTGCATTCTAATCGGAGCACATGTCGTCCCAGGATACCGTATGTCATAAAATAATGACATATGATCCCTCACATGCATATCATCACCGATAAGCGTGTAAACTCCGATCTGAGCACCTCAATAGTATCCAGGTGTGATTCAGCAAACAGCTCGTTGATATCATGTCTGCACATGAACTTATACATGTCGTATTTTCTCAGAACTTCCACTTTCCACACATATCTTGTATCTTCACCAAGTATCCTGATTTCTGTGCGCTCTCTTCTGCATTGCATTCAGAATATTGTATGTGAATATATCTAGGCGTCCGAAATGTGATACACTCTCATCCCATGTATGTGTGTGGTATGTCATTTTAAAATATCATACCACATTATCCCCTCAATTTTGCAGCTACTGCCTTCCAAATTTGCAAACCAACAGCTCTTTCATGCTACTCTCTGATTCAGAAAACATCTGGGTGAATTACCATCTACACATGCTGCTGTGGGGGGTGACTTCCTAGGGAGAAGGTGTCCAGTACAGGTAGACCAACTCATATCAATATGCTGCAGTGTGCAGCACTGCATTCATATGTGATGTAAAGTTTCATTCCAAGAAAAATGAGGGAGACTGAGGGGGTTGATAGTGTATACAGTATAGGTCAGGTCAAACAGGTGCTGAGCACCAAAATATAAACATCATGGAAGGCACAGATCACAATGTGTAAGGTGGCGTTAAAACGAGGGGATGTATGCTAACCTATGCACCAAAACGCACGCCAAACGGAAATGGAACGGGCAAGATGTGAGGGCGAGACTGGGGGAGGCAGGAGGAGGGGGCAAGGCAAGCTGAACATACACATATCTTGCCATACATGACGCAAATCTCTTCCGACTGCTGCATCCAAGCGCGCGATCGAAAGGGATTGATGACGCGCGACGAATGAACTCATCCACGTCTTCTTAGGTGGCGAAGTGGGCGAGATCGAGGATTGGGAAGATAGGAAGGGAGTGCTGATTGCAGGCGGTCTTGCACAGCGCACAGCGGGCGAACGAGTGCGGCGGGCGAGACGAAGGCGAGCGCGTTTGAAAGGGATTAATGAGGGCAATATGAGCTCCGATTTTCAGCGCGATCGGAGCGAAACTGGGAAAGCGGCGCATTGAGTCCAAGCCTGAGGATGGCTGGAGGCGGTGTGGAGAGAGCAAGTGGTTGCTGCGGGTGAACGGCTGCGCGTTTTCGCGGCGTCGAGGGCGCGTTATATGCGTGGTAATTAGGGGAGCACGCATACCAAAATGCGTGCGGAACGAACGGGATATGTGGCCGTGGTGCTCAAGATCGCGGGGGTTGAGGAAGATGCAGATTGGGCGAAAAGGCGGCAATGCGGCAGCTGTCATGGGCAATTGGCTAGGCGTACCAGCGCGCGCAAAGGTGCATCGGAACGGCCTTGAAGAGGGGAAGAGAACGAACCTAACCGAGCTCTGAACCGTCAAGAGACGGGAGCATCAAGTAGGTGATGTGGGGGGCGATCTTCTGTCGCACAAGACGACGCGCAGCGGGACGACGACGGGTCGCGTCGTGAAACGGGGCGGCTCGTTGGAAAGAGGGTAGAAACGCGCACAAAACAAGCCCAAGATGACGTCGAACGGCGGAGAACTTGGAGGGGGGCAAGGTAATGAGGGTGCGGGCTCGGAGTGCTATGCGCGACCAAGAACGGGCGCTCGGAGAGTATACAGCCATCAAACGCGGGCGCTCGGAGAGCATACAGCCATCAAACGCGGGCGCTCGGAGTGCCTATGCCCATCAAACACGCGTGCTCGGAGTGCCTATGCCCATCAAACACGCGCGCTCGGAGTGCCTATGCCCACCAAACGCGGGCGCTCGGGGTATACAGCTATCAAACGCGGGCGCTCGGAGTGCCTATGCCCATGGCACCAGGCAGTTGGGTGCTCAGAGTGCATCTGCCCATGGAAGTTAGGTGCTTGGGGGGTATACAGCCATCAAACATGAGTGCTCAGACTTGTGTGTATGGGAACAGTATATAAAGGTGACAGTGGCGGGTGATCGGAGTCTGTAGTAGGTGCATGCTGAAGCTTGTAACCAGACAGGTGAAGCAGGCCATAACAGAGCGTGTTTGTATACTGCGTGTATACATGAGGATGGGTGCTCAGTATATATGCGTAAAGGTGTGCAGGTGCAGGCTGGTGTATACCTCAGACAAGATGACTAACAATGCAGGCTAAATGCATATATAAATTAGTAGCTACAGTGGCAATACATAGAATAAGCGCTGCACTCATATGGGTGGCAGCCTAGGTAACGTACTCATATGAGCAGCATCCCAAGTGACAGACTCATACGAGTGGTAGCCCAAGCAACAGCCTCATATGAGTGGCAGCCCAAGTGACAGGCTCATATGAGCGGTAGCCCAAGCAACAAGCTCATATAGGTGGCAGTCCAGACTACATGATAATAAAGCAGTGATAGTAGTAACATAGTAACAATACTATAGACAGGCAATGAAAGGCGGCTTATACAGGTGGCTGTGCACTCATATGAGTGGGAATTCAGGCTACAGAGCGCCCACTCATATGAGTCCACCCGAGCGGTATTCCCGGGCTACAGTGTCAAAAATATGAGTGGCATCCCTGGGCTACAGGGACGGCACCCAGTGCTAGTCAAGTCGGCCAGCAGTGCTACCGCGTCAGGATCTTTGATCCAGGCCGCCAAGAAGCGCATGTCGCCCTCCCAGGACGTCGATGTTGTCCACAGGTGATGGATACCCGGGTACGCACTCTGCAGCTCCTCCAAAACAGCCTCCCTTCTCTCCACCAGATCCTCATTCGCACATCTCAGTAAGAGATGGCGCTCTGTTTCCACCCACCCCTCGGCACAGAACCTACAGACCCGACTATGGTAAGGGATGATGTCCGGGCGCTTTTTCGTCTTATGCCGTCCCTTTTCTACCATGTACGGGTGGCATGCCGTTAGCAGACGCAGAATCGTCATGCGCTGCGATCGGGGAAGACAGAGGTACAGCTTGGTGGTGCACAGGGCAGAGAGTGGGGGGTTGTCCCTGTACGACGGCAGGAGCACAAGCCTCCACAGAGTGAGGCGCCTTGTTGCACGTACAGGTGGGTTCAGAGGGCGCCTTGGATTGCGTCATCGACCGCGTCGCACCGTTCCGCAGAGGGGGAGTCGCGCGCTGCTCGTCATTGCCACGTGAGCATGCAAGGCTCTGTCTGGAGTAGGCTCAGTCGTCTCGGGACTCACCGCCGTGGGCAGCCTATGCAACGACCACAGGAAATCAGACCACCAGGTGGGGGAGCCAGCAATCGCGAGCTCGCGTGCGGTGTCCAACGCCAACTTGGGCAGTACTGCGGGGCCCAGCGCCACTGACCGGAGGAAACGCGCCGCGATTAAGATTCCGGTCGACACGAACAGGGGCACCAGCGGGGATACGTTGGACAGTCCGAGGGTCCTGCACAGGAACGTGTGGAGGACTGCATTGAGCTCCGCGAGGTCACTGGGCCGCGCAACCGGGTCGAGCGCAGCGCCTGCAATGAGGTGATGGTCAATGTGGGCATAGTATAGGGAGCGCACGATGAGCGGTGGAAGGTCCCTGAGCGTCGTCGCCAGCGCGAGGCACGCGTTCGCCTTTGTCACCTCCTCAAGAGAGGAGCGAAGTAGGAGGAGAGACCCTGACAGGCCCGTCAGCGTCTGCACACCCCAGAATGAAGAGGGCAGGGGCCCATAGCAGGCCGCGCAATCGCGCAGGCCGCGCCATTCGCGGCGGCGGCGCCCCACACAGGATATGGACTGAGAGGTGCAGCGCATACAGCGTGGAGATAAGTGTCGGGGCGCGAAGCGAAGCCCACGGAAGCTACTACACGAGAAATTGGCCCAAAAAAAAGGGGGCGCACAATCAAGGAGACGGGGCGAGGCGAGGCCGCCGAGGGCACGATACGAAGCCCTCTGCAGCTGTACAAGACCTCGGGGCGCGATACGAAGCCCCAAGGACATGCGCAAGTTGGGAGACAAGATGAGACGAGACGAGCGAGACGGCCGAGGGCGCGATACGAAGCCCTCTGCCGCTGCACAGAAACCCAGGGCGCGGTACGAAGCCCCACGGACACACGCAAGTAGGGAGACGAGACTGCGGGAGGCGATGACGGCGCACGAGTCCAAAGTCCAGACGAGTCCGCAGTCCGTAGTTGGCAAAGGACATGGGCGTGAACACTTGGCGCGGCGAACACCCTCAGGTGGCTGGTGCTGTCTGCTGATATAAGCACCGTCGTCAGATCCGATATTTGCGGAGCACCCCTTTCAAGCGCCAAACATAGTGAGGTTTGAACTTCGCACACCCATCGTTCGGCCACCTGCACAGCGAGACAACTGAGGGAAGCGGGACTGCGAAGGCAGAGTTGGAAGTAGACTTGGGAAGATGATGGTAGTAGCTTACAAAAATGTGCTCCAATTACATCTACAAGTTAAGTCTCCTCTGAGTCCGACTGATCCAAGCCAGCGTCTACACTGCTACTAACTATGTCTATCCTCGGTAACAAAGCACTAGCAATGGCGGAAATATCGAGCTCGGCATCTTCGCTTAACAACCGAACAAGTCTACCAATGTCATGACGGAGCAGCCCATCGCGTATACCAGTCGATTCCCGGTCCGTTGCGTCCCACAAGTCCGAGATCATCTCGAGCGCGCCCTCCGCGAGGACCGCAGGCGAGTGCTGGGTGCTCCGATCCACCAAAAGCATCTGGCCGTATCGCTCGCTCAAAAGCTCCTCCCATCAGGAAAACCTTAACCAGCTAATTAGCTCTAGGTCATCTAAAATAGCGCTAATTAGCTGACTAGATGTGGATAGTTCATTAGTGCTAATTATTTTACCCCTGAACTAATTAGATCACTAGCCCCATTATCTACTGGGTAGATGGGTGATTAGAGCACCTAGCTCTGAAGTAGACGGCTGAATAGAGTGCCTAGCTGCAAGTTAGATAGACAGATAGAGCAACTGTAGGTTTGGTCACACAAGCGTATAGGAGAGTCAAACAAATTTATATTTATCATGCTACAACGTACAAAGTAGACTACAAGCAACGACACGGGCACTACTTATGGAGGAATACAGCCTCTCCACATGTGCCCAGTGCGGACGACATGGGCGATACAAGGGCGGGGCAGGCGGCACAGGTGACGTGGGCGAGTCGAGAGCGAACCGGGCAAGCGGGCGAGGTGGACGATGTGGGCGATGTGGATGAGAGGCAGGTGATGCGGCAGCGAACGGGGCGATGTGCGGGAGATGCCCAAACCGGGCGCGATACGGTGAGGCGGGAGATGCGGGTTTGGACGTGGGTGACATAGGCGATGTGGGCGAACGGGCGTCGGTTTGGCCGTGAGCTTAAACAAGCGTGTGAGCGACTGCACGGTGAGATGAGATTGACGTGTGCGAGGGGGCTGCTTACCTGGACGAGCGTGGGGGTGATGGAGGCACTGGAGCTTGCGCACGTGTTCAGACGGCGTCTTCCTCCATGTCGTGATCGGGCACCGTCCTCAGGGCTGACGTTGTCCTTCGTGTACGTGCAGCGCATCTAGCGCATCTGCGCGTGGATATCGCACTTGCCTGTGGGAGCGTGAGGCAGCGTCAGCGTCAGCGTGGGGCGCGCGATAGCGGAGACGGAGTTGTAGTACTCACAGATGGTCAGCCGAGCGGGGTAGGTGACGCAGGCGAGAGGCGGCGACGGCGTGGGCGAGGTGGTAATATGGGGGATTCCAACGTCAGTGGTGCGCGTGCGTGTGAGGAGGGGTCAGGAATTGCATGGCAGAGTGGATGCATGGGGCACTTACTGTTACGGTCAGGGTCACGCCCACGTTCGTGAGACGCGCGGGAGATGGGCGAAGCGGCGACCATCCTCGGCTGCAGGAGGGCAATGAGCGGGGCAGTAGACGTGGGCGAGGTGAGCGAGATGGGTGACGTACGACACGAGAGCGAGGCAGGTGAAGTGGGCGACGTGGCGACGTGGATAACGCGGGTGCGGACGGGCGAGAGCAAGACGGGCGAGGGCAGGACGGGTGAGAGAGAGGTGGGCGAGAGGTGGGCGAGATGGGTGAGGCAGGTGAGACGAGCGCGTGCAAGATGAGCGAGATCCGGGGTGACGCGAGCGAGGTGGACGACACAGGTGAGATGGACGAGGACCCAGGGGGTTGAGACGGGACAAGTGGACGAGACGGACAAGGCGGGCGAGGCGTGGGGCGCAGGCGAGACGGGTAAAGCTTCAAGTCGGCGACGCGGATGACGCGGATTGACATGGGTAAGGTGGCGGGGAGGGAGAGAGCAGAACGGGCGAGGGCGAGACGGGCGATGACGAGACGGGCAAGGGGAGGCCAGAGGACGACGAGGACGATGAGGACGACGACAACGAGAGTGCTGGCAGTGCCAAGCGCTGGAGTCCACGCGACGTGCATCGTTTCCCACGTGTCTGGACCTGCCAGCGCGTCTTTCCCTTCGTCCACTAGTACCCCGTCCTCCTCGTCCTTCCCGTCCTCCACATCCTCCCCGTCTTTTCCTCCTGGCGCAACATCCTCGATGAACAAGCCAACGCTCTCCTCACCTGCCGCTTCCTCGATGAGCTGTTGCGGGCCCCTAGGTTTTGGTGAGTCTCCCGTTGTGTGGCACTCGTCCCCATTGTCCTCATCGCCTTCTTGCTTTCCAATTGCTCCTCTTCTATGCCGACCACGCCAGCCTCCCGCGCTCCATGCGTACAAGCACGCATTCGCCGTCGCACTCACCCACTGGCTCCCCACCTCCCTCCTCTCCTCAAGGACGTCTTCGAGGGCGCTGGCCATGAAGTCGTTGTTTATTACGGTGAGCTCTCGTTTTTTCCTGCACATCCTCTCCTCCCCTGCCCGTCTCACGATCACATGGTTCACCTCGCCTGTTTCGCCCATTTCACGCACATCGCACGGGTCACGTCACGCGCGTCCGCGTCGCCCATCTCGCCCCCACCTCACCCACCTGGCCTGTGTCACACGTCGCCCCACCTCGATGACCTCGCCCGCGTCGCCCATATCGCCCATATCGCCCGCGTCGCCCACATCACCCGTGTCGCCCCGGCTTACCTGCATCGCCCATCTCGCCCATCTCATCGCGCCGCCCACCTCGTTCCCGCATTGCCCACCTCTCCACCTCACCCTGTCTCGCCCCCGCATCCGCATCAGCGTCGCCCGCCTAGCCCATCTCGTCCGCGTCATTCTCGCTGCGCCCTCCTCGCGCCGTCACCCAGCCTCCCGCTCCCCGCTCGCGCCTCCAGCCTCTCCGCCCTCCAGTTCGGTGGCGCGCTCTGCCTCCTCGTCGCCCTCCCGGTGCTCAGCGACCTCCGCGCCCTCCTCCGGTGGATCCGCGTCGCCCGCCGCCACGCTCGCGCTCCGCGACAAGGCCGCGCGCTGCCGCCTCGAGCGCTACTACCGCGAGGCCTACTACGACCGTGAGCACCCCCGCGCGCTCCAAGGGCTGCGCGCGCACCGTCGCGAGCACCGTGATCACGACAGCCCCCGTCTCTGCGAACCCGAGCGCAAGCGCGAGCACGAGCACGAGCACGCCGCACAGCGGGACCGTGCGGACGCCCGCGCGAAACCCCAGCACGCGATCGCACCCGACGGCGCGGGTGACGGCGTCGAGCGCATCTACACGCCCGGCACACTCTGCACGTTTGCCGTGGGACTCGCCGTGAGGTGCGCACCATGACCTGGCTGGGCGCCGAGGCGCCCCGGCGCACGACGAGTAGCTAGACATTAGTTCAGATCCGGTACAAATAGATTTGATTTAGATCCACTAGCTGTGGCAGCAGAACGACTAGCTACATAGTTGCGAGAGCTCAAACATAGTGGTCAAATAGTATGACTAGCCGTTCATAGTGTGCTAGTGTGAATAGCTAAGTCGATAGTGCTAGTGCTAGTTAGCCTAGAGCTAATTAGCTCGTTAAGGTTTTCCTGATGCCGCGTCCAGATCTAGCATGCACCACTGACAGTGGAAGACCGATTCGCTTGAGACGTCCATCCTCAGGCTTGCGTAGATGAGGAGGAGGTTTCGGAGTCCGCGCGCGATGAAACCGTCTGAGGGTGGCACGAGGTCTGCACGGAACACGCGCGAAGGGTAGTCGTTCCCCTGGAGGTCCTCCGCGCGCATGATGTATAGCGTGGCCATACGAGCGAGCACGGTTCGAGCGTGGCGGCGCATTGTCGCCGCGGCGTGTTCGTTCGGAGATGCTCCAGTTGTGGATCTCGGTCGGGAGAGTGCGGTGAGGTAGGAGACCATTGTGTGCATCATGTTGGCCTGTGGAAGTTCGTCGGGGCGATCGAAGAACGTGAGATATCCCGCAATGCCTATGGCCTCCACTAGCATCTCCTGTACGTTGGCGTAATGATATAATGTGAGGTCTTCTGTCAAGCGGAGCAGGAATGGACGGAAGGGTCCGCGCAACGTGCGTGCCATGGACCGAGCGCATTGATGTCGTTCCCCAAGGTTCTGCGGTGAGATCAACGTCGAGGCATCCGGTCGAGCAAAGATGGTGGCATATATGAAGTGGACTGCAGGCGCGAGGAGCTCGACATGAACGATAGGAGATGAGCAGGAGAGCAGTCCGCCCATCATGTTAGATGATCCGATCGCCTCGCAAATAGCATTAACAACGTCCTTGTTGTAACCTCCAACACGACGGATGTCCTCACTGGACACGAGCCCTGGGCCAAAGATGGTCTTGACAATGCGGCAGAACGTCTCGACGGTGAACGGATTAGTCGCCGGCAACCAGTCTTGACTCTTCGAGATGGCCGCAATTGCGTTGGCGATGTCGGAGGCTAGTTCATGCGTGGTTTCGGCGGGATAAGTATCCCGGAATTCCAGGAAGGTTGTCCCCAAATATGCCGAATGTGGCTCCGTGGGGCCTGTAGAGTACAAGATGAACATGTGACACGCTGCTCGGCACATCCACCGACGACGAGCGGCGTTAACTGATTGGTCGTCTGTGAGTTGGTCATCGCCGGAGGTCTCCACTATGAAGTGGAGCATGATGCTGAGGACGGTACTTGTGAGCTGAATCCTGGAGTTGCGAGGACCGCTTGCCATTTTGGAACCACGGTCGAAAAAGGAGAGGAAGGCGGAGATCCGTGTCATGGGGCCGATAAGGTCCGCGATCATCGACATCGGCAAGCGTCGTTTGACGAACCTCTTGTATGCCTCGGCGACGAAGTGTGGATACGACCAATGAAGAGCGTTGCAAAGTGTCCGGTGTAAAGGCGCGGCCGAGGGTTCCAGATGCCATAAAATGTGTTCAATCGCGGATAAGGCGTCTTTGAGCACCCCTGGATCCTGGTCGCACGACAAGAGCTCTGCTAGTGAACGAGCAACATTGTGCCGCATGTCAAGTCGTGGAATCATGGGCCGAATGACAACACCGTTAGCTTGCGGTGACCTTGCCCAGGATAAGGCACAGAGTCCCCAACATAACTGTCGCAGGGCCTCACTATCCATGGGCACGTGCTTCATGACGTTGAGAAGCATTGTGAACCAATATCTTGTGTTCCGTGGTCGGAGGAGGGGCGATGATACATGCACCAGTGGATGTGCGGTTTCAAAGAAAGCGAGGAAGAGGACAGTGTTGACCGTATCGAGGACTTGGGCGAATGTCTTCATTGCTGCGAGCGGGTTGGTGACGACATCAGAGAGGAACTCTTCGACACGGCCGTAGACTCCCCGGCCGATACGGTCCATCTCGCTGAACTGAGTGGAAAGACGAAGACAAAACCCGACCAGTGAAAGAGGGACCTCGCCAGGGCCGGCGGCTAGTAGAGATATCAGAATCTTGTGCGTATCCAACGAGAACGTCACGGGCCCAAAATCCTTGCCACGCTTGAAGGGGAGGAATGGTGTATGATCCAAGGCTACCCCTTCACGGACGCGGGAGGCCATGCTGTCGTCACCGTCCACTTCGAACTCGGATACTAGCAATGCCAGAGCACGAATTGTGGAAAACACGCCTTGACGATTGTCGTCATTGAGAAACGACCATGGAGCAGTGTACCATGACTTGAGGAGACCCTCGAGGAAGGGTATAGCACCTTTCTGCATGAGGAGATGTCGATGACGAATCAAATGGGGGAACTGTATGAGTGCATATCCAAGGGTCTTCGAATCCTTTAGGCGGTGAACATGTTGGATCATCCAGATATGGACTTGGGTGTCGACGATGTGGGCGTTTTCTGTGATATACTTCGTGTCGTGGTACCGGAGATGAGACGCCGAAAGTGTGCTGAGCTTGAACGAGCCCAAAACTTCGGTCAGGGGAGTAGGCCGCGGTACATGGGAACGAAGGGCTCCTATATTCAGTCTGGGAGGGTCGAAGGTGGAAGCGGACCGAGATGGTGACAAGTGCTTGAAGGCACGATCCGTTTGATTCCTTACAGTGCGGAGAAGATGGGAGATCCATTTACGGAGCAGGTTGGCCTTCTCACGACCTAATCCAATGTAAATCGTTACAGACGTTTTGAAAGGACAGTCTGGATAGAGGTAGGAGAGTGCATTGGTTGTCGCATAGACCAGGAATGTTGCAACAACCAAGGCCACAATCACTGCACCGACGTCCTCGTTCACCGCCCATACAAAGTCGGCAAGGCCAGCGAAGAAGAGTAGAAGGGAGATGTGGAGCAAAACTGGCAGAAAAGCGATGATAGCTGGGAGCCGCCACTTGTGGAGGCCATCCATTCGATATTGCCTGTGCCGAGCTTGCGTAGATGGTACAGGAGAAAGATCAGCCCGCAGATAGTTGATCCACTGTTTCGCCAAGATGGCCAACAAGGTGGTCGACAAGCTAATGATGAGGCTTGAGAGCCAATATATGTTAACGCGGACAGCAGATCGGGTAAGCGTGAATGGTGGGATAGGAGATGGGATATTCTGCAAATCGTCCTTGCCCTGTTGGATCTGTTGGAGTACTGCACGTAGCATCTCTACTTGAGGATCTGGTTGCAGACTAGAGAATGATTCGACTGCCAAGGTCGTGAGTACTGCAGAGAATAGAGCAGCCTAGCGCAACGGTATCAAAGGATGCACTGAAGCAAGTGTCGGAGAAGACCTACAAAGATGAGGATTGAATCTAGATCAGAGGTCCAGCCTTGCACCATCTCCTTGTCTTGGGAAATGGAGTGCTCTAGGTACAATGGCCAGATATCCACCTCAGGTAGGGGTGCCGACGTGATATCATATCTTTCAGGCTCGGCATCTGGCTGCATAGATATTCATGAGAATTCATCAGGCCACAATAAAATAGTCGCACCGGTGGAGTGCCTTGCTACAGCAGAGATTGAGCCACTACAATCTCGTGCAGCGATGGAATCCTGCGTACCTTGGGAATGAAAGATTGATGTGGAACGGGCTTAGGATCCAGAGGTTCCACTGATGGCTTTTTCTTCGGCTGATGCGCCCTGCCACTGTAAACGCTCTTGCGAGGGCTGCGGGGGCTGCGAGGGCCGAATAATCCAGCAGAGGGCGCAGGTGGGACTAAGAAATGGTCCACAGGCTGCAGCGGATGACGGGAGGCCGGGTGGGATTGCCCAGTCGCCCAGGGCGTCGCGGCTGGCTGACTGCCAGGGCCAAAATATCTGGGAGAAGAAGGTGGAATCGGAGGGGAGGGCTGGTAATCTGGATTGGGTTGCCAAGTGGTCCAGGACGCCACTGCCGGTTGGCCGCGAGACCTGAACATATCAGGTGTTGCAAGCCGAACTGGAGGGGACGGTAGGTCGGCCTCTCCAGGATACCAGTTTCTCCAAGCCATCTCGGACGACGGGGGAAGAGTGGGAATAGGGGACGGGGTGTAGGCTCGTGAAGGGATCCAAGTGTCCCAGCCTGAAGACTCAGTCGGCATACCCTCGACGGGGGCGTTAGGAAGTAGAACTTGTCGAGGACTTGGCTGAAGCGTAGCCTGAGCAACATCGGCTGGTGAGCTGACACCGGCTGAGAGTGGGGAGTTCTCGACAAAGGGGGTGTAGTCTTCATTTCCGTGGTCGGGTATAGTAGGTTGGGACGAGTGTACAGGCCAGGGTGAAAAGGTGGATGCGAACAATTACGAAACTGACACGCACCGGTTCTCTCGCGCAGTCCATCCAACCCAAGTAGACCCTCGTCGTCATCATCCGCTATCTCCAACGGGGCAGAGTGGAATCTCTGCGTGGTGGGAAAGGGACGTCGGCCACTCGGGGCACCCAAGTGGCCCGGAACGCCGCGGCCGGTGGACCTCCAACCAGGACGTGTGGGGACTCCGGACTTGGTCGACGGGTTGTGTCGATCGCAGGTGAGGCTGCTGCGGCCTGGCTCGCCGATAGTGCAAGGTCGTCGGTGGAGGGAGAAGCTTCTTCATCTTCGCCATGCAAACTTGATCCAGAGCCCGACGCCTAAGAGAACCAGGATGAGGATTGTGGATGTTCCTGGAACGATGAAAGCGCTACGAACCATATTCAGAGTCCTGGAGAATGCGGGTCAAGCTCGAAGGGAACCAAGCGAACCAGAATGTCGACGTCCATCTGATATATGTACCTGTGGGCCATCTTAGCACACAGATGACAGATACGCGCACAGGACCTCGTGGGACACCAGAAGCAGGACGTCCTGCTGGGACATTTCAACATACCTGGGCGACTACTGCACAGAAGGTCACCATGCCATGGCACGTTGGGGAAGAAGAGAGCATGCGAGGATGCAGAAGATGTGCTTGTTGGAAGAGAACACCGGGAATGACAAGTGGGGTGTAGCGGGCGGCCAGCCTCGAGCGGGTCGAAGCTGTCGAGTTGTTGGCGGGCGCTCGATGGAAATGAGCCCCTCCGTCCAAGCATCTGGACTGAAGCCGTTTCTTCTACGAGATGGGCATGCACACGCCCGAGATCACACCGTATGCATGTATGTAAATTTCGACATTCAGCGGAAGCTTATAGTCCTACATCGGTATGCCCTGAGCTACTAGTAGCAAGTACTACACGCGGTGCGACGGACGAAGCGTTGATTACAAACATCGCGGTCTACGTGAGCAAACCGTGTTCCTCCATGAACCTTTTGCGAAACAGAGGTAACACCGAGTCCCACCTGAAAAAATATGAGAGGCCGTCTGCGAATGGGTCCACAGCAGCATAAACGGCGAAACGCACCATGTCCAAACATCACTGGCATCCTGCTTCACCTTCCCGCTGGGAATCTTCATATGCTCCAGCTTCCCTTGAGCTTTCAAGAACGCGATGAGAACACTCCAGTGCCCCAAGTCGCCGCATCCGACCGTGTATCGCCAGAGCAGCACTGTCGACGCCAGCACTTGCAGCGACACCGCCAGCGCCGTGTCCCGCCCCTCCAGCATCCACCCACACTCCGCCACCGGGTCCCCCGTGAGCCGCGCGGAAGATGCGCTGGGGGCTTCCGGCAGGGCGATGTCGTCGAGATCCAGCGGGATCATCCACGTCTTCCCGTCACAGACCCAGCGGGGGACGTTCGGGTGGAACGCGCGGCGGTCGAGGAGGGGAATGAGGGGCGACGGGTTCGCGATGATGCGCCAGCCGCGGGCAGAGTACTTGACCAAAGCTGCCTTGGCTTGGAGGCTCCCGTTGTTGATGACGACAGCTTCGTGTTGTTCGAATGTCGCGTACGGGTAGAGCGAGTACGCGGCGTTGTACGTGATTATGTTCATGACGCATGCTGAGACGGGAGTCACGAACTCAGTGACATGGGCGTGAACCGAAGACACTCACTAGAATGAAAGTCTAGGACCGAAGCTAGAGGGGAGCTGCGGGAGACGACGATCTGCACCTTGCGCTCGTCGCTATCCTCGCACCCTCGCTTCGCCGCCCGGCGGAACGTGTACACCGCGCGGAGGCTGAGCATTGAGTAGAGTTGCTCGAACTCGTTGTCGTCGTCGATGCTCGCCAGTTCGCAGTCTACACGCCGGCACAGTCGTTCCACCTCCGCCTTGAAGTCCGGGAGCTGCCACGACAATGGTTCGTAGACATACAGCTCTTCTTGGAGGAAGCTACCGATCGTTAGGATGTCACGGTTGGGATGAACGAAGAGGTCCAAGTCGGCTTCGGGGTAGTATGTACGCGCGAAGAACTGCAGGGCGAAGGAGCCGGAAATGACTGCCGCAGTGCGGGCTTGCAGCGAGCGAAAAGCCGTTGGGTCGTGGAAGAAGCGCGCGAGACGGCAATTGATGCTGAACGCGGCGTAGTACCAGGACTTGACGGCCGTATGCACCCCACGATCGACTCGGAGCAATTGACACAGGGTGGAGGGGGTCAGATGTGAGAGTATTAGGCCGAAGAGGAGGCTGTTCGAGAGGATGGGTAGGAACGAGCTCATGGTTCCGTAGTGGCTGCACATGCAGGTATTAGCTCAGACTCATACGAGACTTCAGCCAGCGGCTCACCAAATAAGAAGGACTGCGTTGGGAGACGCCATGTTGCATCTTATATCTAGCTTCTTGCTTTCACGGCTTGTCTTTGTCCATCGAGACTTTACCAGCTGTCATCGTCGGAAAGATCCCGATTGTTCATAAGCAGGGCTCTTTGCTCCTGGAACGGCTGCCCAAACACAAAGTAACTCAAACGTGTTCACATTCCTGTCTCAAAGAAAAACGTACAAGCGACGATGACACAGCAACCGACGCTTGAGCCCTACAGTCACCCAGAGTCTCGACATCCTGGAGTGTGTCCTGCGTCGTCTTCCCGATTGTAATTTTAGCCCAAGTTACTCTTGCTGTTGTTGTCAACCTCCCCGGGCTTAGCCTTTCGGTGGTCGTATGCGAAGGGACTACACTCGGGCACTTTGCATGCGTGGGAGTAGCTGGAATAGCGCGAATGAAAAAAGGCAAGGACACCTGCCGTACAAATAATAACTCACCAGACTCCTGCCACCAGAAAGCACCGTCGCGATGTCACAAAGACAGCGCGAACCTACCCTCCATTGAATATTGATGCATCCGTCCGGGCTCAGCTTTTCCTTGGCGATGTTCGAGTACCAGCTGTGCGCGGACGTGTTGAGCCGCTCGGGCGAAGGCACCCCATGCAGGAAAGATGAACGGCGGGTTCAGCGCGACGAGTTCCCAACCGAGCTTGCACTTGCACCCTTCGTACCACTCCCAGGCAAGCGTCTTGCTCGAACGGTCCTTCGTGTGGCTGGCCTCGTCGATGGAGTCCTGGTTCCACTCTTCGAGCGGAGTCCCTGATTACGGACAGAGGACCGCGGCGGTCGAGACACGACGGGCCGAGGACGGAGAGTGTGCCTTGGACGGCGGGCATGATGAGTTCGTCGGGCTCGACGGCGTTCACTTGGAGGTGGAGGCAGTGCGGGCAATCGCAACATCCTCGAGCTACTCAAAAGATTCGACCTGCGAGTGAAGCATATGAGGCTGAGCATCTGGCTCTTGACTACGCGCGGGGAGAACGCAGGAGGGCAGAGACAGGAAACTCACGTTGGTAATATCTGGAACGACGACGACCTCGAACTTTCCTCCAAGGGACTTGAAGAGATTGCGGAAGTGGTCGGCCTTGCTCGCCGAACGGACGGTGCCGCGGACAGAAAAACCAGCTTCGAGCATGGTTTTCACGATCCACATCACAATGTAGCCGTTTGCGCCTGTCACGGGTGCTTTGCCTGGGTTGATGGAGGGGTATGATTATGGGATGGAGAGTGACCAGGAGGGATGACCACCGTCTTATATAGTTGGTGGAGAGCCGTACGGCAAGGAAGTTCGGAGCGTTGAGGGTTGCGGACGACAAAGAGAGTCCCGTCAAAGTCGTCCGTGTCGGATGTGGGAGTCGTTCAAGCCGTAGTACTGATCCATCGTTGCAGCGGTCTGTACGAGAGCGGAAGCTGTGAGGTTGTTTGCTTCTGTTGAGCGGTGAACGGGACAAGAAAGCGCGCAGCCGACGGTTGTGAGACGCACGCGAGCCCGAGACCCTGCAGACCGACGGCGTCTAATGATCCAACGGGTGACCCTCCCAAGTTCTGTCAGGACTCCCGCCATCTGCCTCGTTCAAACGTGCAACGATAAAACATTCCGATGAATTGCCAGGCGGCTACGTAGTTGATATCTGAGAGAGGAGAGACATAGTAAGAGGCGTACAATACAAACAGGAAATGGGGCGTAGTAAATAGCGAGTCACAAGCACAACATGGCATTCACAGTCCTGATAGCAATCTGACGACGTTCGAGACGAGGGGGTTCAATAACTCTAAGCTTGCGCGTCCGTGAGCGGGTGCAGGCGCGCGTTGACCTTGGACCGGTGCTGGCGGTTTTTGAGATGGACCTCGAAGTTCTGGAGTGATTCTCCGGGTCCGGGGGTGTAGTGCTGGAGTGGGTTCGCGCACATGTCAGCGTAGAGCCGGAACAACGACAAGCATAACGCACTTTGCCAGGGCAGTCCGAACACTTGACCCGGAACTCGTAGACCCCGCTGTTCGTGTTCTTGCGGATGACAGCCTCAAAGACGTCGTCAGGGTACCTGGCCTTCATCCCCGTGATCGAGTCCGTCAGCCATTGAGGCGTCGCCATCTGCAGGGGCGCGGGCAGGGAGGGGAGTGTCGTCAGTCTGCTGTTCATGTGGGGGACGAGTGGTATTGAGGCCTACCGGGGTGTTCTGCACGATGGGCGGGGCCGAGCGCGGCGGCGATTGTGGGGGAGGTGGCGGATCCAACTCCATCGCGTTCTCGGGCAGAGGCGGCGGGGCCGACTTGGAGTGCGGCCCGCCGCCGCCATTCATCTTGACGCGATGCGCAAGCGGGGACTCGGACGTGCTTGACGCGGTGGAAACCGGGGACACTGCGCGGTCCAGATGCATGTCGCCATGGTCTGCCCCTGCGGATGGAGTCTCCGCGAGTGACTTGGGCTTCGACGGCCCGGGCGTGTCCATCTCTGCGTCGTCGTCTGCCGTGACGGTCTCCTTCTCCACCACGCTCGCCTGAGGGCGCTTCCGTTTCGCCGCTGACTTCGACTGTTCCTCGGCTCGAATGATGCCCTGGTGGTGCTCGAGGCTGGAGTTGTACGTGACTGGACGCGGGCGACGATGCCTGTGCCAGTACTTGCCTGCAAGTGAGTCGTCAGCTCCATATCCTCATCCACCACATTCAACCCGCATATACTCACCACAAGTACCACACTGCGACTTGTCTCCCAGAGGACCCTTGCGCCGCCCGACTGCGATGCTCTCCGGGCAACCACAGTTCGAACAGTGCCACACGCCATCGATCATGTTCGCATGCTGTCCGTCCGCGTATTCCTTCTCCTTCGCCTCGCGCTCTAGCTCCTTTGCGCGCTTCGCCGTGAGCACCACCTTCGACCCCTGCCTGTCGAAACCGCTGCTGCTCGGCGCCGGAAGGTCGTTCTCCAGCGGGGGCGGCAGAGTCGACACGTCCGCCGCGGTCGACGCGATCGGCGCCTTGACGCCAGCGCGTGGACGCAGCGCCGACTGCGGGTACGAGGGTGCCTTGAACAACCCGCGCGGTTTCTTCTCCTTGGACGCGCTCGGGGCCACTGGCGCCACTGGCGCTGTAGGAAGCGTCTGCGGCAGCGGCATTGCCGTCCCGTTCTCTGACGCGACCATATTCGCGATGGTGAGCTGCGCGGCGGCGGCGGCGGCACGGCGGGAGGTGGGTGCGGCGACGGCGGCGGCCAGCGCGAGCGCAGCGGGCGAGATCTCGGGGAAACCGATCGCGGGTGTGCGGTAAGTCTTCGGCGGCTCGCGGTCGGGGAGGGCGACGCCGCGGCGACCGCGAGTAGTCTTGCGCTTCCGGCGCGCGAGCTCCTTCTCGCGGTCCTTCTCGTTCTTCTCGAGCTCCGACTCGGAGAGGTAGTTGAGCTGGGGCGTGAACGCGCTGACTTGTTCCATCGAGCGCGCCCCGGAGGTGAGCGAGGGGAGAAGGGACATCCGGAGGTCGTCGTCTTGGACCGCAGTACCGTCCGAGGGGTGACCGACAAGGAATAGCGACTTCTGGTATATTTGCACTTGTTCGCGTATTGAGTGTGCAATAGCCGTCCTGTTGAGACAAAAAGTCAGATGACCGGCCTGCGTTCACGACAGAGCCTGCTCACTTGAACTCGCCGCTCAAACCAAGATCCGTGCAGTAGATCTCCGCGAACTGTTCTGGGGTCGGGTCCGCATTCTCGAGGTCCCACTCGAACTGGTCTTCGAGCTTGTACGAGCCGACGATGATATCGACTTTGACGAGGATGCGCATCTCCTCGTTCATCAAGTTCTCGTCCTCCTCGAAGTCGTCCACCGCCATCGGCACCTCCCCGCCAGGAGCGGCAAGCGCGTCCGGGCGCTCAGCGACCTCCTCCTTCACGACCTTGCGCCTCTTCCGTGTCCGCGCCGGCTCTGCGGGCGGGTCGGGCAGCCGATATATCGCTTTGGAGCGCACACGCTTGCGCCACGCTTGCCACCAAGCGGCGTCGTCCCCTGCGATCTGGCCGTTGAGCACTTCCTGCTCGCCGTCGAGGTCGAGCATCGAGCCGTCCTCGCCAAACGTGGTCGAGTGCGCCTTGTAGTCGCTCAGCTGCTCCTGGATAGACTTGGTGATCGTCGCGTGGTACCCCGAGTTGAGCCCGTAGTCGTCAACCACGGACTGCGCAAAGACCTCTGGGGTCACGATGGGGTCTGCAACGACCGATCAGGGTGCGTTCGCGAGGAAATCGGGCCAAGGGCAGCTCACCGTTCAGGTTCCACACGAACGTATCTCGCATCTTATGGTGTTCGACGTCGAACTCGAGCCTAATGGGAACGAGCTGCTCGGGCCGCTGCGCGTCTTCGTCTGGTATCCTCCTCGGCCTGTCGGGACGACACGTAAGCACCTTCGCTCTCGAGACTGACGCGAGACGAAAGGACTCACAGCCTAAGCCCCTCCCGCTTCCCCATCTTCTTCCGGTCTTTAATCTCCTTCTCCTTGTGGCTCTTCAGGCCCGTAAGCACCCACTTGTCCCGCCTCCTCCTCATCTCGTCGGGCGCGAGTCCACCCTGCATCGTGAAGTCCTTCTCCCACCACGCGCGCGGGACACCCACGGTGCGCCGCATCTCCTCCGTCATGCGCGCCTGCATGGCCTTGTGCCGCCCCTCGTACTCCTTGTCGATCGCCATCCACGCCTGGACCCGCGTGATCTCGTCCGCCTCGAGCGGCGGGATCACCGCGTCCGAGTCTGCGAGCGGCACGACCGACACCCGCGTCACCTTCGGCTCCAGAGTGACGTTCGCGGGCAGCGGGTTCAGCTGAGGCACGATCTTCGTCTGCACTTGTGGCGTCGGCGCGGTGGTCGTCGAGGCCGGTGGAGCGGGGGACGAGCTCGTCTTGACGGCGGTCGTCGACGATGGGGGAATGCTAGAGGCCTTGACTGGAGTGCCTGCAATCATGCCGGGTACGGTTCCCGAGACGACAGGAGAGGCGGCGGTTGCGGAAGGCGGCAGCGACGCCTGGCGCGGTGGCGTCTGGGGCCTCGCGAGGTCGCTCATTGCCGGGCTCCGAGGGACGGCAGGGCTCTGTGTGCCCATCGCGAAATTGCTGGTGCCGACATTGAGCTGGCTTAGGGACTGTCCGGGGCGCATTCCCACGTTCGCACCTCCAGGGACCGCGGGAGGGGCCATCATGCCGCCCGCCAGCGAGTTGGGCGTCGGCTGGCTCACGGTGCGATGCATCTGTGGGGGCGCGGGCATGCCGCCGACAGGAGTGGGGGGCTTCGGGACGGGAGTCGCGGACGTCCTCCGCTTGGGCGCGGCGAAGGGCGAGCTGGGGGCTTGCGGAGTTCCGGGCTGGACTGGGGCGGGGGCGATGGGCGGGTAACCCTGCTGCGTCGGCGAAGGACGTGCTTGTTGCTGCTGCTGGGGAATTTGCTGGGCCTGTTGACGAGGGGTCTGAGGGGGTCCGTGACCAGTGGCGGTCGGAGGTCGGCTGGGGAGCTTCGACTGCTGATCGCCTCCGCCCATCGACTGGCTGGTGCCAGGGCGTTGGAATGGTCCGGACGCGTTGGGGGGCATAGACCCATGCATGACTGGCATCGGCTGCGCTGGTCCGTCGGGTCCGCCTCCTTGTCCTTGCACTTGGCCCTGTGCAGTGCCGGGACGGGAGCCAGACGCACCAGGACGCGGACTCTGGCTAGGGAATGGGCCGCCGTGAGGGAAGCCATGCTGCTGCTGCAACGGTTGTTGCATCTGTGGGTGCATCCCGTGGTGCGAGGAAGCGGTAGGGGGACGAGGAGGAATGGACGTAGGAGGCCCCATCGCGCCGACTTGAGGCTGAGGCGCGTGTGGGCCACCAGTAGACCCCGGTGTGGGTGACGATTGGAGCTGGCTCGACATCCGGTGGTGGCCGCCATACGAGGCGGACGAGGGCGGGCGCTGCATGCCCTGTTGAGCTTGCTGCTGCTGTTGTTGGTGCTGGTGTTGCTGTTGCTGTTGCTGTTGCTGTTGTTGTTGTTGCTGCTGCTGCTGCTGCTGCTGCTGCTGCTGCTGCTGCTGCTGCTGTTGCTGTTGCTGCTGCTGTTGCTGAAGCATTTGCATCTGTTGGAGTTGCACCGGGTTCATGCCGCCCATGCCGCCCATGTTCATCCCCATCCCCTGCATGTTGTTCATCCCCTGCATTCCACCGCCCATCCCTTGCTGCTGCTGCTGCTGTTGTTGTTGCTGCTGCATCATCCGTTGGGCTTGAAGCGCCTTCATCTGGGCCGGGTTGAGGTTGCCGAAGTTATGACCCATGCCCATACCGCCCACCGAGCTCGGTGTCGACGGCGACTGCTGCGACATGCTGTGGTTGGATACGTTCGGGAGGGATGCGGAGGAGCTTGTCGGGGAGCCCATTGAAGACGCGCCACCTGCGCGCAAGGGTACAGAGGATTGGCGGTCAGCAATGAAAGTCGAAGACGCAGAAACGCACCCATGCTCATGCTCATGTTCATGCCACCCGTACCTGTCATGTTCATCACATTCATCCCGCCCATGCCTCCCATGCCTCCCATGCCACCCAGGCCTCCACCGAGTGCGCCGGGGTTCATCCCACCCATCCCGTTCATCCCGCCTCCCATGCCACCCATGTTCATCTGCTGCTGCTGCTGCTGCTGCTGGAGGAGCAGGGGGTTCATACCCATGTTCATCCCGCCGCCACCGCCACCGCCCATCATGTTCATCTGCTGGGCTCGCGCTTGCGCTTGCATCTGCTGGTACTGCGCCATCCGGCCGTTCATGCCGCCCATACCGCCACCCATGCCTCCGCCCAAACCGCCCATCCCATTCATGAGCGCGGCCGGGTTCATACCTCCGCCCATGCCACCTCCCATGGCTCCACCCATACCGTTACCCATGCCCATGCCTTGGCCTTGGGAGCCGCCGCCTTGCTGGAACATCGCTGGGTTCATGCTCATGCCTCCTTGGCCTGCGCTCATGCCGCGCATTGCTTGCATGTGCTGGATCTGAGAGGGCGTAAGACCGGGTTGAGGAGTGCCGTTCGAGCTTTGCGAAAAGTTGTTGAAGCCGCTACCCGAGAGGAAAGCGGGGTTGATGCCCTGGGAAAGGTCCCCTTGTGGATTGTTCATGTTGGTGGAACCACGCGCGAGGACGCGAGGGTCGTGCGTTGGTTGCGCGTCGTAACGGTGTCAAGCACGGGTCTCTGCAAGAGAAAGTCAGCCCTGATCACGGCGATGAAGTAGCGGTCAATGGGATGAATGACACAGCACGAGAAGGAAGCACCGAACTCCACCACGGCGTATTCAAACCGCAAGTTGAAGAACGGGATAAACGCGCGCCCCTCGACCGAAGAAAGATTCCCCGCGAACAAAGCAACACAGTTGGGGTCGCATTGGCTGAGCCGATCGTCCTCGAGAGCGAACCGGAAGGGGGACAAACCGCGAATGAAATAAAAAACAGAACTCACGGTAAGTGTCGAGAAATCAAGATAAATCGTCCGTTTGCTGCACGTCGCGACTTCGTCAAACGCGAACTCCTACACAGGGAAGTCAGCTTAAAGCATAGAAGCACAAAAGCAACATAGAAAAGGAGTGCACCGAGCGCGACAACTCGACAGGAACAAAAACGTCCCCGAGAAGGTGATAAGACCGTCCGACGCAGAGGCACAAAACGTAACCATATGCATCCACGAGGAGCGAAGGCATGCCAATACGAGGGACGCGACACCGGAAAGGATCATAGGGAGACTAGGATCCTCCCTGCTATCGCAATGTCTACCCATGCGACGCATAAATGAGGTGCGCACGAAGGCCATAAACCAGCAACCTCAGCTCAAGACCTGGGCAAGTGACTCCAGCCCATGCAATGCATGCACCTTAGTCTAAAGCACTATCCGAGCAGCCTTGGGGGGTCTTGGGCGGTGGTGGCCAGCATGAGGAAATGGGCCAGAAGGAACGGAGGAACGAACAACGCAGGATGACAGGGACCAAAACTCACGATGTGGGAGTTCCGCGGATTGCGTTTCGTAGCGGTGAGTGTCTACTCAGGGAGGTTAGTTCTAATTGCGAACAGGTGAGAATCAACTGGAAAATGGCAGAATTGGATAGCAGAGAGACGAACGCGACGACTCGTCGCATCAAAGTATGTCTGCGACACCAATGGGTCCGTTCCAAACGGTCGTGCAAAACTGCAATCGTGGACATGCCAGGGAAGGCGATGCGCCCCCAAAAAGACAAAGAATCGACGGGGAAGAATGCACATCCCTTATACGCTCTCTGTCCGCGGTTGGAGCCCCAGCAACCAACACTCGAAAACGGATGTCACGTACCTTGCGCCACGCCTAGGGAACCAGAGATTCCAACGAAGCTTTGGAACGCGCCTGAAGACGAAGAGTAAGGACTGCGTGAGACATCAGTGTTTGTCCCGACAGCGCGAAGTAATGTGGGTGGACAATAGCGCAGAGAGACACTGTGCGCACACCGGGTCAACGAGGACATTGAGAGAGAATGGGTGATGTCCTGGTCGAATGCGCGGAAGGAGTCCCCGTCGGCTGCGCACAGAAGACACGACCACTAACCCAGAGACTGGATTGAAGCCTTTCGTCCGTACTCTAGGCACAAGCACCGAGAAGAAGCGTTGGTACCCAGCGCGACGTCTCGACGCGAATAAACGCGTCTTCGCGAGAATGCTGGGGCCGCGCCGAACATTCGCACCAAACGGTAACTGCATGCGCCCCGCGACGCGAAGGCATGGCGATGGAAGAGACGGTGCGCGCGAGATGAGAACGGAAACCGGAGGAAGTGCGACTGTATGCGCGAACTCCACCGCACCCTCCCCACTTGCGATGCATGAAAGACGCGAAACCGTTTGTCACGGACCTGCAAACCCTCCTAATGCCCGGGACACCAAACTCGAGTCTCTGAGCGCGACGGAAGGTGAAGGGTGGGGCAAACACGCGCGCCTTGGCCGAGGACGATGTCCACGTAAGCCAAGGAGCGCGCCAGAATGTCGCGCCGGCGACGGCGAACCACGACGAAGGCGAGAAAAATGGACGGGAGAGGGGACAGAGGGATAGGCCAGCTGGGGGAGAAGGGAGGAAGGGATGGAAACTCACGTTGAAAGGCTCGGGGATCACGTTACTCCGAAGGGGGTTGGCGGGAGAGGGCGCCTGAGGAGAGGGGCATGTCAGCGGGCGGGAGTGGGACGGAGGAGGGAGGGATGGAGGAAATGGGGAGGGGACGGGGCACGTGTGAGTGCGGGGAAGGCGTAGCACTCACGGGCTGTGGAATCGGGACGGTGGATGGGCGGGGGATGGGCTCGAAGGAGCACACGTCGGGGGGACAAATCGGGCGAAGGCGGGGCCGGAAAGAAGAGCGGCCGGGACGCGGGCGGGGGGTCGGAGGCGGAGGGGCGGATCCGTAGTGTTCGCCGGGGAGGAGCTGGCGGCCTGTGTGCGTCCGAGTCCGCTCGAGCCCAGTATCGCGGGTGGTTGCGCGCACTCTGCGGGAGGCGGCGGTTGTCGCCAGGGTAGAGGGCCCAAAACTCACACAGTCACGCGCACCCATCCAGCGCCCGTGCGCAGGGGCCACCTCGCTGCCGCCGAGCTCGCTCTCATCGCCGCCCTCGTCGCGGTCGCGGGGGCGGGGGACGGGCGGAGGGCCGTATTTACACGCGCAGGGGTGCGCAGGGCGTTGGAAGAGGACACCACGCCGCTTGTCTCGTCTCATCCCCCGCTCACCAGATCTAGATCGTAGATCTTCCTCCTCTCGCCCCTCCGACGCCCCGTCCCGTCCCCTTCCCGCTCTAGTTCCCTACCCTCTGCGCGCCCGCCGCTCTTCCCAGGCACTCCACCGCACCTGCCGTGCTGCGCGGAGGACAGCCAGGGCAGCGAGCGGGCGGACGGCCGGGCGCAGGCGTACTGAGGCACGCCGGTTATGACGACGTCCTACATGATCGCCAGCCAGGCCATCATCTTCCCGCCCGGTGTCCCGCGCACGCCTCCTGACTGCCTCCCCGCTCAGTCGCTCCCACCATCCCCTGCGGACAATGTGAGCCGCAGCGCTCGAGCTGACCACCCGACTTCCCCACAGATATCGATTCGATCGTCTCTCCGTCTTACCACGCACGCATCCTTTGACGCCCATCACTACCGTGCACTGCTCATATCTATCGACGTCGTTCTGCTCCTAGACATTTGGAATCTTCTTAGCACTGGACATCATCATCGCTGTAGCGTTTGCTGTCGCGCATGCCACGACCACGCCCCGCCCCGACGTGCATGGTGCTCGATGACAACTGGAGGCGAGGCCCGCCGCGCTAGGGCGGCTCGGCCGAGTGGGCGCTGGGCAGCTCCGCGAGAGCTCGAAAGGTACAGTGGGCGGGCCCTTGGATGGCAGATGGTAAGTGTTTTGTGGCATGATTCTAACGATTGCTCGGTTTCTCATAACCCCCGTCATGCGCGATCTTTGGAACGGTGCCCTTGTCCAAGTTTGCGCAGGGCCCATGTAGGGCGACGGCGCTACTTAGTCGATGTCTCATCGCTGTTAAGCACCAACAATTGAGCGAGCGCGCCTCTCCAACTTACGCATCTCGTAGGCGGAATAGATATTAGTGCTGCTCCTTTTGGGCTCACGCAGGCGGTACATCATGCGACCATCCGTCAGGCTCTAGTATGTACCAAGTACCTCACCGAGATTCGTCGTCCTCAGTCAGGCGCATACGGGCACGCTTGATGTCGGGGTGGAACCACCGATCCACACAAACGCCGAATCTGTCTGGGGCATCTCGAGGCCCGTGTCTGCGATGCAGAACGAGCTCCCGAGGGCGCCCGGTATGCTTCACAAGGCGTGGCGTCCGCCCGCCGACAGGGGCTTCCACACGGAATCCTTTTCCGAATGCTCCCGTGTTCCGTCCTCCAACTCTGCAAATTCGACTAAGAGTCTGGTGGTGGAGGAGTAGGTTGGGTACGGTATCTCGGCACTGTCATCTTTGTCGTTCCGTCGAAAGGCGGCGCCGGCGTGAAGCGGCTCGGTGTCGCTGATGGACTCGTGGGCGGTCTCTGGCCCAACGGGAGGGCGCAGACGGTAAGCCCCGGAAGACAGATCCCAGAGATTCCAAGCAGTCGGTCGAGGGTCCAATTCGAATGGGAGTTCGGCGAGTTGCCGATCTGAACAACGAGATTGATTTGCGTGGTTCAACAATTTCGAAATTTTGCCTTCGTGAGTGTGAATATACAATAGTCTGGTGTTGATATGAAATCTACGTCGGCTTGCGGGCGTTTTGGCGCTGAACCTAAGTACAGGGTGAACTTCGTGAAGGATGAGAAACGCATGGAGCAGCCGAAACAAGTGCACAGAGGAGGAGACTCCGTACTTCAACTCGACAATAAATGTTTCACCGCGGTGTAGTGGCGAAAGCTGGCAATCTAGCTTCGCAGAAGAGGGAGGTCAAAATGAAGGGTGGCAAGATACGGGAGGAGGGCCGGCACCGAGAAGGGTACTGGCGTGTCCTCAAGCACTTCGCGGATGGTGTTCAGGTCGTGCAGATCGGAAATAATCACTGTGGGCCAACGGTGTAGTGTTGTTCGACAGTGACGTACGGTACAGCGAGTACTGTTCTTGATTATGTTCAAGAAGCATGCTGAGACGGGATTGGTAAGTCACGAAGCCGGTGAAATGGGAGTGAACTGAAGACATTCACTGAATTGAAATTTTGAGACCGAAGCGACGGGAGACCTGCAGGACATGACGATATGCAGTACGAGCGGTCCTTGATTCGTTAAAGCGTGATTCTTTCGGTTATTTGCTCGGGAAACAGCTGCTCGCACGCCGAGTAATGCATACGATTTGGCATTCTTATTTTAGCGGAAAACGTACAGGCGATACAGTGGAGGACACGTGAATCCTACAACCACCCCCGAATTTCGAAATCCTGGAGGGTGTCCTTCGTCGTCTCCTCAACCGTGTGGTATTTGAGTCCGAGTACAGATTTGCTCTTGGTACTGTTGTATACAACCCCGTGCTGGACTGTTGACGGGTCGTATGCGGAGGGATTACCTTCGGGCACTTTGGCGTCGATTGCATGCGCGGGAGTAGCTGAAATAGCGCGAATGAAAAAGGGGAACGACAACCTGCTACACTAGTAGTGACTCACCGAAGTCCTGCCACTTGAAAGCACCCGCAGCGACGATGAACCGCCCAGCCGCCGCCTCCGTCTTGAGCGCGAGCGCGTGCGCCGTCGCGATGTCACGGACATCCACCCAGCAAGCGCTGCGAACGAAAAACGATGAGGACAGGATTTCTCGGGGGAAGAGCGCGAACGTACCCTCCGTTGACATATCCGTCCGGGCTCAGCTTCCCCTTGACGATGTTGAAGTACCAGTCGTGCGCGGACGTGTTGAGCTGCTCGGGCGAAGCTACCTCGTGCAGGAACGGCCCAAAGACAAACGGCGGGTTCAGCGCGACGAGGTCCCAACCGAGCTTGCTCTTGCGCTCTTCGTACCACTCCCAAGCAGCGCGCTCCGCAAGCGTCTTGCTCGCCCGGTACTTCATGTGGTTGGCGGCGTCGCGGCCCTTCGCCTTGACCTCGTCGATGGAGTCCTGGTTCCAGTGCGACTCGTCGAGCGGAGTCCCCGAGTACGGACCGAGGACCGCGGCGGTCGATGAGAGCACGATAACGCGCTTGACGGACGGGCCGTGCGCCTCGGCGGCCTTGAGGACGGAGAGCGTGCCCTCGACGGCGGGGATGATGAGCTCGTCAGGCTCAATGGCGTTCATGTGGAAGGGAGATGCAGTGTGGGCGATCGCGTCTACATCCTTGACGTACTCGGTGAAGGACTCGGCCTGCGAGTGAAGCATATGAGCATCCGACTCTTGACTACACGCGGGGAGAATGCAGGAGGGTAGGGACGGAAAACTCACGTTGGTAATGTCTGGCACGACGACAACCTCGAACTTGTCTCCAAAGGACTTGAAGAGATTGCGGAGGTGGTCAGCCTTGCTCGCCGAACGGACGGTGCCGCGGACAGAAAAACCAGCTTCGAGCATGGTTTTCACGATCCACACCGCGATGTAGCCGTTTGCGCCTGTAACAAGCACCTTTCCTGAGTTGAGGGAGGGCATGTTGAGTGAGTATGAGAATGGGATGGCGAGTGACCAGGAGGGGCGACCACTGTCTTATATAGTCAGTGGAGAGGCGTAATTGGAGGAATCTCACCCACAGAGCGTCCCGTGCTAGATGAGTAAGTAAGGAGATCGCAGATATCGAGAGCGTTGAGAACCTGCGGATAATAATATAACGCCCCGTCAAAGTCGTCCTCGTCGAATGTGGGACTCAATCAAGCAATGTACTGCTGCATCGTCGCCAGTTGTGAGCACGAGAAGAGCAGAGCATGTCGGGGTCTCAGGCCTTCAAGCTTCAGGCCTTCAAGGGAAGTAGAGAACTCGGCGTCATCCTACAGACTGAGGCGCAGCTTAGCGAGGACGAACTCGGAGTGCCTCTGGCGATAGTCACCCTCGCCGCAAGCCGCCGCGGCCCACCAACGTCTGTTGGCGCCCCGATCGGTGCTCTTGCTTCCCACGGTCCCACGCCCTCTGCTTCTTCCAGACCATGACTCTTCGCACCTTTCTCTCTCCGATCGGATGCGTAGTGCGCCCGCTGAATCAGCACTTCCAAACCAATCATAGGGTTTTCTCTCTCTTTGGGAACGCGCATTCACAACATATTCGACATTCGGATGACTCGAAAGAGCTTGGGCGTGTATGTGTATCATTTATGACTCGGGTGTTTTCATTGTTCTACTGTTTACGCGCTGAAGCTCAAAGCCTTTCCATACAAGTTCTGGCACATTTCTGCGCTAGTTGTGGGTGCTTTTTGGGCGCTTCTCATTGTTTAGCGCTTATTGCACTGTGCGGACTTCTCAGGATACGTGCAACATGGTACAGCACACACTTCCCTGTGGCTGCAAACGGCGGGTAAGAATGGCATCATATAGGACCCCGGCTTGGGGACTGGGCAAATGACGGTTTTCCACTTTCACCAGTAAGCGGCGAGCCTCCAGTGTCCACGCAGCGGTGCAGTGAAAATCGTGTACGAGTTGGCACGGCTATTAATTGCCTCATACTGTGCAATTACGTCTTGATTTCCGGCTTGAAGTGGTGGAGGATGCGTTGCACCATGATCGTCCGTGCGTTGTCTTCCATCTTACTACTCCTAACGATCTTCTCATATTAATCTTCTGTCGAGTCAGGGCTTCAGCTTGTTCACCTCATGGAGGACAGACCGCGGTTCGATGGTAGCGATCACTCTTGACTTCTTCGTCACTCTCGGAGGGGGGCGAGTGCATTTGGCAAGTTTCAAGTCTTGCTCCACGCAGTCCCACCAAATATAGCTACGGGTCAGAACAAAGCCGTCGACTTGTCAAGGAAGAGAGGACCACGGCCAAACCGCGAGAGTGGCGGTCGCTGCTAATTGGAGTGAACGACAGTGGCACTCAAATGCGTTTTGAATGTGCCGTCCCACCATTTCACCCTGCCTTGGTGAGTTTTTTGAATCTTCAGCGGGCTCACAAACTTGTTCAGCCCCATTGTTTGTGAAATCTCGACGGTTGAAGCTGGCGCGAATATGCCCGGCGGCCTTGCCAGATGATCATATGGCCCCCATAGAAAATCCAGCTTCGAGTATGGGCCTCACAACTCAGATAGTGATGCACACACCAATTCGCGTCGACAGCGAGTTGGGATGACTACGGGCGCTCCAAGCTCGGATATACATAATGCGATTGAGCCTGAGATTTGGAACGCCATGCTCGCTATGCGTCTTGCGTCTGTTGCAGTGACAAAACAGCACAATTCTCTTTACCTGCGACCTGGCCCATCATCCGACCGTCAGGGTGTACTGACCTCAGCATCTTAGCACACCCTCACCGCGTTGTGTCGCGCTCCGGAATGAGCTTTCGCGGCTGCACGCTCCCAACGGCTGCTTGTCGAGCCGGCTAACTTGTCTGAGCACCAATCTCGGAGTATTGAAGCTCGTGCCCGAACAGGCGGTCACTGATGCCGGCGATGGTAGCCCCACTTGCAAGTTGCCAGAACCTCGCGTCGAGGATACATCGCGCGCCGTGGGACGCAGTGAGAAGGGAGAGAGAGATTTACAAGTAGTCTACGCTATGTAACACGGCTCTGGTCACTTAGTTATATAAGCGACCGCGTCGACTGAATCTCGTATCTTAAGTTGCGTAGCGGTGTCATATCGTTAGTTACATTGCGGACAGAAGTGGGTCTCGTGGCTCTGTGGGATTAAGTTTGGTTTAAGTCTTTGATGAAGTCTTGTAATGCTAGACGCCTTATAACGGCGCGCGAAGACAAAGAGAGAGTGGAGTGAACGAATAGATGAGCGCGTTGCGAGAACGCGCGGCGTACTCGGACGATGAGGACGCTGAGCGCCTGAAGCATAGGACGATATCGCGATAGCCGGCGAAGCCGGGAGTGGACGAGGTGTGGACTCGGAACATCCGACGTGAACGCGTGAACGTCAACGTTCAATGTCGACAACGATTCCCAACAATATGCTGTAAAGAGTAGAAAAAGACAACGCAGGCGCTACCAGGGCTCGAACCTGGGTTTTGGGAAGATGTGTTCAGAATCCCAAGTGATAACCACTACACTATAGCGCCTTAGTCCATGTGGCTTGTTATGTAATTGTGTATTTCTTGCGGTCATGTTTCATAAGCTCTATGTGCAGCCGGATGATCGCGCCTATGATAGCGGCTACCCGCGTCCTCCATGCCCCGGAGCCGGAGAGGCGACGGACGAGCATTGGGACGATTTGGATGCCGGATCGAGGACATTGATATCAGGGACGTGAACGCGGTATATATGCGCGCAGACAGTGCGCTGTAGAGGTGGATATGAACTGATGCGCATGATAGTGCCGTGGCGGGCAAATTGCGGCTACCCAAAGGAACATACTTTCGGTCGTGGTGTATGTGCATTGCATGAGGCGATCAGAGGGTATACATGCGCATGCTGCGTGTCGAAGAGTAGGGGTTCTGAAGACCGGCTACATGGACCCGTGCGTGGATCCGGCCCCGCGCGCGACAGGCTTCGAATCGTCTACTTCGACATGTGTCTGGCACGAGTGATATCGATGAGCGCGAGCAGACGCTCGACCTGACCGACTGTCGTGGAGGACGAGCAATGGCGAGACCGGACAACACAGAGCTGCCTGAGCGGTCGTCATTGGGCTGAAACAACTGAAGATGGTCGCAGGAGTGTCTGTCGTACGAGCAGTAGGCATCGAGTACGGCCAATGAGAATGGCAAGATGGGCCCAGAAGTCGTGCGAAACTTGGGGGATAACGCGAGGAACATGCCACATATGGCAGGCGATCTGAGCATGCCCCCACTTCGATTTTTTAGAAAGTGAGGCGACCCTCAGGTCGAGGCCGGCTAACCCTCCTCGCGCCCTTAAATACCCTTGCGGCGCGTTGGGGGCCTTGCGCTGTTGTGCTCCTCCCTATCCTTCTCCCCTCCTCATCCTCCTCCTCCTTCTCCTCCTCTCCCTCCCTCCGCATATCCTTCCAAAATGTCTTCGAAAGGTCTGTGCATATGCTATCATTTCTTTGCCGAGCCTGCGCGCTAATGTATGCGCGCATCAGCCATCCGTGAATACGACGCGAAACTCGTCCTCGCGTACTGGTTGGAGCGTGCCGCCCCGGTCGACGCCTCCGCGCAAGTCGCGACCAAGTTTGTCTACCCCTCGCCCAAGGTTGCGCAAGTCTCTTGGGATCCCGAGACGAACGCTATCACGGCCGACACCCAGATCCCTAGCTGGGTGTTCACCACTAAGCTCGTTGCCAAGCCCGATCAGCTCATCAAGCGTCGTGGCAAGGCCGGTCTTCTTGCGCTGAACAAGAGCTGGGAAGAAGCGAAGTTGTGGATTCAGGAGCGGGCAGGCAAGCCGCAAAAGGTGAGCGCGTCTTGTTTGACTTCTCGACCTAGGGCGCTCTATCTCTTCATCGCGGCCTTCGCGATCGATACCGCGAGCAACCCACACCTCGCTGGCGCCCCGTCCTTATTCAATGCATACGTGCTGTCACTATACCTCGTGTTCCGCGACGCGTCGCGGTACGCGTCGTTCTCTCAAGCGAGAACGCGTTCGCGCTTCCACGTGACGGTGTGGCACCACGTTCCGTTCATCTTCCTAAACCTGCTATTGATTCATTAACGTCATACTGACTGCTACTGTCCCAGGTCGAGTCTGTGACCGGCACGCTCAACAACTTCATCGTCGAACCTTTCCTTCCTCATCCCTCTGATGCCGAGTACTACGTCTGTATCAACTCCGCCCGCGAGGGTGACTACATTCTCTTCACGCACGAGGGTGGTGTAGACATCGGCGATGTCGATGCCAAGGCCCTGAAGCTCGAGCTCCCCGTCAACGCTTCATTCCCATCCCGCCAAACCATTGCCGACACCCTCCTCAAGCACGTTCCCGCCGCGAAGAAGGAGACTCTTGTCGATTTTCTCATCCGCCTCTACTCGGTGTACGTCGACCTTCACTTCGCTTACCTCGAGATCAACCCTCTCGTTGTTCTCGATGGCGTCAACGGAGGCCAGCCCACTATCCACTACCTCGACATGGCTGCCAAGCTTGACCAGACCGCGGAGTCCATCTGTGGTCCCAAGTGGGCCATCGCTCGTGATCTGTCCGTCTATGAATCTGGCTCGCAGGCAACGACGACGAAGGGAAAATCGGTGTCGGCCGACCGTGGCCCCCCTATGGTATGTTCTCTTGGTATAGTCCCGTGCACGGCGCTCATTCATATACGCGTTAGGTCTGGCCAGCACCCTTCGGTCGTGATTTAACCAAGGAGGAAGCATACATTCAGAAGCTCGATGCCTCTACCGGTGCCTCTCTGAAGCTCACTGTCCTCAACGCCGAAGGTCGCATCTGGACGATGGTTGCTGGTGGTGGTGCTTCAGTCGTATACTCAGATGCCATCGCCGCGCACGGTTTCGCGCACGAGCTTGCCAACTACGGCGAGTACTCTGGTGCTCCGTCAGAGGGCCAGACTTACGAGTACGCGAAGACTATCCGTACGTGTCATTTTCGTGCGACCTAATCTTCTTAGCTAACGTATATGCGTAGTTGACCTCATGACCCGTGGCTCTCCTCGCTCCGACGGCAAGATTCTCATCATTGGTGGTGGTATCGCCAACTTCACCAACGTCGCGGCGACTTTCAAGGGCATCATCCGCGCGCTGAAGGAGTACAAGAACCCCCTGATTACCCACCAAGTCAAGATTTACGTCCGTCGCGGTGGTCCTAACTACCAGGAGGGCCTCAAGGCGATGCGTCTTCTAGGAGAGTCGCTCGGTGTCCCAATCAAGGTCTATGGCCCGGACACCCATATTACTGCTATCGTTCCCCTCGCTCTGGGCGTTGCCAGCAAGCAGACCAGCCTTCACTCCATCGCCGCGACTCCCGTCAGCCCGCCCTCCCCCAAGGCCCCCTCTGCAAAGGACATCGAGCCCGAGGCTACTGTTGGCACTATCCACGCCGATGGCGAGCGTACTCAGCCTCAGGACCAGATTGTGTCCTTCGACACGAAGACCTCTCCTCATGCTCGCCCTGCGTATCGCCCCTTCGATGCGCAGACTCGCTCCTTCGTGTATGGCCTCCAGCCTCGTGCTATCCAAGGCATGCTCGACTTCGACTACTCGTGCGGCCGCGAAACCCCAAGTGTTGCTGCCATGATCTACCCCTTCGGCGGCCACCATATCCAGAAGTTCTACTGGGGAACGAAGGAAACCCTCCTTCCCGTCTACACCAGTGTCGCGGAGGCCGTCAAGAAGCACCCTGAGGTGGACGTCGTCGTCAACTTCGCTTCCTCTCGTAGTGTCTACTCTAGCACGCTGGAGATCTTCGAGTTCTCTCAGATCAAGAGCATCGCCCTCATTGCCGAGGGTGTCCCTGAGAGGCACGCACGCGAGATCCTGGACATTGCTCAGAACAAGGGTGTCCTCATCATTGGCCCTGCCACCGTCGGCGGTATCAAGCCTGGCTGCTTCCGTATTGGAAACTCCGGCGGGTATGTATCAACCTCACGTCGCGGTCGAGCTCCTTGACTGACGCCTTCATAGCATGATGGACAACATCATCGCGTCGAAGCTCTACCGTGCGGGCTCTGTCGGTTACGTTTCCAAGTCTGGCGGTATGTCGAACGAACTCAACAACATGCTCTCCATCAGTACCAACGGCACGTACGAGGGTATCGCCATTGGCGGCGACCGCTACCCCGGGTCGACCTTCATCGACCATCTCCTGCGCTACGAGCAAGATCCCGAGTGCAAGATGCTTGTTCTTCTCGGCGAAGTCGGTGGTATCGAAGAGTACCGCGTCATCGAGGCCGTGAAGAAGGGCGTCATCAAGAAGCCCATCGTCGCCTGGGCCATCGGTACTTGCGCGAAGATGTTCGCCACCGAGGTGCAGTTCGGTCACGCCGGCTCGATGGCGAACTCCGACATGGAGACTGCGGACGCAAAGAACTCGGCGATGCGTGCCGCAGGCTTCATTGTGCCCGAGACCTTCGAGGAGCTGCCCGAGGTTCTCAAGGCGACGTACGAGCGTCTCGTCTCCGTCGGCACCATCAAGCCTCAGCCTGAGCGCGAGCCTCCCGTCATCCCGATGGACTACAAGTGGGCGCAGGAGCTCGGTCTTATCCGCAAGCCTGCCGCCTTTATCTCTACGATCTCCGACGAGCGTGGTCAGGAGCTTCTGTACGCTGGCATGCGCATCTCCGACGTCTTCAAGGAGGACATCGGTGTCGGAGGTGTCGTCAGCTTGCTCTGGTTCAAGCGTCGCCTCCCGCCTTGGGCCACCAAGTTCATCGAGATGGTGCTCATGCTCACGGCTGACCATGGCCCCGCTGTATCTGGGTATGTTCTTAGATCGGTGGACCCATTATACGGTGCTGATGTCTTTTACAGTGCGATGAACACCATCGTTGCCACTCGTGCGGGCAAAGACCTCATCTCCTCTCTCGCATCGGGTCTTCTCACCATTGGCTCCCGTTTTGGTGGTGCGCTTGACGAGGCGGCATCGATGTTCTCGAACGCTCGCGACACTGGTCTCACTCCTCGCGAATTCGTCGATACGTGCAGGAAGCAGAACAAGCTCAGTAAGTCGCCGCCTTGTTGCTAACACGAGTACTCTCCAATGACGCGTATCCGTAGTCTCCGGCATTGGCCACAAGATTAAGAGCGTCAATAACCCTGATCTCCGCGTCGAGCTGGTCAAGGAGTATGTACGCAAGAACTTCCCTAGCCACTCCCTCCTCGACTACGCCCTCGCGGTCGAGAAGGTCACGACGTCGAAGAAGGACACCCTCATCCTTAACGTCGACGGCTGCATTGCCGTTTGCTTCGTCGACCTCCTCCGTGACAGTGGAGCCTTCACCCAAGATGAGGCGGATGAGTACATCAAGATCGGCACACTCAACGGTCTATTCGTTCTTGGTCGCAGCATCGGCTTCATCGGCCACCACTTGGACCAGAAGCGTCTCCGCGCCCCTCTTTACCGTCACCCCGCCGACGACATCTTCATCAACATGGCGGACGTCGCGCAGCCGCGCGTGCTCGGCAAAATGGCATGAGCGGGTTTGCTCTTCGGATTGAGGGAACCTTGCAACGATATTCGGATTTCGTGACGACCTTACCAATTGCACCAACAACATACTCACGCGTCTCACTGTACTTGTGCCATTATAATAAGAACAATAGATTCCCTGACCTCTGAATATATCCGTTTAGTGTTGTATGTCTTCAGAGGTAGAAGATCTCATGCGCCATATGTAATGAGCGAGCCTTCTGATCGCGGTGGACCTTGCTCATGGGTTGTCCCAGCCAGCTGCGCAACACATTACGGCATCCGATGCAGCACCATATGCTCATGTGGGAGGTTGGCCCTTGGCAATGGCACGATATGCCATATGAGCCAAGGCATGCGAAGACCAGCAGTCCATGATGCAAAGTGGTACTGTGTACGGAGGAGGAGGAGGATCGAGACTTGTACATTAAGGGACCTGCTCATTTTGACGGCTGACAGTTCAGAGCTCGCGGATTGGCTAGGGGGGCTGCACTATCGGCTAGATTTCTTTGCGCACGGAGAGCGGCGCATATATGTGTATATGCGCCGGCTGCTCCGGCGCGGGGGAGGTTCTAGCTCGCGAGCTTCAACGCACACAGTCAAAGTAGTGACTCGAATCCCTTGCAATTTTGTCCTCGCAGGCCAATCGCAGGCTCGCACTAGTGGTGCCCCTCTTTCTCCTCGACCACCACCACCGACTCTCTCCTCTCCTCCTCGCGGCCACTACACCCTCCTCACTTCCCGCCGCCACCACATCATCCCCTGGATCCGTGCGCGCACTTTCTATGGCTATCGTGGACTGCCACGCCGATCCCTCTGTTCTCCGCACCTCATTGCCCTCATCCGAATTGGAACCGCAAAATGGCTTCAATGCCGTCCAACGCGACCCCGCCTCATGGGACGCCTCTCTCCCCGCAAGCCAGGGGCTCTACATAAACGACCTCGAAAAGGATGCCTGCGGTGTCGGTTTCATCTGCCACATCAAGGGCGACCAATCCCACAAGATAGTCTCGGATGCTCGCCAACTTCTCTGTGCCATGACCCACCGCGGGGCCACTGGTGCGGACAGCCGCGACGGCGACGGCGCAGGGGTCATGACCGGCATCCCTCACCTCTTCTTCAAGCGCGAGGCGGAACGTGAGATTGCATGCGAGCTTCCTGAGCTTGGTCAGTACGCCGTCGGCAACGTCTTTTTCAAAGCAAACAACCCCGTCGGTCTCCAGCAACAGCAGGCTATGTTTTCCAAGATTGCGGGAGATCTGGGACTCCGTGTCCTCGGATGGAGGGAGGTCCCCACAGACGGCACCATTCTCGGGCCCGCTGCTGCTAGTAAGGAACCTGCTATCTTCCAACCCTTTGTCGTCCTCCACTCGCATTATGGCGATGGCACCACGCCTCGCGGCGGGGACGCGCTCGACGCGAAGCACTTCGAGTGTCAGCTGTACATCCTCCGCAAGCACGCCACGCACACCATGTTTGTCCCCTTTCACTCTCTTCATGCTCCAGAACCCGTCCGCTCAAGCTTTCCCGTTGCGTTTCCGTGCGTCCCTGAAGCTCTCTGTCAAAGGGTTTCTACATCTGCTCGCTCTCGTCGAAGAACATCGTTTACAAGGGCCAGCTCTCGCCCCCGCAAGTGTACAACTACTATCACGACCTGAACCACGTTCTGTATCGCTCTCACTTCACCCTCGTCCACTCCCGCTTCTCTACCAATACTTTTCCGAGCTGGGACCGCGCGCAGCCCATGCGATGGGCTGCACACAACGGTATGGACTGCCAAATTCAGCGCTAAGATAACATGTTGACCGACGTCATTGCGCAGGCGAGATCAACACATTGCGCGGAAATCGGAACTGGATGCGCGCTCGTGAAGGCGCGCTCTCGTCTTCGCATTTCGGCGACCAGCTCGACCTCCTCTACCCCATCATCGAGTCTGGTGGCTCCGACTCCGCGGCCTTCGACAACGTGCTTGAGCTGCTCGTAGTCAATGGCGTTCTCACCCTCCCCGAGGCTATCATGATGCTCATCCCAGAGGCATGGCAAGGGAACGACATTATGGAGCCCGAGAAGAAGGCGTTCTACAACTGGGCGGCATGTCTTCAGGAGCCGTGGGACGGTCCGGCCCTCTTCGCCTTCAGTGATGGGCGGTACTGCGGCGCCAACCTCGACCGGAATGGTCTCCGCCCCTGCCGTTACATCGTCACAAACGAGGACATCATTGTCTGCGCCTCGGAGGTCGGTGCGATCTACATCCCTCCCGAGAAGGTCATTCAGAAGGGTCGCCTCAAGCCTGGTCGCATGCTTCTCGTGGACACAGGAGAGGGCCGCATCGTCGATGACAAGGAGCTCAAGCGCACGACTGCGCGCAAGCAGAACTTCGCGTCGTGGATCGAGTCTAACATGCTCAACGTGCCCTCTATTGTCAAGCGCGTCCAGCGCACGACGCCTGTCAACCCTTCCGTTGATGGGTGGACCCTCAGCATGGACCCCAAGCTCCTCGCGTTTGGGTACACCGTCGAGCAACTCAACTTGCTCATGCTCCCTATGTTCACCGACGGCAAGGAGGCTCTCGGTTCTATGGGCAACGATGCTCCGCTCGCCGCGATGTCGACCCAGCCTCGCCTCATCTACGACTACTTCCGCCAGCTCTTCGCTCAGGTCACGAACCCTCCGATTGATCCCATCCGCGAGTCCATCGTCATGTCGCTCGAGTGTTACGTGGGGCCGGAGGGAAACCTCCTCGAGATGAATGCTCAGCAATGCCACCGAATCCTTCTTCCCTCGCCGATTCTGACTCTCGAGGAGATGAACGCGATGAAGAACCTCAAGCTTGCGTACAACACCTGGCCCTCTCGTATTGTTGATATCACTTTCCCGAAGGAGCTCGGCTTGCCCGGCTACAAGCTCGCGCTCGAACGAGTGTGCAGCGAGGCGATGCAGGCGATCGAGGACGGCGTCAAGGTCATCATCCTCTCGGACCGCGAGACTGGCCCCGCACGTGTCGCGCTGTCTGCGTTGGTTGCGTGCGGCGGCGTCCACCACCACCTCGTCACGCAGAAGAAGCGGTCCCGCATTGCTTTGATGGTAGAGACCGCGGAGGCGCGCGAAGTTCAGCACCTTTGCGTTCTTCTTGGGTACGGCGCGGACGCGATATGCCCATGGCTCACCATGGAGTGCATTCACAAGATCGTCCGCGAAGGATTGTAAGTATCAAGCCGTCTTTGCATGAAACGAGCGCTAAACAATCATACAGGGTCAAGGACGACAATACGGTCGAGGACCTGATGAGCAACTACCGACACTCCGTCGACGGCGGTATTCTCAAGGTTATGTCGAAGATGGGTATCTCCACCCTCCAGTCATACAAGGGCGCCCAGATCTTCGAGGCTCTCGGCTTGCACACCGAGGTCATCGAGAAGTGCTTCATCGGCACTGCTAGTCGCGTTCAGGGCGCCACCTTTGACCTGCTCGCGATGGACGCCTTTGAGATGCACGAGCGTGGCTGGCCCACTCGGGATACCATCCTCCCTCCTGGCATGCCCGAGTCCGGCGAGTACCATTGGCGTTCCGGCGGCGAAGCGCACATCAACGACCCCGCCGGTATCGCGAACCTACAAGACGCCGTTCGGGAGAAGAACCAGCGCGCGTACGACGCCTACGCCTCTAACGCCAACGATCAGACCAAGGCAGTGCATCTACGCGGCCTCCTTGACTTCCGTTTCGAGAACACGACACCCATCCCCATAGAACAAGTCGAGCCGTGGAACGAAATCGTCCGGCGCTTCGTCACGGGCGCCATGTCGTACGGCTCTATCTCGATGGAAGCGCACTCGACGCTCGCAATTGCTATGAACCGCCTCGGTGGAAAGTCCAACACCGGCGAGGGTGGTGAGGATGCCGAACGCTCGACGGTACTCCCGAATGGGGACACGATGCGTTCCGCGATCAAGCAGGTCGCCTCCGGGCGCTTCGGCGTCACCTCCAACTACCTCGCGGACGCCGATGAGCTCCAGATAAAGATGGCACAAGGAGCCAAGCCGGGCGAAGGTGGAGAGCTGCCGGGGCACAAGGTGTCGACGTCGATTGCACGCACACGTCACTCTACCGCCGGTGTCGGTCTCATCTCGCCCCCGCCTCACCACGACATCTATTCCATCGAGGACCTGAAGCAGCTCATCTACGACCTCAAGTGCTCGAACCCCCGTGCCCGCGTGTCAGTGAAGCTCGTGTCCGAGGTCGGCGTCGGTATCGTGGCGAGCGGAGTCGCGAAGGCGAAGGCGGACCACATCCTCATCTCTGGCCACGACGGCGGTACTGGCGCCTCGCGCTGGACTGGTATCAAGTATGCCGGACTTCCGTGGGAGCTTGGCCTCGCCGAGACCCATCAGACGCTCGTCCTCAACGACCTCCGTGGGCGTGTCACCGTCCAGACGGATGGCCAGGTTCGGACAGGGCGCGACATCGCTATTGCATGCTTACTTGGCGCTGAAGAGTGGGGTTTCGCCACCACGCCGCTCATTGCGATGGGTTGTATCATGATGAGGAAGTGCCACTGTAAGTTATCATTGGCTCTTTTGGAAGTGCTCTGACGATTCTTTCAGTGAACACCTGCCCCGTCGGTATCGCTACTCAGGATCCTCAGCTTCGCGCCAAGTTCGCTGGACAGCCTGAGCAAGTCATCAACTTCTTCTACTACATCGCTGAAGACCTTCGTCACTACATGGCCAAGCTCGGCTTCCGGACAATCAACGAGATGGTCGGCCGCGCAGACATGCTCAAGGTCGACGAGAAGCTCCGCACCCCAAAACCGCCCATCTCGACCTCAGCGCTATCCTCAAACCCGCCTGGCAAATGCGCCCTGGTGCGGCTACGTACCGCGTCCGCCCACAAGACCATAAATTGTACATTCGCCTGGATAACAAGTTCATCGACGAGTCGGAGCCCGCGCTCACCCAGGGTCTTCCGGTCCACATTGAGTGCGACGTGACGAACACCGACCGCGCACTCGGCACATCGTTGTCCTACAGGGTATCCAAGTTGTACGGCGAGGAGGGGCTGCCTAAGGACACCATCCACATCCGCATGTGTGGCTCTGCCGGCCAGTCTCTTGGCGCCTTCCTGGCACCCGGGATCACCATCGAGCTCGAGGGAGACGCGAACGATTACGTTGGAAAGGGTCTCTCCGGCGGTCGCCTCATCGTCTACCCGCCGAAGCAGTCGACGTTCAAGGCCGAGGAGAACATCATCACCGGAAATGTCTGCCTGTATGGTGCAACCTCTGGCGAGGCCTTCATCCGCGGCATCGCGGCCGAGCGATTTGCTGTGCGCAACTCCGGCGCCCACGCCGTCGTTGAGGGCACGGGAGACCACGGCTGCGAGTACATGACCGGGGGTCGTGTTGTCGTTCTTGGCAGCACGGGGCGCAACTTCGCGGCGGGCATGTCCGGCGGTATCGCATACGTTCTAGACACAGCCCACACGTTCGCGTCCAAGGTCAACATGGAGATGGTCGAGCTCGGGAAGGTTACAGACCCACGGGAGATCGCAGAGTTGCGCGGGCTCATCGAGGACCACCGGCACTACACGGGCTCGGAGGTTGCGGACCGGGTGCTACACGACTTCCACCATCTTCTGCCGCTCTTCGTGCGGGTGATGCCGGGCGACTACAAGCGCGTGCTCGAGGAACAAGACATCAAGGCGAAGGAGGAACGGATGCGCCAGAGCGTCATCGACCTTGTCCCGTCGCGCACAGCGAGCCAGGTCAACCTCGCGTCAGAAGAGCTTCAAGGCCTGCTCAGCCCGCGGGAGCCATTGTCGCGCATGAGCCGCACGTCCTCGCGCGCACGCTTCGAGCCGGCGGTGCTCGACGTCGAGGACTCCCTCGTGGACGAGCAGACGACGAAGAACCGGTTGAGCAAGCTCGACAAGACGCGTGGGTTCATGAAGTACAAGCGACTCACGGAGACATATCGGCCCCCCGGAAGCGGGTCAAGGACTGGAAGGAGATTTCACACCGGTTGACGGATGACGAGCTCAAGTACCAGTCAGCTCGATGCATGGACTGCGGCGTGCCGTTCTGCCAGTCCGACACGGGATGCCCAATCTCGAACATTATCCCGAAGTGGAACGACCTCGTGTTCAAGAACCAGTGGCAAGACGCCCTCAACCGCCTCCTTATGACGAACAACTTCCCCGAGTTCACGGGTCGGGTGTGCCCCGCGCCCTGCGAGGGCGCCTGCGTGCTTGGGATCAACGAGCAGCCCGTGGGTATCAAGAGCATCGAGTGTGCTATCATCGACAAGGTTTGTCGGAAAGTGCAGTCTTGAAAAGAGGAATACTCACATGGTCTCAGGGCTTCGATATGGGTGGATGTCCCCAAGATTCCTGAGCATCGTACGAACAAGAAGATCGCGATCGTGGGCTCAGGTCCTTCTGGTCTGCTGCCGCCGATCAGCTGAACAAGGCCGGCCATTGGGTTACGGTGTACGACCGCAACGACCGCATCGGTGGGCTGCTGATGTACGGCATTCCGAAGTACGTGCTGCGTTGTTCTCGGATGGCATCTCTGATCATCATTGCAGCATGAAGCTTGACAAGGCTATCGTTCAGCGCCGTGTTGACCTTATGGTTGCAGAGGGCGTGGTACGTGTTCCAGTCCAATTGGGGTTAGCGACGCCACCTCACGCATCATATCCTAGACGTTCGTCACGAACACTTTCGTTGGCAAGGACATCGAGATGGAGGAGCTTCGTCAACAGAACGACGCTGTCATTCTCGCCACCGGGGCGACCTGGCCGCGCGACTTGAAGATCGCCAACCGTGAGGTCGACGGCATCCACTTCGCCATGGAGTTCCTCCAGCTCAACACGAAGTCGCTCCTCGACTCCGAGCTGCAGGATGGCAGCTATCTCAGCGCTAAGGGCAAGGACGTATCGTCATCGGCGGCGGTGATACTGGCAACGACTGCATCGGAACCTCGATGCGCCATGGTGCTAAGTCGGTCACGAACTTCGAACTTCTGCCAAAGCCGTCCGCGGCGCGCGGCCACGACAATCCCTGGCCGCAGTGGCCGCGCATCTTCCGGACCGACTATGGGCACACTGAGGTCGCGGCACACTTCGGGAGCGACCCGCGGGAGTACTGCATCTCGACCAAGGAGTTCGTCGTCGACGCCAACGGCAAGCTGTCCGGGTTGAACACGGCCCGTGTCGAATGGACCAAGGATAGCGGCGGGCGCTGGAAGATGGAGGAGGTGCCTGGATCGGAGAAGTTCTTCCCCGCACAGCTCGTGCTCCTCGCGCTCGGCTTCTTGGGCCCCGAGGCGGAGCTCCTCAAGTCCATCGGCGTCAAACAGGACGCGCGGAGCAACATCCAAACGCCGCCGAACGTGAGCAGGTGACACCATGCCTGTTAACTTGTGCTGAGAGATTCGTGCAGAAATACTCGACGAGCATCGAGGGTGTCTTCGCTGCTGGCGACTGTCGTCGTGGACAATCCCTCATCGTCTGGGGAATCCAGGAGGGTCGCCGTTGTGCCGCCGAGGTTGACGCTTGGCTTAGCGAGGGCAAGACGCGTCTTCCATTCGATGGTGCCATCAAGCAAAGAGTGAGCACATTCGTCTATCTCGGCGCTTATGAGTATTCTAATCATCGTAACCATCAGACGTTCAAGCCTCCGACCAGTACTCTTACTCCTGGCAGTGCCCAAACCATCCAAGTCCAGGGCTAAGGAGTCTCACAACCTTCAGTCAGTCAGTGCTGGCTCGTCGAACCAGTGATGTTGTCAGTCGGTGAATCGGTTATGGTGGGAGCATCTGGTAGTTCTTCTGTAGTCAACAATTCATGTACCAGTATTTCATTCAATGTGTTTCATATGTTCGCGTCAGTCTGAGATATCGAATTCCCAACGCTGTGTATTAGCAGCCAATGACTCATCTTTTGGAGTCGTTCAGTCTTCATTTCTGCACAGAACCGCTAGGATTCCTCAAATGCTATGTATAGAATCCATAAGATCGTCATGCTCGCGGACGCTGACGACATCAAAGCCAACTCTATCCTGCCGAATAGCGGGCCCGGGTGCGTAGCCCTCACGTTCTCAGATAATCAATTGAGCTGATTCGTCAACACTACTGTAGTCACGCCAGCAGAAGCTAGAGGGGTAGTATACATTCATATCGTGTCCCGAAAATCGACAGTCAATGGGAAACTCAAGAGCCTGCTTGCGGCAGCATGGGCTTGGTTCCCGATCGGAAGTCTGGAATGGCATGGGCATGTCTGCCAACGGAACAAGGCGCTAAATCTGTCAGAATGATCCGTCTGAATCCAGCAAACAACCGACAATCTCCATGAAGCACGCACCGACCCGAGTTATAACGGAGTATAAGAAGGCGAGCGCTGCGAAGTTCAGTCAGCCAAAAATCCGTCTCATCCCTGAACCCACCCCACCTACTCGGCGTTTTCCATCTCACAGACTACAGCCCCACTCGACATGCCGGCCATAGCTTCAGGCAAGGTTCTTGTTACCGGCGCGAACGGATACATAGCAGCTTGGATTGTCAAATACTTCCTTGAAGCCGGCTTCTCCGTCAGAGGCACCGTCCGCGATGTGAGCAAGGGAGCTCACCTGATGGACGTCTTCAGCTCGTACGGCGACAAGCTGGAGTTCGTCGCTGTGGAAGACATGACCCAGGTGACTTTCACGGTCCCAGCATCTCGACGAAAGCTCACCCACCTCGCTCACCGCACAGGACGACGCGTTCTACGCCGCCGCCGCCGCCGTCGACGCCATCGTACACACCGCCAGCCCCGTCAACCTCGACGCCGACGACCCGAACGAAGAGATCGAGCCCGCCGTGCGCGGCACGCTCTCCGCGCTCCGCGCCGCCGCGCACACCCCGTCCGTGCGGCGCGTCGTCACCGTCTCGTCCTTCGCCGCGGTCGTCGACCGCGCCGCGACGGGCGCGCGCGTGTACGACGAGAGCATGTGGAACGACGCCGACGTCGACGGGTCGCGCGCCTCGGCCGCGGCGCCGGGCAGCTCGCCAAGTACGCCGCGAGCAAGGTGCACGCGGAGCGCGCGGCGTGGGCGTACTTCCGCGCGGCGAAGGCGGAGGCGGAGGCGACGGGCGAGGAGCTCCGCTGGGACCTGGCCGTCGTCGTGCCCCCGTGGGTGTTTGGGCCGACGATCCACGAGGTGCGCGGTGGGCCCGAGACGCTGAACGGCTCGAACTTGTATCTGCACAAGGTCGTTTTTGAGGGCGTTATGTTGGGGAAGCCGTGAGTGGCCGCATCCACATTCCATCGAAGCATTACGTTGACGGGGGATCTCAGGCATTGTTGGACGGACGGACGCGACGTCGCCCGCGCCTGTCAGCTCTCTGTCACTAGTCCTGCGGCGGGAGGTGAGAGGCTGCTCATTTGCGATAGTGTGTTTAGGTGGGAGGACTGGGGTACGTACGCATCGCACCGTTCGTTGTCCGCCGGCCTCCTGACGATGATTTGCAGGCCTCGCTGCGGGAAAATTCTCTTCCAAGGCGCATTCGGTGTCTCCGACTTATGACCCGTCGGCGACGTACGAAACCCGCATCAACTCCAACAGGGCGCGCGAGGTGATTGGAATGACCAAATATCACAGTATAGAGGAGACCATGAAGGACATCATCGCAGACTACGCTGCACGTGGGTGGGCATTTAACTGATTAGAAATGTTAGATGATTGAAGGCAATTAAAAAATCTGTATGCATTTTCTCCGAGATTGAGGCAGGGACAGTCACGTAGAGGACATGGACGTGGCTCTTGGGAGAGAGAGATGTATGAATCGCCTACTAGTACGCACCGACGGTTGCCAGTCGCGAACTCGTGCCAACTGGCCCGATCGGGCCGGAGTGCCAACGAGTTTGAAATTCGCCAAAGTCGAGTCCCGACCAAATCCGACGCTATCCGCTAACTCCTCCCTTCAAGTTCAAGCTACTCCTCCTTTTCGAGCCGCGACGTCTACAAGTCCACAATCGGTCCCCATGCTCGTACTCTGCTTCGGCTTGTAAGTCGTTCGACCCGGCTCTCTTCCGGTGCCAAGTCTCGGACTGGCCCTCCAATCCCCAGCTGAGTCCGTTTTATATATTACTTCAATTTGCAGAGCAAGCCTTCGCGCACCCTCAGAGGAAATTCGAAGCAGGAGGCATGTACCGACCGGTGAATGGCAATAAAACGCATGTGCTGCCAATCTATGGCTTGCCACATAGCGCTCCGAGTATGGATGGAAATTCCCCATGACTCGATCGTGGCCCGCTTGCATATTCGTACGCCATGTGAGGGTTCAAGGTATAAAAGCCACTCTCGACGCAGACGACTAGCTACATAACTCACACTCCCGCCCACTCCATCCGACTACCACTCAATAATACCCACAACCACTTCCCAATATCCCTTTCTGAAAATGCCAGCAGTCACTTCGGGCAAGGTCCTCATCACTGGCGCGAACGGCTATATATCTACCTGGACTGTCAAAGCTTTCCTCGACGCCGGGTTCTCCGTCCGAGGCACAGTCCGTGAGGAGCGAAAGGCCGAGCACCTCAGGAAGGTCTTCAGCACATACGGTGATCGATTCGAGATCGCCCTCATCCCCGACATGACCCTCGTGCGCTCCCACCTTTTGCACCTCCTCATCCTACTGACGTCCGCCCACTTAGGACGACGCGTTCGACGCGGCCGCAGCGGGCACCAGCGCGATCATCCACACCGCCTCCCCCGTGAACCTCCTCGCCGTCGAGCCCGCGGAGGCGATCGTCCCCGCCGAGCGCGGCACCGTCTCCGCCCTCCGCGCCGCCGCGCGCACGCCCTCCGTCCGCCGCGTCGTCCTCCTCTCCTCCTTCGCGACCGTGATCGACCCGCGCGCGCCCGTGTCCGGCCCGGACGCGCGCGCGCGGGTGTACGACGGCGCGTGCTGGAACGAGGGCGACCCGGCCGAGGTCGCGCGGCTCGGGCGCGCGAGCACGGGCGTGAACAAGTACCGCGCGAGCAAGGTCGCCGCGGAGCGCGCGGCGTGGGCGGCGTACGGGGAGGCGAAGGCGGCGGGCGGGGGGAGCTGCGCGTGGGACCTCGCGGTCGTGAACCCGCCGTGGGTGTTTGGGCCGGTGATGCACGAGGTGCGTGGGGGCCCGGAGACGATGAACGAGTCGAACAAGTACTGGCACAGGACGGTGTTCGAGGGGAAGCCGGTCGGGGTGCCGTGAGTGTTCGAGCCAACTCGAGGGCTCGGGACAGTTGCTGACCGCTGACCGGCGGGTTGAAGGCACTCGTGGATCGACGCGCGCGACCTCGCGACGGCGCTGCTGCTGACCACCACCATTCCTGCGGCGGGCGGCCAGCGGTTCCTCGTCGCAGAGGGTCCGTTCAGATGGGAGGACTTCAGTACGTTTTCAGTTACCTTTCGGTGGTTGTGGGTGCTGATGTGTCGGTACAAGGGCTGCTCGTGGCAAAGGAGTCGAGCAAGGCGCCTCCTCTCGAAGATCCCTACGATCCGAGTGCCGAGTACCTCATTCGGGCGGACACTCGCCCTGCGCAAGAAATTCTGGGGATGGTCAAGTATAGAAGCAAAGAGGAGATGGTGAAGGACATGTTGGCCGACTATGCATTGCGCGGCTGGCTGTGAGGTTGCATGGGTGGCAGGCATTAGGTGGGTATGGGACTGCATTGTTGTACGACATGTGAACAACGGATCGTTCTCAGCAAGCCCCGGGGACTGACCAGTGATGCGGACTCGGAGCTTATTGGCAGTGAATACAGGCCCGAGGCCCAAGACACACGACCACACGGCGGTACATACTTACCAGCTACAGCAAGACAGAACATCTCGACGGCCCAGAACGTTCCCTCGCTACCCATCGGAGCGCTTCGATAACACAGCGCAGTAAGCACAGGCATCAAATTTGCGTACGATATGCCACGTTCGTCCGCTATATCGCAGCGGCGACCAGGGTACATGTTGAACCGCCCGGGAGGAAACCCAGAACCCAGGGATCGAAACCGTACATGACATCGTGGCCAGCACAAGCCCCGCACACTATACACAGCGCTAGCATGCGGCACACAGTTGCTTCCTCAGCGCCGGGATGATGCCCATTCAGCGAGGAGGCCGTCCTCGGGGCGGACATAGGCGATCTGACCCGAGGTGCCCGGGGGCTCGTGGGGGAGTTTCCCGCTGTTCAAGAGCGTGTCTGTCTTTAGAGTCTTTGGCAACTGTGTTGAATCTCGACTGGGGACGAGCGGACCCGCCGTGCGATCTCTTTGCCTCCGAGCGCGCGAAAATCATGGATCACGAACTGAAACGAGCCTCTGGCGTGTGATGCGGATGGCGTCGGGGTTAATGGGGGCGGATGGGCAGACCAGAGGTCAGGTCGCAACACGGAATGCGTAGGGAGGAGCGCAACCGCTGCGTTGTCACTTGTCGTAAGATGTGACCGAGAGCGACAGACGGACATCCTATTTTAAATTCATAGACGATCAGATTTCAGGAAGTCGGAAGGTGTGGGCTGGTGTACTTACGCCGACATATTCCAACTCGGCAGGCGTGAGGAAAGAATGGCCGAACCGTGCCGCGGGCGGCAGAGAATGAGAGCATGGTGACAGTGAACCGGCTCGTTGCTCTCGAATATTGACGGAGCAGCAAGTATGCCATTCGGGGGTGCGGGGCTGGACGCACGAGGCGAACGTGCTGGTAGTCATCGTGGCTCGTGTGAGAGGCGGGTTGGGAGACGAGGGAAAGGGTGCTTGTTCGTACTTCAAGGTTTACGCACGGGGCCCGAGCGCCCGGCGCACACTGGGTGGACGGAAGCGCCGTTCTCGTCCGTCTCGCGAGGCTGCTGCCGGTGCCACTTTTCTGCCGCTCTTTCTCTTTCCTTCGACGCTCTCTGCCATCCGGTCACCTGCGCGGCCCACCTCGACCTCCCCAACCGACGGGCTTCAGCCTTTCGGGAATTGGCTGCCCGCTTGACGTATCACCCTCTCGTGCGTGGCCGTGCGCTCCACCGCGGGGCCGCTCCTCCCCACTTCGTTCCCTCTCTCCCAATAACTTCTCTTTCTCCTCATGTCGCCTCTCTGAACCCCCTCAACGCCCCCTCCACAACCCGTGCGCCGGCACTCCCCCCGCATCCTCTTCGTTGCCCGCCAACCCGCTCGCTGCGACCCCCCCGCGCATCCTGCCCACGAGCATGCGTACTCAACAGCCTCGCGCCCGCTCGCTGTGCGTTAACGACCTCCACTGCGCCTCTGCTTCCTCCCGCCCATCCTCTTCCGCCCCTCGCATGACCTCCCCTTCCCGTTTACGACCCCGACGACAAACACAAGCCTCTCTCCGACCCTCCTCCCCGTCCTGTCCTTCCTCCTCTCGATTGCACGACCCCGCGGTCAAGCCCTCTGACGCTGGACGCCCCCGCCCCGACGCCCTTCGGGAGCCCTGTCTTTCTTCTCCCCCACGCCCTCTCGACGCCTCCCCAACCACCGACGCGACGCTCTCCATCGTCCGCCGTACCATCCACGATCGCGCTACGGCGCGGGGAAGCCGCGCCGATCGCATTCCGTCGCGCTCGCGGATGCAATCGCATACAGCTGTGCCCTCTCGCGCCCTCCCACAAGAGCGGCCTTCCGCTGCCCGGAAAGCGGCCCATCGCAGGAGAACAAGCGAACAAACTCACGGTCGCTTGCATGGCGCTCGGTGAGTGTTTGCCGCGATCACAGCTACCAGTATGGCGCGCATACATACAGCACTGCCGAACCTCAGAAACGGGTCGCTCTTCACCGCTTGCTGTTGAAGGTGACCTTGTGGACGTGTGTTGTACCCGATGGGTGCCTCCGGTTTTTTCCCTCAGCCGTTCTCTTGTGGACCTCTGCGATCAGAACGTGTCTAATTTGGCCTTTCAGATCCACTCTTCGTTGGTCTGCAGTCTTTGCGTTGTTCGCGCTCGGTCTGTTCTCGATTCCACAGATCGAGGCTGGCATTATCCCTACGACTTCCCTCTCCGACTGGGATCTGCTGGCATCGCCAACTCCCGCTCCACCAGACACTCCACCTGGCGCCTACCTCCATCTGTGGCCAGGACGTCAGGTTGCCACGGCACGGACTCGACATCCAGCATCTCCAGCTTCCCACGCTCCGACAGTCCACCGCGCGAGTTCAACAAGCGCTGCATTTCCACGGATACGCCAGTACGTCATTCGTGGTCGCTTGCCCACGCCGCTCACTCATGGTACCTCTCCACCCTAGTCTTCGACGAGCCAAACCACAGTCCGAGTACGACTGTCGCACCTGTACGTGCTGCATCCATTGATTCACGCCCCTAGATGATGTGGCTAATCACACTTCCCGTTTGTTCTCTCCAACATTCACATGTGGTCTATTCTCACGCGACAGACAACGGACACTCGTCTATGTCGATCACGGACACCACGACGTCAACGACAAGTTCCACCTCGACTGAAACTACGTCGACCACTACCACGTCAACACCGGACACGTCGACAGCTACCTCAGTTTCGACAACGTTGACGAGCTCGGACACCGCGACGATGGCCTCCACAAGCACAACGTTCACCAATACTCCGTCGAGTACAACGTCAATGTCGACCGACACGTCGACCAGCACCACCTCGACGGGCACGTCAACAAGTACTACATCGACCGAGTCGTCAGCAAGTACTACCGGGTCATCGAAAACCAGCACACAAACGTCGGAAGGCGCTACAGAGACGTCCACAAGCTCAACCCATACGTCGAAAAGTGCCACTTCCACCGACACGTCGTCCATCATCGACACTACGACCATAACCGGTAGCTCTCGTACCGAAACGTTGGCGTCAACGTCGCAACCGACCACCCGCAGTGAAACGGGATCGTCCACGTGAGTTCTCACTTGTTGATTTACTTCTTGTTTCTCCCCTCCCGCAGTTCTTTTTAGTTAGAATTTCATGAGCTTCATCCTGCACGTTGTGTAGTCACAAGGTTATCTCGGTTTTCGAGGGCTCATATGCACGGTTGGTTTCCAGTGGTGTGGGGAATACATTTGCCACGGGCCCGTCCTCCACAGATACCTCAGCAACTCCTACGTCAGAGCCTCCATCTACCCGTACGACCGCGCAGCCAACCTCCACCACCGTACCCACCACTTCGCCCCCTTCTTCTACAGACCCGGAACCTACCTCCACTCATGATGTTACGACCACTGACACTGCAACGACTAACACGAGCCCTCTTCCCTCTTCGGACTCTACCGCACTTCCACCAACTTCTATAATTTCGAATACGGACACATCGAACCCGACTTCGGACTCGACCCTTGCTTCCACTTCACTTCCTACCGTCATACCAACATCCCTCCCATCCTCCCGTCCGACGTCCATCTCAACGTCAGTACCCATTTCCATCTCCGCCAGTGAGCCTTTGTCGATCCCCACGAGCCTTCCCGCTTCCTCGGTTTCTATCTCTGTGCAGACGACTCTCCCTGTGTCTATCCCTTCCTCCATCCCGACATCCTTGTCCGTTTCCTTCCCGTCGTCATTTCCCCAGTCCTTCCCGACATCCGTTTCGATCATCGAGACATCTGCTTCCGTGTCTTTCCCTACTGTTGCTCCCAGTTCCTCCGTGATGCTGCCGAGTTCCACCATTTTGGGAAGTAGTTCTGACTTCATGAACAGTAGCCTCACCGCGGATCCTATCACAAGCACGCCGCCGGTATTGTCTCCAAGCTCAAGCACCTTGTCGGGCGTCATCACCACTGTGGAGACTACGACGCTCACTACGAACGGCCATTTGACCACCAAAACGTACACCACGGTCATCCCCACCGGCAACCTCATTCCAGGAGATGGGAATAACCCGAACGTGTGCGTAACAAAGTCCTAGAATGTATGCTACCAGCTGACAAACCTCTGGGATAGCTTTGCTCACAGCAAGGGGGCTCTAGCTGGGTTGATCGTAGGTTGCGTGGCTGTCGCCGGCGTCATCCTCGCGTTGGCTATCTTTGCTTCCCGGCGTCACCGTGTACGCCATGCTGAAAACGCCGCCCTCAACAACTGGAGTAACCGTGCGATGACCCTCGACGACGAAGCAGCACCCGGCTCGGAGACACACTTCATCGGCGCCGGATCTGCTTCCCGCAGCGGTCCGTTGTATGATCGACTCCGTGGTGGAAACAACCCCGGCTCACCCGGCGCGGAAGGCGACAGTAGCCTCAGCAGCGCTGACGGCCGCGCCCAGGGCACCGCCGGTGGGGGCCTCCTCCCTCCCATCCCGATGCTCAACCCGATCGGCGATGGCGAGAGCGCGATGCTCATGCACCCCGCCAACCGCTCCGCCACGGAGTTCAACGAGCCCGACCTCGCGAAGGCGCACCCGCCCCCGCCCAAGTCGCCCGCGCTCTCGGAGATCGTCGCGGCAGTGGGTGCAGGCCCCGCAGACGGCGCGACGTGGGTCGGCGGCCACCCGGCGCTTTCGTATCAGTCCATGCGGCAGGGCTCGCCGATCTCTCCGTCGTCGCCCTCTCCGGTGCTGCGCCCTGCGAGCGAGGACTCGGTCTACTCGGATGACGTCTTGTCGATGCGGCAGTCCACGGGCAGCCCGGACTTGGCGTCGGACACTGCGGCGGTTGCGGCCCTCGGAGGGCTCTACTCCGCCTACCATCCCAGCGTGTCGTCGCACGACCACGACCGGTCCTCCGGCCACGACCACTCTTCCGCACACGGGCATTCGTCTTCCGCGCACGGCCACGGCGCGGGCTCCTCGTCAGGCGGGCACGGCAGTTCCAGCGGACACCGCGCCTACCTCGGCTCGCACGACAGCCACCAGCCGCTCATCCCGCACTCGCCCCTGCTCTCACGCAGCCCGCCGCCTATCGCTCCCCCCTCAAGCCTCCTGCCCACACACCGCCAGAGCAGCGCCGCGAGCAGGCGCCGCGGCCCCACCGAGGACGACGAGGGCGAAGACCGCCGGAACAGCCGCGTCAGCGGCCTCTTCGACCGCTCCCTCCGCGGCCTGCGCCTCCGCTCCGCCCGCGGCAGCATCACCTCACTCTCCTCGACCTCCCCCGCGCCCGTCTCCTCCCCGTCCGCGAGCACGACCCTGCTCGCGAACGTGAGCCCGCGCGCGTCCACACACGCGTTCGCCTCTGCGCCCGCGCCTGCACCCGCGGCCGAGCCCCCGCGGCCTTCGAGCATATATCGCCCACAGAGCCCGGCGCTCGCTGGCGTCCTCCGGCGCACGTCCGCGGCGTCGTCGATCCCCGCGGGTGCCGCGCCGCCCGCCGTGCCGGCGGCGCGCGCGCCGTGGGCCTTGGCGCTGGGCCCGCTGCCGGAGCCGAGCCCCGCGCTCACGGAGGGCTCGAGCACGCACGCGCCGGACGGGCTGCTCGACCCGCGGTTGGGCCTGCTCGGCCAGCACGGGATGCGGAGCCAGGGCGCGATCAGCTTCCGGGACGACATGGACTACTCGCGGCCGATTGGCGGGGTGAGTGGAGTTTTGACCGGCGTTGCGAGGACGAGGCTGACGGGGCGTTGTTTTTCGTGTTGCAGCTCGTGAACAACCGGCAGGACAGCCGGATGACGATCCAGACGGTGTCGTCGACGGTGGACACCCTCCCGCGGCCGTCGCTCGAGTCCCGCGACACGGAGACGACGGAGATGGCCGGACGGCTGGACGGACGCGGGCAGGCGTTTTAGAGCCTCCTCGCGCTGTATCTCCTTTCTCCCTCTCCTGCAGACTCCCACTAGACTCCCGCGTGGGTACTAGGTACCGCGACCCAATACCCTCTTCACTTCGGGATAGGATAACTAGGTCGCCTCGCCTCGTCTCACCTTACGGTAGAACTTGCTTTCACGGATTCTCAACATACACGCACGCTCCTCGCACGCACGCTCGGATGGATGGATCCGCCGCTCGACGCCTCGGATCAGGACTCGGACCCGGACCCCTTCCCATACCCTTATTCGCGCTATCCTCGCACTTGTTGACATACCCTAACGCTCGTCGTAACTGTCTCCGCTGCATATGTGTACTGACTCACCCTTTATACCTCTGTCCCCCAAGACCCTCCCTATATACTTACCCTATCGCTGTCCATCGCTTTCTACTAGGACCGGAATTAACTGTAGCTGTATTGTCAGAACGTTCCGCCTTACATACACGAATTGTGACGATTTATAGAACTAGTACCATCCCGCCCACTGTTGTCACTGTCGCATGAAACGTCGCAACCTGCTGTACGCGCGTGGCACGAACCCGGAGACAAACTGCGGGCTTTTAATGTGGACTGATAGAAGTACATATGTTTACACTGCGGTGTCTAAAGGATACAAGAGTTCCCTCGGGGATTCGTCCAGGCCCTACAGCCACCCCTTCGCCTTGAAGTCGTCGAGGATGTCCTTTGTCGTCTCCTCCATCGACCGGAACGGCGTCTTGAGCAGCTCCCGCTCCTTGTCGGGCACGTACCGGATCGCGTACGTAGCCTTCTCGGGGTCGTAGGACGTGTCTCCCTCCTGGATCTCCGGGTACAGCTTGTGCGCGATCGTTACTGGCGAGGTGTCAAGCGTCAGCTCAGGTTCAATGTGCGCTCAAGATACAGCTCGAAGCGCACCCCAGTTCTGCCAGTTGAACGGCCCGGCGCTGACGATGATCCGCTGGCCCGCGGCGTCCTGCTTCTGGAGGGCGAGGACGTGCGCGAGCGCGAGGTCGCGCACGTCGACGTACGACGACCTGCCCCGTCCCGTCAGTCCTCCTGTGTGGTCAAGAGACTCGGGACGCGCGACGGGCACTCACCCGACCGTCGCGAGCTGCTCCGTCGTCTTCGCGCCCTTCACGACGGACTCGTACCAGTCCCGCGCGCTCTCGTTCAGCCCCACCGCGTCGCGCACCTCGTGCAGCACCGGCCCGAACACGAACGGCGGGTTCAGCACGACGAGGTCCCAGTCGACCGCGCCCGCGCCGAGGAGGGCCGCGTGCGCGGCCCACGCGGCGCGCTCCGCGAGCGTCTTGCTCGCGCGGTACTTCTCCGCGGGCGGCGCGGCGCGCCCGGCGGCCTCCACCGCGCGCACGCTCGCCTCGTTCCAGTCCGCCTCCGCGAACGCGCGCCCGGAGGCGTCGCCCGGGGTGAGCACGGCGGCGCACGAGCTCGTGACGACGACGCGCTGGAGGCGCGGGCCGGCGTGCGCGGCGGCGGAGGCGAGGATGCCGGTCGTGCCGGCGACGGCGGGCGTGATGAGCTCCGCGGGGTCGTCGGCGTGGAAGTGGAAGGGGGAGGCGGTGTGGAGGATGGCGTCGACGCCCTGGACGGCGGCGTCGAACGCGCCGGGCTGCGTCGGGGTCGGTGGGGGTCGGGGGTGGCGGGTGAGAGGGAGAAGGGCGGGGGACGCACGACGGTGATGTCCTCGACGACGACGAGCTCGAGCTTGTCGCCCGCGTCGGCGAAGAGCGTGCGGAGGTGCGCGCCCTTGCTCTCCGCGCGGACCGTGCCGCGGACGGTGAAGCCGCGGTCGAGGAGGGTCTTGACGACCCAGACGGCGATGTAGCCGTTCGCGCCGGAGACGAGGACCTTGCCGGACTCGATGGCTGGCATGCTGGACTCGGACAGTGGCCTGTGGAGGTTACGAGAGGCGAGCGCGTGGACGCGGAGCGGGAGTGCGAACGTGGCGGACGCGGGCTGCCGTTGAGCTTTATAGCGAGTGGGAAGGCGCGATCGCGATAAGGAGGCCTGAGAGGACAGCTAGAGCCGGGAGGTCACATGATGGCGCCCCGCTGGACATGGACGAGTGGTGACATCATCGTGTTGTCGGGCCGTGCTGGAGAGAAAGGCGCAACATATGTCTTCCGCGAACTTCTTGCCAGTGGGCAGAAACACAAGAACAAATGTCACAAGTGCAACGATCCTCACGTGAATGTGACACCTCGTGAATCGAGGCGCGCAAAGACAAGGTGCGCGGGCTTCTTGGCATCTTGCGTTGACGTTGAAGCGGCCGTGAGTACTCGCGAGTACTGAGTACTTACTAGCGGAGCGGCGTCGTGTCATGTGGGTGCGTGTGCTAGCGTAGAGCGCAGACAACGGGCTATACTACACGCCAGACACACAATGCCAGGCCTGCTGCTCAGTGGCTGCTGCGCGCGTTGAAGTTGGCAGAAGTTGACAGTCAATTGGCAGTGGCGCGCAACACCACGGAATTGGGTCGCGGCAGCAGAGATAGATCTCTCGACCCTGGTCAATCTCGCCGCTCGCGGGATACTTACTCCTAACCAACGGTATAAGTAGCTGCGATGTCACGCAGCAGTCAACTAGTACACTAGTACGAGAACGCGAACGCACGTCTGTGTCCATTTGGCACATGCTCGCTTCCGTCAACTGCCACCTTGGGTGAGCAGCGACGATGACGCGCCGTCGGAAATACTCCCCGTGCTTGGATGAGCTAGCCTGCCGCGAAGCTCGATCGCGGGAGCTGAGGGCGACGTTGCTCCCGCAGCCGTCCGTCGTGCGCGTGGTCTCAAGATCTCAGCACGACCAGGCGCGACCTAAACGTACCTTCAAATCGATCGCAGCCCGAGTGCTAGTGTTTGTAGTCGGGACTTGGCATGAAGGCAGGCGGCTCAAGAAAGCCGAGGGCACGTGGCAAGCAGCTGATGCGGAGGCTAGCGACGATTCAAATATTCATTCTCGGACCACGACGTGCTCCCCGGGCCCCCGCAACGGAGCTGTCATGTCTGTCTCGACTCTGCCCATCGTTTCATTTGATCTCCGCTTAACTCGCTCTCAACACTGATGACGTGCAGGGAAGCAAAAAATCGGCCTACTCAATGCACCCTTTACACCTTCTCCGCGCCGACGTCTCCATGAGACAATCTCCAACTTAGGTCAAGTCAACTTACTCGCCCCTGCTCAGTGCTCAAAGAGTTTCGGGTCCGCAACGGCGTGAAGGCCCGGGTATAAGAAACCTCTGGTTCTCGGTCGCAGACATACAGAACACCCACATGACGCTTACACCCTGCTCTCCAGCCCTAGCTTCACCTCGTCAACGCCGGTCGCAGCTATGGGCAGTCACCTCACGTACGTAGTTGTTCATGGTACCGCGACCTGGCGCGCTCAGGGACGCGAGGCAGCCTTCAGGAACAATGGGTGGCGGTCGGAGCCATGGGTGGGTGGTACACCTACAGTGCAGATTAGAAGTGTCTAACGCCTTGTCTTTTTCCCAGCCGTCGTCAGCTACGACCACATCCTCACACTGGATCGCGAGATTCAGTACATCTGGAGGAGGAAGATCACGGGTGCAAGCGCGACCTACGTCGTCATGCGTTGCTCCTCGTTGGCCGCCACCGTCTTCACCCTCCTCAATTTCTTCTCTTGGCCGGGCAAGTCATCACCAGTGAGAGCCTTCGCGTGCCTCGACAGAATCTAGACGCCTCACCCCCTTGACCCGGTAGAAGTACGCACCCAGCTGCGCCTGTTCGCGCCTCAGCTCGTTTGCAGTGCGCACACTGATCTGCGTTATCGCCCCACAGGTGTGACGCTATCACACTGGCTTATTCTGCAATGGCTGCGGTCGTCATCATGTCCTCCGCGGGTGGGTCCTTGCGTCGAAAGTTGAGTTCTGCCGATGGCTAATCACGATATGCCGTAGTGTTCTCGTCATTGCGAGCGTACGCGCTGTGCCAACGCAAACGCACCTCCTTCCTCGTTCTCGCACTGGGGTCTGCGAACGCCGTTCCCTCGGTTGTGAGCGCTCCCATTCTTTCTTCCAACTGACTGCGTCCAGCTCAACCCTGGGCTCCGCTCAGTTTGGGGCGATCAAGACTCGGGCCACACTCAACAACATCGACGCCGCCTGCGACGTGGATTACTCGCAATTTCTGTCCTTCCGCAAGTGAGCGGCCAAGGCGTATCGTGAATCAAACCTGGGCTGATCAACTTCTTATACAGTGGTCTGTCATCGCTTTCTCCCTCGGTAGACGTTTCTTGACTTACACCAAACAGAGATCATCATCGGGCGTTCCTGCGGGGTTGTCTCCGACCTTCTGGTTCTTATCTTGACATGGAGACATGCAAGTCCGTGGCGAGTATTTGGCGGACGCCAGAGTTACCGTCACGACAGCCTTTTTCAGAATGGTAACCACGTTTTGTTGGGTCATCGAGTCCGTCCGTTGACACATCCAACATTGTAGGTGTGCATACTTCGCGTGGGCCATACGTCTCTCCGCCTTATGCTCTCGTCGTTCACATCTTATGCTTCCAGTGCACTGCTCGCTATGAACGTCGTCAACCTCGCTTTCATCAACAACGTTAAGGTGACACGCTTGATACCTCCCCACAGCACGAAGCTGATGTCACATGTCTAGCTCTTGTTTATTCTCGTCGGTGGGATCGCCGCGTGCGTTTTCCCGCTACCACGCTCCAAAAACCCCTGCTAATGATGCCCCGGTGCAGCACGACGGTGCTCTTGACCTGCCGCTTCATCCTCGACTTATTCGAAGCGAGCGCGCGCGGCGGCTCCGGCGCTAGCTCCACACTACGCCTCTCGGCCCTGCCTAGTTTGTGGCCGTCGCGCTCGCTCGCGGTCGACGCGGATGCCAGCTGGCGTGGCAGGACAGAAGACGGCGAAAGTGTCTGCAGCAACCCGGACGACCGCCACGGCTTCGAGCTCCAGGTGATCACTACTAGTCGGAGGGAACCATGACATCTGGAGCGACAGAGATGAACGCGCGCACTCTCACATATCGGACTAACGGGGGCATGTGGAATGTGCCTGTAAGTTATATCCCGGAGTACTTATGCATACGGTGTCTTGAAGCGTCGCAGCGATGTTTGCGGTTGTTTGTCACCACGGAATGACTGCTCAGAAGAAACGGCAGCTATATGACGTTGACTCCGTATCTGACGTGATAATCGCCTCAAATCTCAGTGCGACTGCATCGATGGCGGGCCGTTTGACGGGATCGTCCCGCGCCAAGATGTCGAGATCGTGGTGCTCCAGCCCGTGGGGATAATGCGTACTATCACTCCCGGGGTGTTTGGACAGGCAAGCGCCGACCACGAAAGTTCGATGCACCCCCGTCTCCCTCTACGTCCGATAACAATGAAATTTAAGGTACGAGTCGAGAATGTGTTCTTTTCACTATTCCGAGAGTTTTATGTCGAACCGAAAAGCCTTGCGTGAGCGGCCGTCGATTTACTTCGTCCACCCTAGTGTTTGGACATTCCTCCGAGAGCGGTCACGTTCGGGGTCACAATGCCGTGCGCTGCCGACTCAAGCCCCGCTCGGTTGGCGCCGGGGAGACGCGGGCTGCCCACTCGCCGTGATTTGCGGTAGTGCGTCGGAGTTTCAACTTATGGGCAGCAGGCGCTTTCTGTCACTCGTCTGTCACCCTCCTCAGAGACCCTCGTCTTGGACTCAGCTTCCACACCCACAAATTGTCTCGGAGAAATTTCATACATACTTTAAATATCCTCGAAACACATCGTGTAGAATATCAGAGCTTTTGCTCTTGAATTTGTGTGAGCCGAGAGGCATCAAGGTATGCTGAAATGCCACTCACCGCACCGGAGTTTGCAGATCGGAACGACATCTCCACAGAAACACACAAAACTCGATGTATAGGTAACTGAGAAGCAGTACTATCTGTGTGTAAAATCTTGTGATTATCGGTGCAAGGACGGGGCGGGGACGAGGCGCCCTTCGCGTTTGTCCAATCACTAGGGGCTGTCCAATCACCCCGGGAGTGATAGTACCAGGGTGAGCCGCGAACATCCAATCTCTTCTCCCCTCTCCCAAGATGAATTAAGTCTCACGCGACACCTTCCGAAGTACATACAGCTCGGGACTCCACGCAGCCTTCCAGATCCCGAACTGTTTTTTGTTGTGGTCGATGTTACACATAAACCTAGAACGCACCACACCCCCTCACGCAAACCCGTCCACCCCGTCGACAAACCGGTTGAAGATCTCCAGCGGGAACGCGTCCGCGATCGCGGTGTACCCGGCGACGTTCGGGTGGAGGAAGTCGCCCGAGTTGAACTCGGCCGCGAGCTGGCTCGGCGCGGCCGGGTCGCGCACGACCGCGTCAAAGTCCGCGACCGCGTCGAACCAGCCGCCGGCGCGGACGAACGCGTTCACGCGCTGGCGCGTCGCCTCGCGCACGGGGCTCGAGTACGCCTGCACGCTCGCGTTGAACCCGGGCGCGTTCATCGGGGTGATGGTCGCCGCGAAGACGGGGAGCCCCGCGGCGTGCGCGCGGAGCACGAGCTGCTTCATCGCGCCGATGATCGCGTCCCCGATCGCGGTCTGCGAGGGCTGGTCCGCGGCGGCGACCCCGAGGTCGTTCACGCCCTCGAAGAGGAAGACGAAGCGGACGCCGGGCTGGGCGAGCACGTCCCGGTCGAAGCGGCCGATCGCGTTCGGGCCGAGGCCGTCGGCGAGGATGCGGTTCCCGCCCGCGGCCTGGTTGCCGAACGCGAGGGCGCGGAGGAGGGGGTCGGGCGAGGCGTGCGCGCGCGCGAGGAGGAGGTCCGGCCAGCGGTTGTTTTTGTTGTCGTCGGAGCCGCGGCCGTCGGTGATGCTGTCGCCGACGATGGCGACGGTGTGGACGTTCGTGGCACCCACGCCTCGAGCGCGCTGATGAAGTACCTGCACGACCGTGTGAGCTTGGCCGTTCTACGCGTGCATAGACAGGTGCAACGCAACTCACCAGTGCGCAACGCTCTGTACGGAAGGCCCGGTGATATTTTCAGCAGTGACTTGGTTCCCGAACGTCATCCACGTCGTCGTCCGGCTCCCTGGGTGGCTCGTGATGGAGTTCCCGACCTGCCCGTGTGCGAGGAACATGCTGACGGTGAGCTCCGTCCCGGCCGTGACCTTGAAGTCGACCGCGTCCGAGACCGCGAGCGCGCCGTTCGGGATGTCGAACCCCGGCGAGCCACTGAAGGTGAGCGGGACGAGCGTCGAGGTGTCGATGGTGGGCACACCCGCAGCACCGCCGGCAGGGCGCGCGAGGGTGACATTCGTGACCGGCAAGTCCGTCGCGCCGAACGCGTTCGAGATCCGGAGGCGGATGCGGGTCGCGTTCGCGGTGACGTGGATCGTCTGGCGGAGGGTGGAGTTGGCGAAGACGCGCCCGGAGGTGTTGAAAGGCGGGTTGGGCAGGTTCGCGGGCTCGGTCAACTGCGGCATTGACGTCCACGCCGCGACCCAGTGGCCGTCGGGGTGGCTTTGGCGACGCCAGGTGACTCCGTGTGTGTCGGAGGCGAGCGCACAGCCAACATGAACGAGGAAACTGGCTGCGCCGAGAAATGCAAGAGAGACCGTGGGGAGGAGCATGGTGAACGGCGCGTCGACATCAGTCGGCGGCGGTTGGGGGCGCGCGCTATATACGCGTACGAGAGGCCATGAATAGGCTGCGGGCCGCTGCAGACGTCGAGGCGGCGGGCAAGGATGCTCACCGGACACTCTGCGTACGTTTCTCCGAGCCATGTCCGCGAGGGAGGCCAGGCCAGGTGACCCAGGGCCTATTGGCTCAATGCATGATCAGACTTGAGTTGAGGGCCTGGCGAGCGTGATCTTCGTGCGGAGCCCCGTCTTCGGACTAGTTTGTGTGGTCAGAAGGAGAAGAAGCAGGGGTGAACAGACGAAGTCCACCGCCCGCTACTTACATAGCGCTGCACAGGCGAATGAACCAGGAACCGCTTGCGTCTCGGGGTTGTGAAGAGGTCGGGCTCGGATCATCAAGTGATACGGAGGCCATTGGGTTGGACGGTCCGGGGGTGCACAATGCACATAGCGACATCGTCGTGGGATGAGAGAAAGAATTCGCGAGTCCGCCCTGCGCCTGCCTGCGGGCGCCCAAGCGCTTCAATGACTGTTTTCCTGATGTGCCGATCTGCAATCGTATTTGCCACCTGTTTTTCATGGGCAGCAGCCACCTTTTGAAGCCATGTTTACTCGAAGTAAGGAGTGACGCAAAGGTGTGTTGGATTGCTTGCGAACAAACAATCGCGAGCGAGCCTAGTGCTCGCTCCCGATGAGGTACAAATCAACTATGAGGAGATACGGTAACTCGGGGCATATCGAGAAGTCATGACATAGCGTGAGATTCAAAGACGAAGGTTGCAGATGCAACGCAGCGTAGAAAGCACTGGGAGAAGAAGTACACAGAGAAGGGAGAACATAATAGGGTGTCGCAGCGGATGCGTATCACAGGGAGGACAGTGAACGGCGGGTAGGGTGGGGATAAAGTGAGGTGGGTGATGTGAGGAGGTAAGGTGAGGTAGGTAGTTGAGGGTGGATAGGATGTGGTGTCGCAGGATAGGCGGATACGCGAGAAAACAAAAGGCAGGCGAGGTGTAGCTGCGGACAGCAAGGAGGACGAGGAGGATCATAAGGACATACGGCATAACCCTGCATAGCACCAGAACTTCATCGTAAGCATCTTCAAACGCATCACTTGCGGACGGGACCCAACGCCCGCTTCACGGGATCGCTGCGGTCCTTCTCCGGGAGCTTGGGATGGACGCTGCTGTCACGGCTGCTTGACCTGGTCCGAGGGGCCTCGCCGTCAGCGAAAACACCCTTGCGCATGCGGGCGTTGATTCGCTTGGCCATAGCAGCAGCCATGGCGCCATCGTCCACTTCGGGTACCGCGTTGGAAGGTCCGGCAGCACGGCTGCCGTCGCTGGAAGTCGAACCAGCTCTGCGGACACCGGCCGCGGGAGTGGGAGAGGCTGGTTCTGGGACTGCCGCACGGGCCCGCCGGCGGTTAAGGTCTGCTTTGCGAGTGCCGGGGAAGAGGAGCTTCGGGGGACACGCCTCAGAGGGAACATACTCGGGGTGGTCAACCGGGAGGTTGTCGCGCGCCTCAACTTCAGCCGCCACTTCCTCTGGTACTAGATGCGGATTCGCCATGTACATCCGAGTCCCTCGGCTATAAAGATATCTCAGCGCGTATGGGATACCGCAAGAGCCGTGTTACTCACAAGACATAAGCCAACACAGGCTTTTCAGCGTGTTTCTTGGGGGTACGTGGCTCAGGGGGGCTCAGATCCTCGCTCGTGGGGATGGGAGCCGGGGACTCGTTATTGAGGAACGGGTTGTTGGGCGAGTCCCGCACCGGAAGCTCCTTCCCCTTTTCCTTCTCCTCGCGTGGTGGGGGAGGCGTGGCTGGTCGAGGAGGGACGATAGGCGCGCGCCGCGATGGCGGCGGGGACATCAGCCCACTGTGTCCCTTCTGGAGCATGTACGGCGCAGGGGGAGGGGACGAGGAAGGCGACCGAGTGCGAGAGCGGCCGCGGGGACGCGTGGGGGCGCGATTCTTGAGCCCCTTGCGGGGTGGTTGACTGGATGAGGAGGGCTTCGCGCTCGACTCCCCCATCCAGAACGCGTCCTCGGCCGCCTTCGCGTCGGTGAGCTCCTCCGCAATCGCATCGAGGGTGAGGGTGCGCCGCTTCTTGTGGCCTACGGCGACCTCGCCTGCCTTGCTCCGCCGCTCCTCCTCGCCATCCGACTCGGGCTCTGGGACCTCTTGGTCGGATTCTTCAGATGAAGAGTCGGTGACGCGAGATCGGGAGCGACGCTTGCGCTTGTGGGTCGTTTGGGGAGGAGTGGGGGGCATCGCAGCGGTGTCCGAGTTGACGCGCCGCTTGGGGGGTGGTCTCTTCGCTGCCATAGGGGCATCGGGAACGGAGGCGGGCGCTGGGCCATCTGCAGGGGGCTTCTTCGCCGCCCGTACTCGCGGCATGGTGGAAGGAGCAGGGGACACGGCGTAGAGTGACGCGAGGTGGGTGTGGGTGGAGAGAAAGCACGGAAAAGCAAGGACGGCGGGGCAGAATGGCAACGGAGGACGGGACGACGGCCACTCGAAATCGCCCCCGAACACGGCTCATGGCCCAAACACGCGACAATACGGCCACGTGCTTAGGCCGCCTGTATTGTTCTCGCCCCCGCCTCTTGATCGTGGCACGCCGCCACTCTCTCATTGTTTCTCTATGTCGGCCTGCCCCCTCTGCAATCCGAGCTCATCGATGGAATCAGACAGGCCAGGAGCAGTTCTGTGCAAGGTAACGTCGTGCAATTGTTTGCTCAGCCTGCTTGCGTGCGTACCCCCCAACCCATAAGTTTTGCGCACCAAAGAGCCCGCTGGAACGCCGCAAGGCATAGGAAGGCTGGGTGGACGTGTGTGCGAGATGGACGATCTTGCGTCGCCTCTGTTCTATCGGGAATCGTTCGATGCTCGTCGCGGTTCTCCGACTAATTGATGCGCACATTTCGTACTGTTCGTTCACATGTATATACAACACCGTCATTCGTATATCACGATACTATCCCCTCGCCACCCTCTGCGCCCACACTTACCGCACATGGCCCTACTTGTCTTGTCGAGTGAGGCCGAGAGTCCGACTCGCCTTCTCGGACCTGGTGGATTGTGATCGGAGCACCTCGACCCTACGCACCACCGCGTCATTCCAGTCCATCAGAGAGCGTGCGGGGAAGTGCGCCTGGGGGCGGCTCCTCCGCGACCGCCACACGCCAGGACGCGCAGGAGAGGAGGGCCAGGGTGCCGCGCACCGTAGGCTTGGGTCGCCCGCGTCGAGGGCGACGGCGGACGCGCCAGATAATGACTCCATCGTGAACGAGATATGAGCATAAACGGAGTAAAGAGTGACAGTAGGACGAGTAGCATCGTCGGATGTATCCTCAATTGTAAGACGAATCCATGATGATACGAGCATGGGTATCACCCTCCTGCATCCGAATCCAAGTCTCTGGTCCAACGCTCGGGTTGGGCGAGCGGAAAACGATGTTCCGCACGCCGTGGCCCCAGCCAGTGCCGCTGTACCCACCGTATCTGGAGAACTGTAAGCACTCCGACAAAGGTTAGAAGCCATGACTTACCCAGAATGCTTGTCGAAGCAGAAGATGACATTCTTGGAAGGCTCGCGTTTGCACCACTCATTGCCGTGGTCTTGGCAGATATCGCTGTCAGTCTGTGTTCAGAGCGAATCAAATACAGGGCCTACCATGACCCGAGATGACACCGTGAAGGTTCTTGACTTCAGCATTAAGCGCGTCCCAGAACGGATCGTCCGCCCCGGTACCCAGTCCTTGAGTTGACTGAGTGGAGCCAGAGCCAAGCTCATCAGCTGCAAAAGACATCAACATACTAAGCCAGGTACAAGGAGGAAAGGCCTGACCGTTAAGACCAGGGTCCTGAGTGCTGTTGAGGTTCTCCTGAAGATCTTGAACGACATGACTGGATGTAACGCAGTGTTAGAACGATAGTCTCGTCGGCAAACTGGCGACGAACTTACGGGGGTATGTGGACAAACGCGAGAGAGCCTCGGTTGACGCTCTCGGCCGGGCCCCATGCAGCGTCCATGGCAGCAACGTTGAGCTTAATCCAATCAGCCACATTCTCGTCCACCCAGTCCGGCACCTGCGTGGAGTTGACTCCCTCAGTGAATCCACCTGCAGAGAACGGAGAGATTAGATATGGACAAGTGCGACATGAAAGAAAGGAGCCACTTACTGCGAGAGTCAAAGAACCAAAGGATGAGTGAGGGACTCGAATCTATGTCGCATGTTAGGGGTTGATGAGAGCAGCTTTGCGGCCTCTACTGACCAGTTTTTGTCGTGTATACCTTGCATGCGGCGAATGAGCGGAAGGCTAGCGGCCGGTGAGACACGACTCACAGGAACCCAATAGGTGCCAGGTCCATATCCCTCCCCATCAGCCCAAGTTGGAGCGAAACGCGTGTGACTGAGAGGTGCAACCTTCAGCTCCCGCCTGATTTCCTCCGAATGGGTGATGTTGACACTGTTATCGTGGTTCTGTCATAGTGATCTCAGTTTAGCAGGGGAGGTTGCCGTGGAGATGCTTACTCCATGGGTGGACGAGAAGGGGATCTTGAACGAATTGAGAGGGGCAACAATCGCGTCAATGAGTGTTGTCGAGTTCTCGCGGAAGGTGTCTGAATGCAGTGGTGAGGCCAGGAAGAGGGAAGAAAGTAAGTCGCGCTACTTACTCTCGCCCGTAATCAAGTCCCCGTTCAGCACGCTGAAATAATAGTGAACAAGACGCCTGCTCAGGTGTACGTGCCACTCACACGTAATCCGGTGCTTCAGAGGAGAGCACTGTGTTCATGAGCGTCGTGCTGTTGATGTCCTGGATCGGGCCCCAGTCGTCCCAGGGGTTCTCGCCATAGTGAAGGTCGGAGAAGACGGTTATCTTGAATGTGCCGTCTCCCGAAAAGTCAGGCGCGGCAAATGAGCGTAGGGGTCGAGATCGACCGGGTCACTCCGCGAGTCGGTTCTAACGGAATTGACGCGAAGAGCTGAGCGATTGTCGAAAAACTCTCTCTCAGTGGCGTCGCAGATGGAGATAAGGCGCGTAGACCCACCTTGCGGCAGAGGCGACGCCAAGACAACAGGACTCGCTGCAACAAGCGCGACGAGGATTGGCAACATCTCCGAGGCGTCGAAGGGGTCCGACGAGGATACGGGGTGCGAGGCGTTGTAAAGACAGGGAAGGGTCGAACGTGCGTGGGGGGAGCAAGCAACGTTGCCAGATGAGAAGAGAAGCGCTGCAAGGACGGGGACCGTATGGTCGACGGCTTCGCAGACGTTGAGACGGGGAGCCGACTCCGACTTCGTTGGGCCTTTATGCGGCTCCTACGCCGAGAATATGCAATGCATTGAAAGCACACCTGACGAAATGTGCTAGCAAGCGACTCCGAGCACTAAGCTAGCCTCAGCGCCCCGCCGCTTCAAATTCATGCTGTTGACAGAAGACTTGCTCACGTCCTTCGCAGAAGACTGCTTGCGTCGCCAGGGGAATTGGCGTCGTACAGACAGAATTGGGTAGGCTGGTGGTGAATGAGAAGGTTGTGGTGGAACAAAACGCACAACGGAGGCCGCAAGAGTGCGCGTATTGGCGCCTGACAGCCCCGCGCGCTAGCAGGGCTAATCGAGTTGTACAGCCTGCCGCCAAGCTATGCTCCGTACCACGTCCATGCCGAACTTCCCGACCTCGGAGGAGCCACCCACCTAATCAGCCATGATAACTAGTGTCACTGCTATTCAGAGGTTCCAGCTCGAGCGGGTCCTCAATGAAGGTCAGTCTCTCAGGATCGTCTCGATCAAATGTTGCGGAGCATGAAATGACCTCCCCTCAGATCCTATAACGCATGCCCTCACGCTGCTTGGTCAGCTGCCTATTGGCGACTCGGACGAGTCCGCTACCGCGATAGTCCGCATCGAGAAGACTGCTCTCTCTGGAGAGTCCGCAGGAAGCCTGCTGTCGGGAATTCCGACCACGCGCATGATAGAAAGCACTGACATCGTAAGTGTCTGCCAACCTACACATACAGGGAAACCGAATAATGACTTTGCCGTTGTGCAGTACTCATGGTTCTTTGGGTGGCTGGCCAAGGGGCCGGACCCCGACGTCAAGATCAACATCATTCATCCCGCCACGGAGGTACACATCCGGAAGGTTAGTACTCCGGCATCTTTTCCCCGACAGAATCGTATGAACCCTGCCGCAGTACTCCAGGCAGGATCTCATGATGGTCCACGAAACGCCCGACTTGTACGATCGGATTGTCAAGCCGTACATCACTGCTTTCCCGCCATCTCGACCCAATGGTCAGTACACCGCTTGTTAGCCTTCGTAGCACTCAGTCAGCGACAGGGTCGAACACATCCTGGCGGAACGTCGAAGAGAGAAAGTTCTCTTCGTGATCCCTCTCCGGAAGTGGGATACCTATCCTACCCGACATGAAGTGGGATCTTACGACGATCGGCTCGCTCTACCTCATGGCGATCACCTTCAACCGCAACATTCGCAGCCTCCGTGACCTCACGAAGGCGCACATTCCGATGCTCACCAGCATCCGTCGCGAAGGAGCGCGCGTAGCGCAGGAGAAGTGGGGTCTTGCTTCGGGCTCTTTGCGGATGTTCATCCATTACCAGCCCTCGTACTGTATGCACTCGACAGGGAATGTGTCCATAGGTCTTACGCTGATCCTCTTTCGCCTAGACCACTTCCATGTGCACATAGTCAACGCGAACTATGTAGGTCTACTGGGGATGTCGGCCGGACAGGCTCATCTACTTGACGACGTCATTTCTCTGGTGCGTTGTTGCATTCAGCAAGGGCGACGCGCATTAACCCCAACTGTACAGCTCGAATGCAGTCCGGACGATGGGCCGTCGATCTTACAGAAGATGACGCTGACTTACAACCTCGGAGACCAGCACGGGCTCTATGAGCCGATGAAGGCCGCACAGCAGGAGCTTGGATGGTACTGATCGTGGGGGGAAGGTTTGTGCCAGAATGCTCCCGCGACGGCCACGGTCAGGAATGCGCTAACACCATGCGTAATTTCCGCAGACAACATGGCCGGCCACGGCTGACATGTACCTGTAGCCCGCACCGATGAATATATAACAATATACAGTATGGTTGCACAGCAGCGCACTACTATCCGAACACTCTGAACTATCACGTGCAAGGTCTATACCACGCATCTTGTTCAATCCATGTCGTCGTAAGGAGATACTTCTGCATTTACTACACTACATTATACGCCGTACTAGGTCTTCGGCCGGAGCTAGAGAAGAGGCTGTAAGTACACGTATGTACCCACGACACCCGTGGTTACTTGAACTCGTCAGATGTCGGAGGTGCGATCCCCGCAACAAACAGAGAGGACATACACAACGAAGAGAGCTTTTCAACACGCCAAAGCCAAGCGGACGGGAGAGCGCAGATAGTTCATAAATACGCGTCGGCGACGCAGCGCTCACTTGCGCCCGTGCAGCAGCGAGAGTCTGAGCGGCATGCACGGCTCGCCGTCGCCGATGCTCGGGTACTGCACCCCGGCAAAGTTCCACTGACGGGCGCGGCCGTGCGCTCGAACCGGAAGCGCTGGAGGAGCGCGTAGAGCACGACCTTGGCCTCGAGCTGCGCGAACTTGAAGCCGATGCAGCTCTTGCTCCCGCCGATGAAGGTCATCAGGTGCGAGTACACGCCCGGGATGCGCGCGGCCTCGACCGCGGCGGGGACGGGCGCGAGCCAGCGCTCCGGCCGCCAGACTGCGCGTCCGGGCCCCACGTCGCCGGGTCGCAGTTGCTCGAGAGGGTGTCGATGAAGAGCCGGGAGTTGGCCGGGATGGGCACCGCGTCGGCGAGCGTGCCGTCGCGCATCCGGATTGGGGTCGAAAGCGGCATCACGACGTCGGTGACCGTCCGGCGCAAGAGGGTGGTCACCCCGGGGGAGCTGCGAGCGTAGCCGGTGAGCAGATCGCACGGGAAGGGAGGGGGGAAGGAGACGTACACGCGGAACGTCTCGCGACAGACGGCCTCGAGCAGCGGAAGCGCCATCAGGTCGTCGAACGAGATCTCGCCGTCACCGTACTGCTCAGAAGCGCGCATGACCTCTTCGCGCAGACGCTCCTGCACGTCAGGGTGTTGCGCGAGGAGCTCCAAGATGCGCGCGAGCGTGTTCGCGGTGGTGTCCATACCGGCTAGGATCATCGTGCTGTTACACGGTCAGCGCCTCGTCGCACAACCAGCACAATGACGTCACGTACGAGACCTGCGCAATAAGCTCGTCGTCCGGCAGCTTATCTTCCTCCGACGCGAGCATGTTTGCGCGCACTGGAAGCACACATGTCAGCGACCACGGTGCGCGAGCAAAATGATGCAAGCAACTCACGCAGGATGCTCATGACATCCTTCCCCTCGCCGACCTGCTGCTTGAGAGCCTCGTCGCCCTGCGAAAGCGCCGTGCTCTTCTCCTTGAAGATCTCGACCGAGCGTGCGTGCATCACATCTGCGATCTCCGTTAGCCGGCGAACCGTGCTGTTCTGAGTGCCGATGAACTCGACGAGCTTGCGCTTGAACTCCTTCGAGCCCATCCATTCCGTGTAGGGCAGAATGAGACGGCTGACGAGTGTTTGCGCGAGCTGCGGGCTGCGTCCGGAGTTTCAGTCATTGGGGGGAGGGCAGGCGCACGGCGCACGGGAGAACGGACGCACAAGAAGTCCTTGACCGCGTTCGCGAATGCGTCCGGGCGGTCGCTCGTGAGCGGGTCGAACGAGTACCCGAGGCCGGCCTGCCCGAGCACCTCGAGCGTCGTGCGGCCCATCCACCCGAGCATGTCAATCTCGGGGGCCGAGCACTCCGCGACCTCGACGCGGCTCGTGATTGCATCGCATGTCTAACAAACGCGCGCGCGGACGATCAGCGCGGCGCTCCGGAGGGCCACCACGGAGGACGTACCTTGTGAACGACGGCAAAGAAGAGGGGCATCATGTCGCGCAGGTGCTTGGTGGAGAAGACTGGGTTGAGCATCTTGCGCTGGCGTCTGTGCTGGGTGCCTTTGATGGAGAGGAGACCGGGACCAAGCATGAGCAGGAAAGACCTGCGGGCGCGCGCGGTGAGCACAGGCATGCACAGACCCGGGCGCGCGCACGCAAGAAACATGGGGTGCGGGATGTACACTCACTCGTTGGGCTCTTCATAATTGTCCATGTCCTTGATGAAGATAGCGTGCATCGCCTTGGGGTCGGACACGCTGAGCCACTTGCTCTGTGCACCGGAAAGCGGAGAAGATGTGAGGATGCGCGCAATAGGAAGTCAACGCAAGACGGACCCCTGCGATACCTGGGATTGTCCAGACGTGCCCATAGCGTTGGTTCATCCCCTGACGGTACGCCCAAGGCTGGCGGGCGAAGAGCTTGCCGAAGTCGCCTGGAAGAAGAGGTGGGTATGTGCGCGTGATTTTGAATGGGGAGGGCGTACCTCTAAGCCATGAGTCGGGGGCTGGTCCAGGGACGTTGTCGAGGGGAGAACGGGTAGTGACTTTGCGGAAGACTAGGAATGCGGCGTAAGCAGCCACCGCGTAGAGCGTCGTCTGGCCGACGGAGCCGTCGAAGAGGGCCATGAAAGGAAGACACTAATAGAGAAGGGAGCGTGGTCTCGCGTAGGAAGGGACGGGCGGATGGGGATTGCAGGCACGGGGGACGACGGGGTATATATGCGAAGATGTCGCGACGATGGCTTCCGATCGAGTCGTCTTCCGCGAGCGTTATCCTGGTGGAGTAAGCTTCGCGCCTGCTGCCTGATGGTCTCGCACGGAGAGTCCTGGCCTCCGCGTGCAGGCGCAGCCCACCGCTTGTCCTCTATTCTCACTAGTCGCCCACAATCAGGACCACCACAGCGCCCGCAAACGCAGGGTTGGCCTGATCGAAAGAAGCACGGCGATTCCACGTCGCCGACAGCGGGCGGTATTTGTCGAGAGCTCTATCGGCGCACCTTGGCCATCCTGCTCTCATAGCACGCACGATAAAACGTTCTCGTCCAAGTCCACCACCAGACGTGTCCATTCCGGTGCACCGCCCGTGCGGGACTTCCACCGCGAGCGCTGTCCCGAGTGCTGGAACTGGGGTGGTCGGGCGAGAGTGCGTTGGAAGCGGAAAAGCGGACGAGTGAGAGCAGGGATTATTTGCAACGGAGAACGCGCCGTGCCGTTCCACATCTTGGCGCCCAAGTTTTTCGATCAAACATATTTCATCAACTGCTACGGAGTACATGAAGCTTGAAGAAATATCCGCGAGACTTGCGTTTCGTAGAGCGCCAGGGACACTGAATTCGCATTGAATATTTGAATCCCGGATGTCGACATGTTCCGTTCGGCGTGTAAGAGGCAACAAGGGCGCCCCAATCCGGCGACTCCTCTCCGTCCACGACCGAAGTCCGAAGACCGAAGCGGGCGCCTGCTACGGTCGACGAGCAGAGCGCCCGGACCGAGTGCAGACCGAAGGGCGAGGCGCCGCGGCACGTGAACCCGCCGCATACGCCCGACCGAGGCGACGAAGCCTGAGGCCTTGAGGCCTGAAGGCGAGTCGCGACGTGCGCCGGGCCTGGGTGTGCAAGGGAACGGGGACAGACGGACGCGCGCGGAGAGATTCCCCTGGCCCCTTTTCGACGGTCCGCCGAAGGCGGACCACCCTCGACACCACCGTATTGTCTAAGAGGCCGGGACCGGGAATCGCATGTGATTGTGGTTGCGCACCCGTCGCCCGATGCCAACGGAAACCGAGTGAATTACATAGAGCGGGGGTTATACACATCATCATCTTTCGTACAGAACGCCAACGCGCCATGATATATGACGCCTCGTCTGCGTATCGCACGGACGGAGCGGCGCATCGGATTTCGTGGGAGAGGTTTTCGCATGTGTGTACACTGTACACTGTGGAGAGTAAGGACGTCACCGGTCAGCACTGGAAGAGAGAGATGGCGATTCAGCATATGTCCCAGAACGAACGGCGACGGAAGCCGGTAGAACAGAAGGTGACAGAGGTACCTCCAGCAGATCCACACAGCCGACCAACGAGGCTGTCGTAGTACCCCCTCACCCGCCGATATGGCATCACGCCCGGAGAACTCGCGACTCGTCGTCTGACCATCCCGCCCGAGCCCACTATAGTAACTCATAAGTCACAAATAAGAAAGTTCTGGGACTGCACCCTCAGCCATGATCTGGACGAGTTCATGCGCAGGCGGAGCTTCCCCGGGAGGCAGGTCGCCTGTGCGTGTGTCGTACCATTGAGCATCTGGAGCGAAGCATTTCGCTAGGCGGTACTATAATGGTGCGTTCGTTAGGCGGTCCACACAAGTTACCAGACATTATGCGTCATCGTTCATTCATCTCTCGCCACACGAAGAAGTGCACATGCACTGCGACTCCTTATGCAACGCGATTCAATATGCCATACGTAGTAAGTATATCGTCGACTACCAAGCAGGGAGAGCTTGCTCGCCCGCGAGCACGTAGGACTCCTTCATGGCGGGCTCAGCGCTGCGGTAAGAGATGCTCTTAGCTCCATCATCAGAAAAGGATCTTCATCGACCACATGCGCCATGAAAGCTGCTCCAGTGGGAGCTATGTGGGCGGCAGCTCCGGACCTGTATTGTGTTTTCCCCCAAGAGATGCAGAGTGCCCGGAACAGCTTCGTAGCGCCGCTGAGGTGCATCACATGCGCAAGTGCACAATGCATTCGCAGCAGCTCGGGGTTGGGTACGGCCCTGAGCAGCCGCTTGGGAGTACCTGGCACGTCCTGTCGTCCATCGGATGACGTGCTGAACTCGGTGCTGTGGTCCACGAACGTGATGTGCGTGTGAATGGAGCGGTACCCTCGGTATCGTTCATTGTCCGACATGTAGCAGACCTCGTAGCGATCGGGCGTCTTCAAAAAGTGAGATTCATGCAAGCTGCTGGCGGTCTGAAGTATCACGTACCTCTGTAGCCTTCAGGCACCAGCTGAAATCATTGAAATCGTCCTGAGGTTCCAACCCTAGCGAAAATGCGTTCTGCGGATCATCTGTGTCGTTAACGATGGTGTGAAGAGAGTCTGCTATCTCGCAATAGTCGCCCAAGACTTTCAAGGTGATATCCAGAGATTTCTAGCATGGCGCGTTTCCAGGAGTGCGTACAGGGAGCAGAGACGATGACTCACCTGAGCATCAGTCGACCCTTGGTGAGAGGTTGCTACCTCATGCCTGAATATGCGCGCTACCTCCACAGTGATCGTCCGAGTGGCGTCCTTTAAGACTACTTCCGGGGCACACTTGTGGATAAAACCGGTAAAGCAGCACTTATAACTGTCGCGGGCCAGAATCTAAGGAACTCTCGGATGAACACTCTTCTGGGCACCAGCGGATGGTCTGGAGGTACTCACGGATTCCCTGAAACGGTGCGCCTTGTATCTCGCCTCATCTGCTGCAGTCTTTGGTGTGGTGGGAGTCCAGGTTTGGTGCCGGTAACGATAGCGTTCGATATCCATGTAAGCCTGCACGGCGACTACAACACCCAGTGTCAGCCGAAGGAAGTGAACAGATTCGGAACGTACAGAGTACCCACAAGGCCAGAGCATATGCGCCATCCATGTCGTCGCTTGCTTCTCCAGAGCCGTCGCCAGACGTTCTTCTCTTTCGTGTTCGGGGTGCTCGGCTGCCTCCGCCGCACACCTGCAGATAGTAGCTGAGACATATATGCGTCCGCTCTTGAGCTCGAGTAGGTCGGCGGTAGCGTACATGGCGGCGAACATCGAGTGGGTGGTGTAGAATTCGCGCACATGGGGAGGAAGCACACGGTCGACGATTCTGCTCACCCAGTGAGGGTTGTTGTATACTTCAAAATGAGGTAGCAGAAGCACGTCAAGGTACTTCTTCGCGTCGTCGTCAGAGGAAATTTGAAGCATCATTGTAGTCGAGTCGATGAAGGTATGGTCAAGAGAAAAGACAACGTCTCGGAACGAACCCCCGGGAGGAGAAATGAACAATAGCGCCTGGGTCTTGGACTTGCGAGAGCTTCAGTGTTGGTGCTGTGGCGACACGATGACACAGAGTAGAAAGGTCCGGGTTGCGGGACGGAGTCGGTGGCAGCCCAATAATGCCTGACGTTATGCGTTGAAGGGATCGGGACCGCGTGCCATGAAGAAGCGGCGGCCTGGGGCGCGCCGGCGGGCAGGGTTGACGCTGCAGCGTGCTGGCGAACTTCCGACCCTAACGGTAACAGTCTGAGTGAGGGAATAATGCGAAGCGAGGCATAGCAGAGGACCTGCTTTGGGGTTCAAGTTGGCATTGTACGCATCGTGCGTGGGCAAGAAGGGGCGCTAGTACAAGTGTCGCCTGGGCAGGAGAAGAAGGTGCTTCTCACGCCGCCGCCCTGCGCGTCGGTCAACGCGTCGCGTACGCCATCCTCACCAGCGGCCAGGTTCAGCTTGACTTCTGGCACGCCGAACCCTCATCGCCATGGCTGCCGTCGCCATCCAGCGCCCTCTCAAAGGCTCCCGCATTTCTTCCTTCTATCCCGTCAAGTCTCTGCCTCCAATCTCAGCTCTCGACAGCGCCTTTCAGCTGCAAGAATACATTTCCCTCCTCATACGCTTGGACGTTCATGACGTAGACAAGATCGTCTCCATTCCGGGCAAGGGCTCCGACAGTCCAGATAGCTCCGACGCGAAGACCGAGGAGAAGGAAGGAGAGAAGGAGGCCACCAGCAACATCAACGTTGATGAGGCGTGCTGGGTGTACGAGCAGCTGCGGTGCGTCACATATCGCTTTCTCCTCCACCCGTGCGTTGACACGACCCTTCCGCCAAGATCAGACGGCTGGCTCAGGACCTCTCGCATCCTCTGATCACCATGCTGCAGCAGGAGTGCACGCGAAGTACGTGCCCGGAAATGAAAGCTGGCGAGTGGTTGTACTTGTGCGTTGCCCATGGAAATGACGGCGCCATGGAAGTAAGTATGCCCATCTCCCCCAAGTAGCCTGTCTATTAACATTACGCCCTAGCAATGTTGCGCTATAGATTACATCCTGCATACACTCGATAGTGCCACCGCTCTGCTAAATTCCCCTCGTGCTTTCCCTTCACGGTAAGTACTCCATCCTTCAGCCCGCATGCTCAACCAACGCATCTCTGCCAGACTATCTGTCCCCCCTTCCTCAAAGCGCCACTTCTCTTCCCTCGCTCGCCGGCTCGGCCGCATCTTCGCTCATGCCTACTTCCACCACCGCGAAGCCTTCGAGCAAGCCGAGGCCGAGTCCTCGCTCTACGCCCGCTTCCTCGCCCTCACCTCCAAGTTCGAGCTCGTCCCCGCCGAGTTCCTCGTCATCCCCCCACGCCTCACCGCCATGTCCGACGACGAGCGCGGCGCGGGCCCCGTCGAGCCCCCACGCCTGCTCGGCGCCGCGCTCGACCCGCGGCACAACCTCACGCGGATCGGCTCCCCCGCGGAGCACGCCTGGGTGCCGCAGGCCCGCGACCGCGCCTCGGGCTCGCCCGGCCTGGCGGAGCACGGGCGCACGAACAGCCCGCGCAAGTTCGGGCGGAGCCGGACGGACACGATGGTGTACAGCGAGGCGTTCAGCGTCGCGGAGGAGCTCGCCAAGGGCGACCTGTCCGAGGTCGACATCGACCGCGAGATCGCGGCCGAACGCGCCGCGGCGGCGTCGGGCGCGGACATGCCCCGCCAGGAGCCGGAGCCGGCGGGGTACTTCGCGGAGCCGCCGACGGCGGAGCAGCCGAAGGAGGTGGAGGAGCATGCTCCTGCGCAGGAAACCGAGGCGGCAGTGGAGGAGTTGGCGCCTGAGTCTGTTGGTGAGCCTGCGAAGGAACCGGTGACTGAAGACCCGAAGGTTATCGACTTCGTGAATGAGGCGACCTCCGAAGCCGCAGCGCCACTGCCTGAAGAGCCTGCCGCCACTGAAGAGGATGGGGAGGATGACGACGAAGAGGAGGAAGATGAGGAGGGGAAGAGGAGGAGGAGGAGGAGGACGATGGCAAGGAGGAGGACGAAGATGAAGAGGACGAAGAGGATGAAGAGGGCGAAGAAGCTGATGCCGAGCCCACCGCTGCCGAGTCTGAGAAGCCGGTTACCCCTCAGAGGCAGCAGAAGTGGAATCCACCCACCACGCGTCGTCTCCAGAGGCTGTGGAATCTCCCGCAGAAGCGGAGGCCGATGATGCGGCCAAGGTGGAGGAACAAAAAGAGGCAGCACCTGCAGCCGAAGGTGTAACGACCACACCAGTTCATGATTACAACCTCGGGTACGCTCAACCACCAGGCTTCAGGGACGCATTTTTCCGCGCTCGTCAGTCGAGCAAGTTGTGTCGATGGGCTGCGTGCATGTACCTTCATCGTTTTCTTAGCTATGTCAGAACGAGTATGTTGTATACGAAGTACTCTGATCGTCGTGCTGCGGAAACGCTGTCTGCTCTACTCCATGGATCAGAGGATTCTCTCGAAACAACGTGACTACTTACTTGTAGGTAACCCATACAAGCACAGATAACGAACGGAACAGAACCCAGAAATAGGGTTAGGGCCTGTACCATTGGACGTCGAGTCCGCGAACTCCGCCTGTTTGGACTTTAGAGCTTTGTCTCTGCTGCCATGGCCCTTGCACAAACGTTCTCACAATCTCCCGCCTCCCTCCACTGTTGTACGCTCGATCGTCCAGGAGGCCGGCACACAATGCCATCACTTTCCAGCGTTCCGGAGCATGCCATTTGAGTTTCCCGACCTGGGTGTTTTTTCCGTGAGTCAGAGCCGGCCTCTCTCCGAAATCTTTCTCGTGATTCTTATCTCCTCTCGACCACCCGGTTCTCCGACCCTCAACGCGGACGATTGCTTAGCACAGGAGCATCATACATACAACGCCGTGATGGAGAAGTCCGGCGTCGACGTCGAGATGGATGGTGGCTCCTTCGCCGAGCGCGCTCCGCAAGCGCAGAAGGACTGGCACTATCAGCACAAGTGGTCCAGGACGTTGCTCCAGTGGGGTTTGGAGACCAGAGGTGTGTAATCCCTTTACGCTATTGTCGGTTGTTTGTTGATGGCCTGGCTTGTACAGGTATCACCCCAGTCCCTGCGAGCGAGCGTGTTGATACGCAGTACAACAAGATCTTCTTCATCTGGCTGTCTGCCAATATGAATATCCTGTCGTAGGCACCCTTCTTTTCCGTCGCTGTGAAGATGTGGCTCACCTCTCGGTATTCAGGTTTTCTGCTGGGACGCTTGGGCCTGTGATCTTTGGCTTGGGTCTCCGAGATTCATGTCTAGTCATCCTGTTCTTCAATCTGCTCTGCAGCGCTTTGCCAGCGTACTTGTAAGTCCCTTTTTGAAGTAACCCTCAACCAATTACGGATTTGGCGCATACAACCAGCTCAACATGGGGACCCAAGCTTGGACTGCGACAGATGTGCCAAGCTCGTTATAGTTTTGGGTGAGTATTTTCTTGCCGTCGTTGATCTCACGAGCTCATCATATGCAGGTATTTTGGAGTGATCATACCCAGCGTGTTCAATCTATGCTCCATGATGGGCTTTTGTATTCTTAACTGTATACTGGGAGGACAAACCCTCTCAAGCATATCCAACGGTCAGCTTAGCTGGAGGTTTGTGGTCCATCAATATACCCATTGTCCTTAGCTCACTGATTCCCACCAGCGTCGGAATTGTAGTAATAGCTGTCATATCTCTCCTTGTCTCGTTCTGTGGATACCGTGTTCTCAACTGGTTTGTGTTTGTGTGTCCTATGCTTCTCTTTACTGACGTTCTACTCAGGTATGAACGAATTGTGTGGATCCCCGTCCTCATCGTCTATCTGGTAGCCCTAGGTGTAGGCGGAAAGCATCTCACCAACCCCCCACCATCCGAGCCTGCAACTGCACCTGCTGTGCTGTCATTTGGAGCCACCATCGCGGGATTCGTCATCACGTACTGCGCCCTCGGCTCCGACTTCACGATTTATTACACCCCTTCCGTGCCAAGGTGCGCACTGTTATTCGTTTCCGCATTTCTGCGATGACCACTCATACCGCTGCACAGCTGGAAGATTTTTATGTGCTCGTACCTAGGATTCAACATCCCCATTGTGAGTACTGTCACCTAGCACAGAATGATGCAACTCACGTTGCCATACAGATTCTGCTACAATGCTTAGGCGCCGCAGTCATAGTCTCTACCCCTTTGGTCCCTGCCTGGGAAGCGGGGTACGATGGAGGAAATGTTGGTGGCCTCGTCGAAGCCATGCTTCAACCCACAGGAAACTTCGGCAAATTCCTCACGGTTCTCATGGCTCTGAGTGTCACCGCGAACATCGCGCCAACTTTCTACTCGTTCAGCCTCAGCTTCCAAGTGTTCATCCCAGCACTTTCCATCATCCCTCGCTACATGTTCTCCATTCTCGCCACCGCCATGTATGCCCGCACTTTTCTTCGATATTCGGGTCATCTTCTAATGCCGGTTTGCTCCCAGCCTCATCCCAATCTCGATCATTGGCGCACACAAATTTTACGACGCCCTCACCAACTTCTTAGGCCTGATCGGATACTGGGCAAGCGCGTTCGGTGCTGTCGTTCTCGCCGAGCACCTGCTTACCCGCCACGGCGACTTCACGGCGTACAACCTCAGGCAGTGGGATAATCCCCGCGCGCTTCCGCCCGGCCTCGCGGCCCTTGGGGCCTGTGCGCTGGCATGCGCTCTGATTGTGCCGTCCATCGACCAAGTGTGGTTCATCGGGCCCATCGCGGGGAAGACCGGCGACATCGGGTTCGAGCTCGCGTTTGCGATGGCAGGGATTTGCTACATCCCCCTGCGGTTGCTGGAGCTGCGTTTCAAGCCGCTGGAGTAGGAGATCGGCATCCAAGGAAGGCAGGTTCAGGGTGACACGTAACGCTTTAAGGACATGCACATGAGGATTGTATCCCGTAAGTCCACGGTTCATTGAATACAGGCTGCGTATATCCCTCTGGCTCCTCGGCGCCTTTCCACCCGGGGCAGCATCCATCATTCAACGCCAGCCCCGACAGACCGCGAAAACCGGCGGACGGCCATCGAGCTATTGGTCCTGCTAAGGCACCCTCTGCACGCTTACGTTGTCATGGCCGGAGATGACAGAGCAGGCAGCGCTCGACCGGCTAGCGCGAGCTGACGCGAGAGTGGCGTTATGCTCGTGCGCCGACGCGTACGTGCGTCTGCGAGGCGTTCCGGTGGCCTTCGTCATCGACACCGTCTGCTCTGGGAGGTACTTGACCCACGCCAGCCGTCTCCATCCATGTACCTCCCTCCCATCCCCTCCCTCAGATCCGGCTTTTGTCTACAGACAGGATGTGGGCAGGAAACATTTCGAGCGCGGCGGCTAGTATACACAAACGCGCGGGCGCGGGCGGTGGTGCTCATTTGGGTCAAGGAGTGCGTCATCCGTATGGGTATTGGGAATCGCCCGTTACCCCTGAATGGCTAGAAACCCTCGAGGTGAGCACGTTATCTCGCCCTCGGGATCCAATCTCTTTGAGCTAACCGGTTTTGTGCAGGCTTGCAACACCATTGAGGATCTATTCGTGGATCGCGTAACAGGGTCAGCGTACTATTCAGAGCGCCGCGGGGGAGAAGGTGCGCATTCTGAGAGGCTTTGCTATATGCTTTCACACCTGACGTTCACTAGATGGAAAGAACGTCGTGAGGGATCTCGAGACACACGATGTCCTGTTCGAGTGCCCCATGTCAAGGCATCAAGAAACCTGGTCTCTAGATTCAGGTAGAGGGGATCGTCGCCGACGAGGAATGTTCTTCTCTCCAATCAGCAGGACGGCCGATATATGCTTTAATTCCCGGAGATCACCATTCCCCATCAGTTCAGGTAAGTGAGTCAGTACTCCTCCGTTGCATAGCGCTGAGCGCCCACGGCAGAATTCCAGGGTGGCGATGCATGGACTTCGATGTTCATCCTGGGCACCCACACTTCATCGTAGCCTGCCTTGAAGAACAAGATGTAGCCGATGCCGGCCGACGGCTTTCCTTCATTGATTCCGACACCTCATACGTACAAGTTATACCCCCACCAGACGTCGAGGGCGAGCAAGTATACTGGGACGCCCCGCGGTTCAGCCCGGATGGACAACACTTGGTGCTACGTCTAAAGTGCGACGTTTCCCTCTCTAGCCCGTTTGAAGGGCCTCTCACCTCTTGCGCAGATGGAAGAGTCAGTTCGCAAGCGAGGCTTGGGTTTGGCAGACTCAGGTCCATGAAACAAGCGAAGGGCACTCCCTGGCCTTCAGCAATGCGTCGCGGGTTATTCTGGGAGACCCCCGTGTCTCCTCCGTCAGTCGGCCTTATTGGGTCAATCCATCCACTCTCTTGATTTCCACCGACGCTCTCGGTCACATAGTTCCGTGGATCTTCCACATTCAAGATAACGCGGCACGGCCCCTAGTTTCTCCGGACTTTGCGGACGGTCTTGTAGATCCCCATGCCTGCCGTGAGTGGTCTTGCTGGCTCCGATACCTCGCCCAGCTCACGTGAGGTAGTTGAATTATCAAGTATGGCAGCTCTGGACGGAGACCACGTCCTCTACGCTGGCTTCTGCAAAGGCCGAACGCAGTTCCACGTGCTCAAGATATCAGATGGGGCGTATCACAAGATCTCCACCCCCTACTCTTTCGCGCTCCGCCTTCGCAGCATCTCGCCCGGCAAGGTCATCTTCATGGGCAGCACCGAGACGTCTCCAATGGCCGTCGTCGAGATGACCGTTGACACCCGCGACGTGCTTGGCACTCTCTCCTTCGTCGAGATCGGCACTTCGCAGCGATCCGCCAGCCTTCCTACCATCCCGGCCCGCTCCATCTCCACCCCTACGTCCTTCGAACTGGAACATCCTCGAAGACCAGAAACGATACACGCTACGCTTTACCCTCCGGTCAACTGCAGATACTCTGGCGGCCTTCCGGATGAACTGCCGCCTGTGGTGGTCCATATCCGAGGCGGTCCATACCGCTTCCATCCGCAGAGTCTCGACTGGGACATTCAAGCGTTCACCACCCGAGGCTTCGCATAGTAAGTACACGATCTTTGTTCAATGAGCGCTCGCTGAAGTACGATCGCCATTCCAGCGTCAGCGACGTCGTTCGGACAGCGCCGGGAGATTTGGCAGCCAGTCCTGTGGTGGCTGATGCGGACGCTTGTGCTGCAGCTGTGCAAGCCCTTGGCGCGCGAGCATTTGTGGATCCCACGAGGGCAATCATTTACGGGCAAGGGGAAAGCGCACAGATGGTGTTCAGCGCACTGGCTGACCCCCGCCGGCTGTTCGTCGCGGGTGTGGCCGACCTCCGGTCACGAATAACTGGTGGATCCGCCGACAGCGCGTCAAGCTCTCCGCAGGCAAGATCGCCGGTGGAGATGGCTGAAAGCATCGCTTCCCCTCTATTGGTAGGCCCGTTTCGAAAGGTAGCATCGTACCAGGTCCTAATCAACCCTGTCGATCCTTCCAGATGCTTCTCACTCCGGAGCCCTCTTCCAACACCCTCACAACAGAGCAAGCGGCAGCTGTCGCTCAAACGATGCAGAAAAACGGCAGACGGGCAGAGTTGCACGTCATCGAGCCGACTCCGCGCGCGCGCTCGGTGCGCGAGACATGGGAGACAGTGCTCTCCTTCTGCACGTCGGTGTTAGTATGAGTTGTCAAAGGAGGTCACGGTCGCCGTCGACGGACATGTCGTGCAGTGGACGAGCGCGGGCGCAGGGATTTGTGTTCGACATCTATTTGTACGTAGTGTACATACGGTGGGCAATCGACGCGCCTCCAGACGGATACATGGGCAATGTACATGTTCTGGTATCAAAGAGTCCGTCCGTCAAAAGGAAACTACTGAGCGAAACGACAGTCGCAGATTGCTCGTCCAGAAGGTAATGCAAAGGACTCATCGCTCTCGACGCGTACCGAGGTTCCCCGACTCTATTCGCTCTCTCTCCTCTCCGCGCGGAGGAAGAGATATGCATCCCGCTTTGCAGCGGGGAAAAGTCGCAGATGGGCGCGTCTGCTGAGGGCCGTGGCGGAACCACGCTGGAGGTCCGCACGCGGACCAGAGGGCGGGCGGTTCAATCTGGCCCGGTGTGGATCACACCATAGATATGGGGGCGAGAGGTGATCGCTCCCATATAACCCAGTCGTTGAGCGATGGGGCTGGATCCAGCGTGATCAGCGGGACGTCAGGATTCGCTGGGTGTTCCGCGCGGGGTTCTAGGGTCGATGAGGGCGCGAGGAAGGAGTTCGTGGAGAAAGCATTCATTGATTGGGTGCCGCCGATGAGCGTTGAGCCTCCCAGTGATCTTTTCTCCCCCAAGGAGGCTCTGGAGACACAACGCGCGGGATATGATGGCGGCCTATCGTTGAAGGCCTTTTCGGGCGTTGGTGTTCGACGATCACTTGCCGTGGTGTTGAAACGGATGCTGGTGGGCATGGTCGGATAGGTGTCCAGGGAACCGGCGCTGAACTCTGTGATGCGGACGGTTATCATGATGGACGGGATCGCCTGTGAGGGGATGTTATTGCAAGTCGGGGAGTGTTAGGTAAAACGCACCTGGAGCTGTCCCAACGTGGGAAGAAGGGCGATCTGGATTGGACTCTTCGTAGCCAGAGCGATAATCCCGATGAAGGCGACGACGGAGTAGACTGAAGCACCCTCGATGAACATCCATAGGATTGAAGAGAACAGGGAGGTGAATCGACCGGTGATGAGCTCGGGAGGGGTATGCTGGTAGTGCCACCATAGGCGAACGACCATGAAGACGGTAAGCAAGACATTGATGGACAGGGACAGAGCGAGGTACGCGAGGGAGGCGCTCGCACTGGTGTTCGTCCATATGTTGATGTTCAACTGGCTGATGCTTGGCATGAAAACCGATCCGGTGACTGTGGAACTGCACTATGAGGTTATAGTGTTCGTCTGATACGATACCAAGGAGGCGCACCGACAAGGCCCAGAAACATTCCGCCGCATATGCATCGGACGCCTGTATAGGTCTTGAATATGCAATGAAAGCGCCATAGCTGCGGTTCTTACTCAGTCAGCCCATAGCGAGCATCTTTGCGAACAACCTACCAACATGCCGTCAGAGAACCAGTTCAGTACCACGTATCTGGAGACACCATGTTAGCACCTGTTCTGTAAATGTGACGAGATAAAGCTTACATGGAAGTAACGGCCAAGTTTCCTGGGTACTTGGCATCGGAGATCATGAAGGCCACTGGTCCTTCCGAAAAGCCGCGATTTCCAATAAACGCCCGATGGGTGAGCCATGTTTGCAGGCACAAGCCGGCGGTAGCGAGTAGAAACATTGGAATGGCGTAAGCGAGCAGCCGCCAGCTCGGTGGAGCCTTCCTCTGCGAGTGACGCGCCCATAATCTGTGGTCGAAGTAGAGGCGAACCACGTAGAGAAAGAGTGCGAGATGTACGCCTGCTCCAAATCAGCTCTTCGACCCAACGGAAATGAGTCAAAAGACAGCACCATATGCCACTGTAGATAGCACGACACCAACCATGTTTGCAGTAAGGACCGTGGTGTCGAGATTGTATCCGACGATTGCGGTGGTCAATTCCGGCATCGTTGGAGCGGAGTGTGCTGGCGCGCGGCAGGGCTTGGAATAATGATGTGGATGCCGATCTCTGTGTAGTGTCAGCAAGAGAGGAGAACATTATTCCCGGACATTACTTGCCTGCACACTCAGATGCCAGTGCACCCCTACGAGGATGTGTAGAAGTAGGGTGGAGAGAGCTGGGGGAGAACGCGTAGCTCATTCCGCTGCTCTCGCTCGCGGGACGTGCATTTATGCTCATGAAAGGTGATGTGAGCCGGATATCGGGAGACTCGGATGTACGTTACCGCTAACTCTGCGTTCACGCAGTTGCGAAAAAGAGCACACGGGTCTTGAGCCAGGGAGCTTGGCCGCGCGTAGCCGAGTCTGCAAGCCGCCTCCGGTGTATCTGGACAAATGTTGATTTAATGAGAAGGGTGTCATTTTTAGACTGAGGTACTATGGAACCTGGGAGAGATTTGGATTACAGGTAGCTGGAAGACAGATGTTCTGTCCGGCAGACGCCTGCGTCCTGGATTACTTTCCCACCAGGCTTACCGGCACGGAGGCGCAGCACGGGACCGAGCTTCTCCGACATCGGCATCTTGAAAACCCCTGTTGTTCAACGGCACGGCACCAGAACAGTCGGTCCTTTCGGTGACGAACGTGGGACTGTCAGAACCGGTGACTTGGCGGGCTGCCTCGGCGTACAAGGATATACATGAGATTGGCGTTCACGGCTCCCTAAACAGCAATGGCGTCGATAGCGCCTTGAACCCGGTCTGTCCACATCCCCAGGATGCCGAGCTGCAGCTCGGCATCATGATCGCCAGTATTTGCTATCAATTCTGGAGTAGGAAGTCAGCTAAATGGGCGTACAACTACATAGGAGAGACGCCATACCGGCTTTCCAACGTTCCAAGTGGGTGCGTAGAGGGGACAAAAGCGCCAGCTGCACGTTCCTCAATGACTCGGCGTCTCTGACGCCAGTCTGTGACAGTAGCCGGCGGAGTCAACGTTGGTCATGAGCGGGCATATGGGCAGTAGACGGACCTGGTTGTGCAGGTCTCTCTGTAGAACGACGTAATAGAACCCCAGGCATTCCACCAAGCGCAAAGGCTCAGCGCTGTCCATGAAGCCCTCCAAATCCAGAGTTGCTGCATCGTCCAGCCGAAGAACAACTGGTCCAAAGGTGGTCAGAAGCAGAGGGGTCGCAAACACGTTGCCGTCAGGGGCTGACAGGCCCTCCAAAACGGCTTCCTTGAGCAAGCCGACAGCAGCGACTCGCATCTGAATTGGGAGGTCTTTATCGCTGAGCAGCTCCTGCAAGGCACGAAGGCGAACCAAAGACGGGGATAAGATGAGGATAAGGGAGATGACACGGAAGGCGTAGTGACGAATATCCGATTCACTGTGGTTGCTGGCCACGTGGGGGAGTAGATCCAGAAGCGGGGCTATCAGATCGGTGTCCAAAGTGAAATGAGGTACATCCTGGCGTAGCTTTGCGAAGACCGAGAGGAGGACCGAGAGAGTTTCGTCAAAAGCCACGTTGAGTTGGATAGAGGCGAGGATAACCGGGAAGAAAGATGTGATAGTCGCCAATGAGAAAGTGTACGATCGGTCATGGGCAAGTAGAATGAAGTGAGACAACGAGGGCGACGATTCACAAGATTTCGAGGTGACGCCCAGCACCTGCAATGTATGCTATACCAAAGTGAGAAGATATCGACGCAGATGTCTCGAAACTTACCCAGACATCGGCGACTCTGTCTCGGGAGCGCGCTTCGCTGCCCGCGGGTTGAAGTTGAGGAACAATGAGCCGGGGAAAGTGCGTGGAAAAGGCGGCCTTCGCCAAGGACGCTTTGAACGAGTTGGCAAACGTCATAGTCGTCTCCTCGAGGACATGGACGAGAATAGCCTGGGCCACCGTTTCACCATGATCATTCGCGAATTCGACAGATGTGAACTCACTTTGGCTTCGTCGTCGGAACCCTCAGCCAACGCAGACCCACACTGTACCACCGCCTCCACAATCCCAAGGGCCTCGTCGCGCGTCACTTCAGCACCGATCGAAGATATTGTCGACTCCAGCTCTGATATCCGAGACCGGAGAGCATTTGCCGGCGATTTCTTCCACGTGGGCAATCTAGGTATCGCTGAAAGCGACGTAAGAGCAAGTTGCTACACATATGAGCTCACTGGACGCACCGATAGCGTAGGATCGGATGAGACGTATGAGCTGTTGGGCTGCAGACGCACGACCCTGCGACTCGCTATGCTCCTCATCTTCGTCATCCCCTGATTGTAACCAAAGATGCAGACGTTCCATAGACTCCTCGGCCGCCATCATAACTTCCTTGGCACTGTTCTCCCTTGCCATTAGATCCATGAGGTTGTCAGCACCGTCGCGGGTGCTCAAAACCACAATCGGGATGATCGTTAACGGCTCCTGTGTGAGCGTTAAGGGTGGTCGCGAATGCGGACTCGTAGAGCACGTACGAGAGAGCGGGCACTACCTGCGTGGTTTATTGCATCCAGAACGGCGGACAAAGTGCACTTTGGATCCTTGTCGTGCACCGCAGTGATAACGAGACTGGTCAGCGCAACGCCGAGATCCTAGCACGCTGCTTCAATCAATGCGACTTGCACGTAACACAAGCTTCCAAGCGCCCACGTACTTCATCCACTTCATCGTCCTGCAGAGATAGCGCGCTTTTGAGGGACTCGACGTCCATGTGGGAGCGGTGAGGATAGTGGTGGCGGAGGGGCAAGGCAAGACGCGCCTGGGGCTGTCGCAGGACGCGCTCGTGCTGAAGCTGAGCGCTTGAGCGCTGATCTGGCAGCTCCCTGCGGCGTATTTGGTATGTTTGGAACACATGTTCTTCGACAAGGTGACAACGCTCCGAAATACGTGTGTACGCATGTCTGCAGGGTTCAACCACTACCAGCGCTCCACCACCACCGCACCATGACGTCCTCTCCGCCCGTCGCGCACGCGCCTGCTGTCCTCGGCCTGAGCGCCGATGTCCCACATTGTAGCAGTCTTGTCCGACGAGCCGGAGACTACATATTTGGGGACATGCCTGTGCTCAGCGCGCGGCCGCTGAAGCGCCGAAGGCTGGTACTGCTCCGGAGCCAGCCTTTCCCGAAGACGAGGTGCGTACGTCGTGAAGAATGAGGCGCTCGTCTTCGAAGTCGGAGAGCAGAAGCTGTGAACGAGGCAGTTGAGTGGGGGATGTTTGCACAATGGGCACAGGCTGCTCACGCAAGATTCTGGGGACCAGGCCAAAGATCGCACTGTCATTTCGTGTGAGGAATAGAATATTGCCTGGATCGAGGCCGATGGGATGTCGACATCGTAAATTGTGCCGTTCTCCGGAGACATGGCCGAGAGCCATCCGGGCTCTGCAACTAGAGTGGTCATTCGTAACATGCACACAAGCAAGCGGAACTAGACATCCACCAATTGAGCTCACGTATAACCACGTTCGCAAAACATCCCAAAGTTGCTGCACCCATTTGTCGCAATAGCCCGACCAAGTGTTGGGGTTTCAGCTGAGTGTATTGTGACATCCCCTGTGGAAGCGCAGCTCACTCCTTTAGGAATCAGGGACACAGACAACGCTATATGCGTGTGCACTGCTCCATTCCGAATTGCGTGGAACTAAGGCTTGATGATCGAGGACATACAAGGTTCATTCGACTCAGCCTGCGCAAAGCTCTCATGCTACCCTTTCAAATCTCCATCCTTCAAACTCCAAAGACAGACGATGTCATCCAGCGCGTTGCAGAGCGCAAGATTTGCAGCTGGGACCACGTTGAGCTCAAGAGAGACAAGACCAATTGTGCCAGTGTGATGTGGTAAGTAAAATGCTTGCACAGATATGATGCTTCTTATTTTTATCGCACCATACTGGGTTAGCATATGTTGAGCGACGTACGCTTTGCCCCGTCGTGCGCGTGAACAAGCGCCATACTGTCGGGAGACAATACGATGAGCGAAATACAGGTCATGGCACCAGGTGATTTATCGTGACGAGGAGGAAGTTCAAGCGCGAGATGGTCTGAGATGGTGAACTTCAAGGGAATAAGCGCCTGAATCATGGGTCAGGTGAGCCACTGGGGATTGCCGGCGGACTTTGAAGTTTGGACCTGCTTCACAACTAAGTTCACAGGCTCGAGCAGCGACGAACTCTATTCTTCTCAACACGGACATCGCTCCCCTGCTCCATCCCTGCTCCGTCCCCCAACCCAAAATGTGCGTCTTCTGTCATGCCAGTGCGACATTGAACTTGAAGCACAGTGCCAGGATGTTTGACGCTTCTGATGAAATCCAAGTGGACGCCGCCCCGACCTAGGCTCTCGGGGATGCGCTTCAGGTGCGTGGTTGTTTCTCTTCATGAGATTTCCATTTTCCAATCCTGTATGTACACATGCAGCAAGTCGTGAAGGACGCCCTCATCCACAACGGTCTCGCTCGCGGGTTCCGTGAGCGCGTGAAGGCCCTTAGCAAGCGCCAGGCGCACCTGTGCGTGTTTGTCGCACCTGCACGGAGGTCGAGTACATCAGGCCCATCGTGGCGCTCCATGCCGAGGTTATTATCAAGCTCGTCAAGGTCGGAGACGTGAAGGTGCTAGGTCCCGGGGCCGGTCTTTACCAAATCGACCACGAGGCCAACCCCCACGAGGTCGTCGGCTGCTCGTGCGTGGTTGTTGAGGAATACGGCGTTGGGTCGAAGGCGCTCCACATCCTCCTCGACTGCTTCAAGAAACGTCAAGTGAGTAGACGTTTCGTTTTGCCCTTTAAGATGACAAAACAGACTCCCTCGACGGAGAGCATCTATGAGGATAACGTCTATCCGGAATCATTATTAAACTTGTCTGAACTCGATCAGTCTCTTTGTGTTGTCGCAGTGACTGACTGTTCTCTCTTCGCTTGCAGATTGTTCACGGCTCACCTGTAGCTGTAGCTTGTCGCTTTGCTAGTCATACGAATATCATGGCGATGTTATATCGCCCCCATTTATCGCGCGTGTTAACCCTGGCTTTCAACCCACTGTGTGATGTGAATATGCCCTTCGACTTTTCCGCACGCGTCCGTCTTATGTAGTCTCAACACTTGTGTTCCACCTCACAGAGCTGGACGTACTTGCGATGATGCTCCTCTGCCGTAATGATGCACTTTGCAGGGCCGGCGGCCCGTGGGGAAAACACATGTCCTAGCTCTTGAATCGGGGACGCCAATACCAGCGGTCTCCTCTCAGCTCTTCCTTGCGTCTCCGTTCTCTCCAGTCCGTCACCCATATTCTACCGCCCAGTGCGTTCCAGGCCTTCCTCTTGGGCGCCTGGCACCATGGCCATCCGTCTGCCTAGCACGGCCGCGCTCAACAACCTCTCTCCGAAATCGCGACGATCACTCCTCGTCGCGTTCTTCACCCTCCTCCTCCTCCTCCGCAATCGCACACTCAAGCTCCCTGGCACGCTCCTTTCAAGGCTCAAGCGTGTCGCTTCACGAAACGAAATCACCCAGGAGGAGCTCGCACAGGCGCTGCAGCAGGTCTATGTTGACGAGCCCGACGGCTCCAAGACTCTGTTGGTTCCATACCAGGGCCGAATTTCCAAGGTGCGTAACGCAACTATCTGTGGTGTGAATGCATGCGTATCTGCCGCGTTCCAGTTCAACATCACCCCCACTTCAGACTCTACCTTTGCCAAGAATGCGAAGCTCTTCCCCCTCCTCCCGGCAGGACAGAAACCGAACTTGGACAAGGCTTTCTTGCGCCAGCTCTTCGCCATACTCAAGATAGTCTTTCCTTCGTGGTGCTCGAAGGAAGCACTCATACTGGCCTCCCACTCGTTCTTCCTTGTCCTCCGGACAGTACTCAGTGTTGCTGTGGCGCGACTAGATGGACGCATTGTGCGCGACTTGGTGAGCGCCGACGGGAAAGGGTTCGCGAAAGGTCTCGCCTGTGGTTTTTGCTTGCCATCCCGAGCACGTATACAAACTCAATGGTGCGTTGTCTTGAATGTTTATATGATGCGTCCCACCAACTTCCTGCATTAGATCCGACATCTCCAATCCACGCTCTGTCTCAAGATGGGGGCTCGACTTACCCACTACACCGACGACTTGTACCTGTCACATTCACCGGACCTGCGCTACTACCGCGTCGCCTTGGAAGGCGGATTGTCCGATGTTGACCAATACATCACCTCGGATATCCATTCATTCTGTGAAGGACTGGCTCAGGTCTAGTAAGTATTTCCGCATCGGCATCCTCCTTGAGCCCCGGCCTCACATACTTGGCACAGCGGAAATGTTCTCAAACCATCTCTAGACCTGGTGTTGTTCACATCACAGTTGTCGCGTTCGTTAGGTGTTCGCGGTACAGCTATGCTGTTCCTCAACTACTATGTCACCGCGAAGATTTTGCGTGCAGTTACGCCGGCATTCGGTCGTTTGGCCGCAGTCGAGGCAAGACTCGAAGGTGAATACCGCGCCGGTATGGGCAGGGTCGGACGAGAAAGTGAAGAAGTCGCGTAAGTAGCTCTTATTTGTACAACCCCATGCCGTCCGCTCAGCTGGTCGAACGTCTAGCTTCTACGGAGGTGGTCTTCGAGAACGTAGCATCTTAATGCGCGCGTACATGAGACTGATCAAGCACGTCAACTCAATATACAAGGTATACCACTTCATTTGATAGTGCATGATCGACTTTCTCAATGCCCTTCGCCACTATAGATCAGGATAGCTTATGAGTGGACGGAGGACTTCCTCATCAAGTATCTCTGGAGCGCTGCCGGATACTGTCTCATCTCAATACCTGTCTTCCTCACCCGGGTACGGAGCATAGGGATTCAAGCCACGGGCGATCCTCGCGCCCATGGCAGAGTGGACAACGAAGTGGCCAACCGGACGGAGAGTAAGACTGTCTCCTCCATTTTCCCTTCTCTGTGCTAATGACGCTTCGTCAGCTTACATCTCGTCGAGACGACTGCTGCTTTCCCTTGCAGATGCTGGCGGTCGGCTCATGTATGTATACAAGGATCTCCTTGAGCTGGCTGGCTTGACGACGCGACTCTACACCCTCCTCTCTACGCTCCACAACTTACCCCGGCCAGTAGTGCCCTCAGATTCGCCCGATACGGTTGCTGTCCGGAATGTGGATGTGGGCGTGCCTACCGTCGCTCCGGCATTCGCGGCGGCGGCGTCAGACACGGCAGAAGACATTTCGGTCTCTCCCTCGGAGACAGAAGATTCCGGTGCAAGCAAGACCGCGAACACCGTGCTCGTCCGCGGCTTGTCATTCGAGCTCAAGACGGGCGAACATCTGATGATCACGGGAAGCAATGGGGTCGGCAAGACCGCGGTCGCAAGGGTCCTCGCCGGCCTGTGGGCAGCCCAGGGCGGCGGAGACGTCTCGCGGCCTCACGGCAAGCGGGGCGTGTTCGTGGTGCCGCAGCGAGCATACATGGTGACGGGGACGCTGCTCGACCAGTAGGTTACTCGTGCCTCGATGCCCAGAGCCACTCTCTCGCGAACTGTATTGGCCGGCTGACCACACGATCCACCCGCAGGATCATCTACCCCGACTCGTACCCGCAGTTCGTCGCCTCGGGGCGCACGCACGACGAGCTCATGCAGATCTTGGCCGCCGTCAACCTGGCGTACCTCCCCGCGCGCGAGGGCGGCTGGTCGACGCGCAAGGAGTGGCGCGACGTGCTCAGCGGCGGCGAGAAGCAGCGGGTGCGTGCTCGCTCGATTGTCAATCAGGCTCGCGGATAGCCGATCGGCGCGTGTGCGCGCCGGGAGCCCAGACGTGCTGACCAGGTCCGCACGCAGATGGCCATGGCGCGTGTGTTCTACCACCGGCCCAGGTTCGCGGTGCTCGACGAGTGCACGAGCGCGGTGTCGAGCGACGTCGAGGGGCGGATGTACGAGCACGCCAAGTCGCTCGGGATCACGCTCATCACGATATCCCTCCGGTGCGTGCGCCGGCTGCGCCGCGACGGCTGTGCTGACCCCGGGCTCCGGCAGGCCCACGCTCATGCGCTACCACACGCAGCTGCTCACGATCGCGGGCGACGGCACCGGGCGGTGGACGCTCAAGCGCATCGGGACCGCGGAGGAGCGGATGGACATGGACCGCGAGATCGTGTCGCTCGAGAACCGGCTCGCGGAGGTGGAACGGTGGGAGACGCGGGTGAAGGAGCTCGAGCGGTTGTTGAGCGTGCAGGAGCTCTGAAGGCTGTTCACTGCATTTGCCGTGCGCAATGTATTTTTGTCCATATGTTTTCGGTGGAATGGACTTTGTGGATCCGCTGTCATTACCCCTGTGGTTTGAATAGGGGGAGGAGGAGATGCACGAATATCCGCGCCGTATAGCCAAAACCAAAGATTCAGGGCTATCGCTAGTTGGCCTTCCGGAACTCGTAGAGCGAAGGGAATGCGCACGTTGCGATGCAGAGGAGACGCGAAACGTACAGACATATGCGCGGACTATGGATTAGAACAAATGGCTAGGGATACAGACGGAAAAATACAGTAACAGTGCATTCAGGAGTCAGGCATTCAGGCCTAGCAGCAGCATGGCAGGGGGAGGATGCAGCAGAAGCCGCCCTGAGAACTCGACAGTCAGGGCCGAGCACGCGCGTCGCATATGAGAAACGGGACGTACCGGGCACGGGATGCACCCTCCACGAAGACGGGCGGCCGCGCCCCCTGGGGGTGTGGGTTCGTGAACGGACATGGCGGCGACCGGCGATGGTTGTGTTCGTGTGACCGATGGTGCCTTCTGGGCACCGAGGTGCGCGGTCGGGGGCGGCGCAAGGGAAGGGTGCGAAGGAGCCATTGAGGAGGTGATAACGAGGTTAGGAGGGAGTATTACGTGCAGTACGTGGTGGCAATGAAGAAGGGAGGAGGAGGAGGAGCGTTATAAGTACCAGAGGGTTTGCCAAGAGGAAGTTCACCAATGGTGACGTATGTGCCCGGAACGGGTAGAGGAAATGTAGCCAGCATCACACTATTGGTAAACTCTACTTAGCCTGGATCCCTCAGCCCTAATGGTCTAGTGGTAAGATACGTGCTTTGGGTGTTGTCACGCTGTGCACGGGATCCCAGGTTCGAACCCTGGTTGGGGCCGGTTTTTGTCCGTCGTTTTTTGTTCTCCAGCCCGCTTGGCCGAATTATGTGCCTACGTTGTGGAGATTATCCAGGTGTAGCGCGCCCCTTTCACGAGAGGGAAGTTCCGGCACCACACGAGATCCCCCTTGTACTTGCAAACAAGAAACCCCGAGGCGAATTGGGAATTGTATATAATTTTCTGCACGGCCGCCTAGATGGTATGTGGGTATCACCGTGCCGTCTCCACCGTTTGGAGCAAAATACAGCCGCAAAACGCGTTACAGCTTCGCCTGCGTGCGCTCGGACTTGGGGGCATCTTGCCCGACGAGGCCGGCAATCATTCCCAGGAAGTCCTGCCGCTGGAAACGTTCACGCGGCATATACACCATCGATGACCGCTTGTACGGGAAATCGAACACCTGTCGCACGCCGATGAGCCGGCGGCGCGAGGACCGTCGAGAGACACACGTACGTGGTTCACGTGCAGGTTCGTCGCCGTGCAGACGTCGACCATGGACTGGTTCGACTCCTTGGGCTCGCCCACGATGCGGAGCGTGCGGGGCTCATCCAAGAAGGACAAGTGCTGGAGGGACGAGTACCACGCGCGAGCTGTATGCATCGAGAGCGGGTCAGCATCTGCGCATGGGACGAGGGACCGGGGCGTGGACGCACATCTGTGGCGCCCGCGGAACTTGAGGTCGCCGAGGAGGACGTGCAGGCCGCGATCGTAGTCCCAGGCACCGCCCAGTACGTACGCGCCCACATGGTTCTCCTGTGAGCGCGAGCGCGGGTATGTTTGAGCATTCTATTGGCCCGGTGCGCGTGCACGCGGAGAAGAAGAGACGGCAGACCGCGACGCACCTTAACGTACACGATCTCGGCATAGCCCATGAGCTCCCCATCCCAGCTCATCATGACGGGGAGCACGCCGGGGTGGTTCACGAGCTCGCGCACGTATGCGCGGTGCTTCTCGAGCGGGCCGCGCTCGCCCCAACCGCGGTGGACGTGGTCCGAGTTGTGCCAGCGGTGGAAGGTCGCGAGGTGGACGGAGGTCCCGTCCGGCTCGCAGCCCGTCGCGACGCCGTCGAGGTCGAAGGAGGTGACGGTGAGCGTCTGGCCGATGGAGGGGATGTAGTTGGCGTAGATGACCTCGCCCTGAGGCGGCTTCGGTGGGCGCAGGGGGTGCGAGGCGATCACGAGCGGGGTGCGGGTGAACGACTCGGTGCACGGGAAGGGGCCGGTCTCTGCGCGGCGCGCGAAGGATCCGCGAAGCCAGCCGCGGGTGTGGTAGCCAGCGATGCCTGCGCCGGCCCAGAAGGTATCGCGGAGGAGGAAGTGCTCGGGCTCGGACGCGCCGGACGCGTCTCCGGGTAGGGTGTGGCGCTTGCGCGCGAGACCAGAGTTGAGGAGGTAGGCAGAAAGCTCGGGCGCATTTGTGAACGCAGACGAAAAGACGACGGGGATGGTTTCCTGGGTGTGAAAGAGTGTGTGGAGGGCGTAGATGGCGGCCCAGAGATCAGGGACGGAGAGCGCGGAGGACGCGCCGCCGACGGCGGACGAAGGGAGGAGCTCGAGGAGGCGGTACGTCGGTACGTGGTCCGCGGCATTCTCGTAAGGCGTCCCAATGGCAGAGACGACGAGCTGCAGGCTGCGGGGGAGGGTGTGATAGGCGCAGACGGTGTGGCCATCGATGGCGACCGCGGAGGGCTGCGCGGGATCCGGGGCCGGGGCAAAATCGACTGAGGACGCGTCTGGGAGACGGGTGACGCGCTGCCAGCCCTGCGCGAGCGCGAGGGGCTGGGGGGCACCAGGGGCGGGGATCATGGAGAGGGAGGTCACTGGTGGGAGCGAAGGGGTATCTGATAAGATACTGTGTTTATAAGCGATCGGAGGCGCGTGATCAGCCTTCAGGCGTGATCGTGGCCCGGAGGCTTTTGCGGGGGGCGCTTGGAGCACGCGAGGGAGAAGAGAGCTAGCGGAAGGTGCAGCGGTATATCTGCGGGCCCCTGGCCATGCGCCCTCGCCCCTCAGTCCAGTTCTCCCCCGCCACCCTGCACCTCCCCCTCGCCCGCACGGGCGCCCTCGCGCGTCCAGCATGCTGGAATCCGTCCAGTCGCAGGGTGCATATCTCATCATCGTCAGCAACGCGGTCGAGATCGTGCTATTCGGTTCGCGCCCTCTTCGTCTCCCGCCCTCCTGCGCTTACGCCTCCCCTCCCGCGTCCACACCCGTCCACAGGCGTATACTCGATGCTCCTTGCGTTCGCCCTCTTGATTCTCATCCCCTTCAAGAGGCCTCTTCCCGTCAACTGGACTATCGTCATCGCCATCCTTGTCCTTTTCATGTTAGCCATGGGTGTGAGTACTTTCCCGTTTACTCCACTATATGCGTGTTTTCTTCCACACCCTGCACTCTGTCCCTCATCCATTTCGCACACAGCGCACGTCTCTCACGACCACGATACGCCATACCGCGTTCACGGTCTGTCTCCACCTCGTCTTCCACTTGCTCTCCGCGCTTACGGCTCCGGCTCCAGAGCGGATTCCCCCTTCCCACTGCCCACGACATGAGCGGCCTAGTGCGTGTCAACGACATCCTTCTCACAGCTCTTGCATTTGTCTCACAAATATTGATGGCCTGTATACCCATTTATTCTACCCTCGGGAATGGCGCAGCTGATACATTGCACAGATCCATCGGTGTTGGGTGGTGTGGGATTTCAATTACGGTGTCGTCGTTGCCCCCTTGGTCCTGTCTGTTGCCGCCATCGGTGTGTCCTTCCCTCCCTCTTCTCGCCAGAAAGCCTTACGTGTTGCAGTGGTCGGCATCGTAGGGTCCGTCGCTTGCCCGTCTCACGTTTCGACTCGCCCTTCATCAAACCATCGACATGCCCTTTGACGCGCCTTCCAGCATATTGTCTCTCCTGGCTTTTCTTCTCATCACCGTCCTCATTGCGTTGCGCCTGAGGAATCACCCTGCCATCTCACGCACCCGATCTTTCGAAACCCTCCTAGTCTCTCTGAGCGGCGCCTGCATTGAAACCGGTGCCCTGCTCGTGGCTGTTCAACTGTTACTCGTCATATTCCTGCTGGTACAGAACCCTGGCCTCCTTCTTGTGGGAAGCATCGCATCCCAGATCTACGTACGTCACCTCTCGCCGTCCTCTGCCGCGCCTGGGCGATTCAGCGGGGCTCACTGCGCCGTGCAACAGGGCATTGGACCGACTATTATGATCATCCATCTTGGTCTCGCCCTTATTCCCCGCGGACGACGGCGAAGCTTCAACCAGTCGACCACCGTTCCGCAGTTCAGTACCCTCATCATCGACACGATATACCCCTTCTCGGAGGCGGACGAGCTGCACATCGAACTCGAAGACGCGCCTTCAAACGGGACCCGTCGCGGTCTCTCAATACGCCCGGTCGTGGCCGGACGGACTTGGACTCGAAGCCGGCCGCATAATCACACAAGCGCAGGTGGCCAACAAGACACTCCGCCACCGGGTGGCAGATCTCGAGACCTTGAGCACTGGATCCGACACCACCGTCAGACAGTCTGGGTTCGGAGCAAGTTCACCAGTCCGCCGGCCCGTGTCCACCGGAGGGACCGAAGCCGCACTGCGTCATCGCCAGCCTGCCAAGACTGATGCGCGGTGATGTTGAGAGTGACACCGGCTGCCTGCGGTGGCGGTTCGCTTGTCAGGACAGGCGAACGAGCGGCGGGAGCCAGGGAACGGACGCAGGTCGGTCAGTCACGGTCATCGTGGCGGAACGGTCGCGAAAAGCGACGGTTAAAAGTCGTCGCTGGCTTGCCGCGGCCGGACGGCGATGGACGTCGTGACGATTAGAGGTCGGAGAAAGATTGGCCGAGGTCTGTCTGTACGGACTGTTTCGGAGGGACCCTTCATGTATCGCTAGCTGGATCCGTGGCCCGCGACATCGTGCACTTGTGTGAAGACTCGTAACCCGGCAGCGACTCCACCCGCGCCCTGTCATGTCGCCTTGAAGCTTGAAGCTTGTAGACGTCGTTGCCGGCGGTGGCGCAACGGTTGGATCATTTAATGTGTCGTCGGCTACCATCCCGCGAGGGAGGCAGCGCTGTGACACCCAACATGAAGGGTGTCCAGGCCATTGTGCCTCGCCGACGCTGCCGAACTAGCAGCGCTGTCAAGGGTTTGGTGCCCGGGGCTCACTCAGTACTCAAGTTTGGTCGGCCGTCGCGCACGCCATCCGGGCGGCGAGCTTCTGAGTGCAAATATGAAGGTCATGTTGCATGGATCAAGGTGATTATCTGCACCAAATTTATATCGAGGATTTCACCTGCACCCACGGGAAGCCACGGCTTGGTAAGCGCGAGTAGACTTGCTCACCGATTTGTATGGCCTCAGTCACTTGGGTGATAGGTCTGTGGCATATATAAAAGGGGCCCGTACGCCTGCTCCTCCACGCTCCTCCGCTGACGGTTCCAGTCTCAACCGTAGGCACAGTCATCCTCGCAGCTTTCTTTCAGCCGGCCCGGTCCGGCCTCATTAAACCATTCGTCTTTTTCGCAGCCCTCTCCAAGGCTTCTGCCCCTTCCCTCCACACGCACGATCGCAACCATGAGCCTGCCCACGACGATGAAGGCGGTCGGGATCTACAAGACCGGCGACTTCGATGTCCTCGAGACGCTCGAGCAGCCCCTCCCACAGGCCACGCCGGGCGATGTTCTCGTGAAGGTGCGCCGTGCTTCAGAGCTCGTCCTGAGTGCAGACCCCGCTCACCGGCACCTCTGCACGATGCGCGGCCGTGCAGATCCACTACACGGGCGTGAACTTCATCGACACCTACTTCCGGTCCGTCTCTGCGTGCCGTTGCGCCACTCGCGGTCTGACTCCTCTTCTGCCGCACGCGCGCGCAGGAAAGGCCTGTATCCCATCAAGCAGTTCCCGCAGATCCTGGGCTCCGAGGGCGCAGGCGAGATCGTCGCGCTGCCCACGGACGAGGCCGTGCTCGCGAGCGAGGAGTACAAGCTCCGCGGCTTCGCGGTCGGCGGCCGCGTCGCGATCGTGCGTCGTCCCCCCTCGTGTTTTCCCCCCGGGCTCGTCTCACGCGCCGCGCGCAGTACGGGATGGGCGCGCTCGCCGAGTACCACAGCGTCCCATGGGACAAGGCGTACCCGCTCCCCGCCGCGGTCTCGACGCGCACCGGCGCCGCGTCGCTCACCCAAGGTCTGTCCCTCCCACGTCCGTCCCCGTCCGCGCTGACGGATCCATCCCCCCCTCCCCCCAGGCCTGACCGCGCTCACGTTCGCCACCGAGGCGTACGACGTGCAGGCGGGCGACACCGTGCTCGTGCACACCGTCGCGGGCGGGCTCGGCCTGCTCCTCGCGCAGCTCGCGAAGGCGCGCGGGGCGACGGTGATCGGGACGACGAGCACGCCGGCGAAGGCGGCGCTCGCGCGCGCGCACGGCGCGGACCACGTCGTGCTGTACACGCAGGAGGACACCGTCGCGCGCGTGCTGGAGCTCACCGGCGGCGCGGGCGTGCACGCGATCTTCGACGGGGTCGGGAAGGACACGTGCGTTTTTCGTTTCTGTTTCCGCTTCCGTCTTCTGTGCGTGTGCGTGTGCGTGAGCTCGAGGCACTGACGCGCGGGGTGCACTGTGCTGCTGCTGCTGCTGCAGGTTCGAGGCGGACTTCAAGATGATCCGCCGCAAGGGCACGATCGTCTCCATCGGGAACGCGTCGGGCGCGGTTCCGCCGTTCCCGCCGCTCAAGCTCGTCGAGAAGAACGTCCGGCTGCTCCGGCCCACGTACGTCCCCCCTCCCCCGCCGGATTCGCGCGGCGTCTCACCCTCAGGCCTCACCGCCGCTCCCAGGCTGAACAACTACATCTACACGCCCGAGGAAGGGCGCACGTACGCCGCGGAGCTCTTCGGCCTCATCGCGGCCGGGACGCTCAAGGTGAACGTGCACGCCGAGTACCCGCTCTCCGCCGAGGGCGTCCGGGAGGCGCAGAAGGACCTCACTGGAGGCAAGACGACGGGGAAGCTGATCGTCAAAGTTGCCGACCCGTGAGCCGGACGTAGATGTGAGATCTGGTGCTGAATATTGAATGCCGGACGAGTTGACCCAAACGCATGTAAGACTAGTATCGATTGAGATGTAGCGACGGATGCTTGCCATGTTCATCTGTGCCATCTTGTTACGAACAAGACTGAGATCAATCTCCACAAACCAGGGTTCCAATAGCTACAGATTGCAGACGAGCATACAAGGCGCCGACTCTCTACACATCGGTCCTAACGTAATGGCTACAGTCAAACGGCAAGCACATCGTACACCGCACGTCGTGAGCATGTCTGCGAACCTGGAGCCGGTCTACCCGCGTCGTCACCCGTCCCCCCGATCATACCGCGTCCTCCCAATCGTCCGGGACATCCACGGGTGTTGCGGGCTCAGGAACGGCGGGGGCGGGAATCGGTGCGAGCACCGTCCGCGGCGCGGGCGCGGAGACGGTCGCCGGGCGGGTCGGCGCGGGGGTCGGCGCAGCCCCCCAAGAACTCGGGGCAGGACTCGCCGGTTGGGACGGGCGCGCGACGACGCTCGTCCAGCCGCGCCCCGCGCCGGACGGTGTCGGGGACGCACGGGCGGGCATCTGGAACGCGGACGAGGGGCGGGAGGCTGCGCGGAGGTCGGCGAGCTTGCCGAGGCCGCTGGGCGTGGCGGCGGCGGAGAGGAGGGGGGCGGGGACGCGCGAGTCGAGGCGGCGGAGGAGCTGGACGGAGCGGTACGGCTCCTGGTCGACCATCTGGGTGTCCAGGCGGTACGCAGTGGCGAGGTCGTGCACGAACTTGCGCTTCTGCTCGGGCATGTGCGGCAGCAGGTGGCTCTTCTTGTCGGAAGACAGGAAGCTAGAAAGATGATCAGTCTATCACGGCAGAGGGACAATGAGAGTGCACGTACTCCGCGAAAGTCTTTTCCACCAGGGTACAGAACTTGCCGTTGGCACGGGCAAAGCTAATGAGATCTTCGCTGTAGGTGACCTGTGCGCTACGGCCTTCTGCCCGCTCTGGGTTGATCCCGAGCGCTTCAGCGAGACGTGCGTTGCGCTTCGCGATCCCACACTCGTTCGAGCACTTCAGCTGTTGACTGCCTTCCCGGCCGGAGTTGCTCGTGACAGATCGACCACAGGGGACAGATTGGCGGATCCGACCACACGGACAAGAGATTGTCACGATGGACCGGCAAGGCTCAGACTCCTCGCACGAAGCAGGAGCGTGACAAGGCAGTGTGCAGGGGTGCTGAGCAGGGAAGCTGCGAGCAATATATCAGCCGGGAGATTCCCAAAGCCGTCGAACCAAGTATAGGACTCACCAGAGCTTACGAGACTTGCCGCAGGTGGTTTGACACGTACCGCACGCGTCTCCGTGGCAGGGACGTTCGCAGTGGTGGAATCCACAGGCTAGCAGCTTTCCGCAGGCGGTACCACACGAAATCTTCTCCTGCGAGCACTTGACATTGTCAACCATCTTCTTGCCGCATGCGCACATCTTGCTTGTGAGATAGACGCACGGCAGGCAGCGCGCCGGGTCTTCGTGACATGCATGCTGAGCCTTGGGGTGACCGCAAGGTGGAGGTGGATGAGTGCACGGATACTTGCATGCAATACGCGTCCCGCACGGAATCGGCGGTTCAAGAGTGGTACGCCCGCAGTGACATATCATCTATCACCAATCGTAAGCAAGGCGCAGCCTAGGAATAGATGGGACAGGCCATACCTCCTCGAACGAACTTCTCAAGCACGGCGGGCACCCGCCCTTGTGGTCGCGTTCTTCGCAGCGATGATTCCCGCAGCTGAGCATCTTCCCACAGATGATGTCGCACTCGTGCCACCCCTCCGGATCCTCGAGGGCGAGGTTGTCCGCACCCGCGCGTTTCTTGCCCTTCTTGTTGGCAGCCGCCAGGGACGCAAGAGGGCAGCAGATGCGACTACACTGGTGGCGGCCGCACGACCTGTGTGCCGTACACGGTCTTTCGCATAGGATCTCCGACTCCGGGCCCGTCTCGCCCCGAGCCCGCGCTCGCGCCTGCGCTTGGGATTCTGAGCACAGGATCTGCGACTTCGTGAGACCGCACCGGCACGGTCGGACGAGGCGGATCGAGCACGGAGGGCAAGGTCCCGTATGGCACTTGGCAGAGCAGACGTGCTCGCAACCGCCGAGGGGTTTCATACAGGTGGACTCGCAAGTTGGGACCGGGTCGGCACAAGAGGCCCGAACGAGTTTGGTTCTCGAGGGGAAGAACGGCGCGGACTCCGGGTTGAGAGGGTGTTTCCCGCAGGGGCAGTGCGTGACAAGTGAAGGCGAGCGGGGACAAGGGGCAGGCGTGATCGAAGGGGGATGGCATGGCTTCTGGCAATGATGAGTGCCGCAGTCGAAGGGCCTGTAGAGCAGAGTCAGGATCGATAAATTTACGAGGAATTGCAACCGCACCTGTTGCAGAGACCCTTGCAGGTATAGCGACCGACCCACTGCTCTACACCCTCCACGGTGGCCACCACGGACTCCTTCTCTTCGCCCTCTCCGCATGCCAGCTCCTGTTCCTCTTTGCCACAATAGCAACGCGCCTTGTCGCGCACCGGGCACGGCGCGCATTTACCGGAATGGCAGACGTCCTGGCAGGGGTGATTCCCGCAGCCGAGCTTGCGCCCGCAGGTTTGTCCGCATGTGAGCTCCGCGGTCGTTGGGCCACCGCGGCGACTGCGTCCCAAGTTGGAGCAGCGGAAGGAAAGTGTTTCCTTGCCGCAGTAGCAGGGCAGCGAGGTGGTAACTTGGCAGGGCGGACAGGGCCCCGGATGACAAGTAAACGGACAGGGATGTCCGCAAGGACGAGCACGCGAACACGGGTTGGCGCACGAGTGCGGGGTTGCGAGCCGTGGAGGTCGAGGATCAGGCGCCGAACCGCAGAAGCACCTGAGCACGGGATGTCAGTATCTATACGCATACAAGGGACCTTTGTCGTTGACAGACTCACCAGTAGCTGCTAGGGATGGCTGTCCGCTTCGACTGGCAGCCTGGGCACCTCCAATCGCCCTGCTTCTCTTCTCCTCTTGCTCTCCATGCGTCCTCGATATCCTTCACGCTCTTTTGCGCCCATTCCCGGATGCATTTGAGGTGGAAGGTTACCCAGCAGCACTGTGTGCCCGTCCCTACACGCGGCTCTTTGGACCCAGCACCCTCCTCGTCTTCGGCCGCCATGGTCGGACTGGAAGGCGAGCAGGACCAGGTGGGTTGCATGGGCGTAATGGGCGCGAAACAGATAAGGCAGTCTTGGTAGGGTGGGGCGCTGAGCTCGGCGATGAGCCTCGAGGTGAGGTCGTCTCCCTTCGGGACCGCATAGCGGTACTTGTCCACGGTCGAGGACTGGTGGACGTGACCGGTCGCGTCGCTGGACCCGCCCTCGGTGAGCTCGCTGTTGAAGTCGCGGCGGCGATTGCGGGGTTTCCGTGGTTCCGCTGCCGAAGAAGCGTCGCCGAGCTCCTTGCCGTTCTGCGTGGGCGTGCCCTGTCCGCTTGGGGGAGTCTTGGAATCTCCTACAGGCTTGCCGCGATGGATCGGATGATGGGGACGGTCGGAGGGTCCAGAGGCAGGACGACCACGGCCTCCGCCTCCACCTCTGCCGCCTCTCCGTCCACCGTTGTGCGACGGACCGCCAGAGGACGGCGTGCCATCTTGGAATGGCGTACTTGCTTGTCCATCCCTCTGTTTCGGGCGGCGAGGCCTGCGCGGCCTGCCCGCACCATCTGCTCTGTCGTTCGGCTCGTGGCTTCCACCCGGGCCCGGCTGGGCGCGGTCGTCAGAAGGCTGGCCGTCGCGGCGAGGCCTCTGGCGCGGCGCGTTGTTTGCGCGGGGCGCAGCGGTGGTGGCGGCCTCTGCAGGGGGCGGCTCTGGCATGCAACACGAGCGCGAGAGTGGTGAATTGGGGGACTGGGAAGCTAGAGTAGGGTTTGTGGAGATGGTGGTAGGGAGGGAAGTTGCGGAGAGTATCGAAGGAAGCGGCGCGACTCGCACTTATGCAAAAACTTGATGAGTTAGCGCCCTGCGACAATGTCGAGCGCGAGATCCGACTCGCGGCCAAGAGTCTGCGACACCGAGTGAGTCAGTCGAGTGTGAGTCGACGTCGGGACCGGAGCTATATGCAGTTGCGTGCACGGTGCAGTGTATCCAGTCAAGCCTTCAACCTTGCTTCAACCGGCATCGATCCACAAGCGCCCAACTCGCGCCGCGGCCCGGTGAGGACCGATGGCGGTATCGTGCTGGCGCTTATTGAAACACCCTCCACGCCGCCTGGCGTCAATCCTCCTAGGCCTCCTCGACCGCGGGCGAGCTTACACCATCCACCGTCCGCAGCCCCCTTTACCTCCTCACGCGCTGCGGCTGTCATCAACCGTCTCTCTTGGTCTCGGCGGGATCTTCAAGTCATGTTTGCGCCGCAAGCATCACCGTGGCTGCAGAATGTCTCTCAGCTCGAGGTGCTCATTACCCGGGCGTGCAACCCGACCATGGGCGAGCCCAATTACGCTGCTCATCTCGAGGTCGCGGACTACATCAACCAAAAGAAGGCAAACACGCACGTTTCCGTTTCCACCCTTGTCCCTGAGCCGAAGGCTAACCATACCTCTCCCGCTCTCTCCTTCTCGTCACCAATTAATGCACTAACGCACCCAACCATGCCGCCTCGACTACCCTCATAACCACCCACCTGTTTCCCTCCCTCCGCGCACCCAGCCCACGAGAAGCGGCGACGACGATCGCCCGGCTCGTGAACCACCGGAACCCTCACATCGCGATGCTCGCGCTCGCGCTCCTCGACACCCTCGTGCAGTCGTGCGGCTACCCCTTCCACCTCCAGATCGCGACCAAGGAGTTCCTCAACGAGCTCGTCCGCCGCTTCCCCGAGCGCCCCCCGCCGTTCCCCGGCCCCGTCATGCAGAAGATCCTCGACCTCATCCACGGCTGGAAGGAGGGCATCTGCGTCGACAGCCGGTGGAAGGACGACTTCGGGAACGTCAGGGACATGCACCGCCTGCTCACCTTCAAGGGCTACCGCTTCCGCGACCAGACGCGCCAGGCGAGCGCGGCCGCGACCGTCGCCTCGGTGAGTCCTCCGTCCGTCACGGGTTGCGCGAGGCGGGACGAGGGGCGGTGGGCTTCTTGGGGAAGATGCTGATTCGGCGCCTGGTGCAGAACATCAAGTCTGCGGATGAACTGGAGGCGGAGGACCGGGAGGCCCAGTCGGCGAAGCTCCAAGAGCTCATTCGAAGAGGGACGCCCCGCGACTTGGCCGCCGCGCAGGAGCTCATGAAGAGCCTCGCCGGCGCGAACCCAGACGCGAAGCCGGACTACAGGACACAGGCGTTGAACGAGTTGAACAAGCTTGAGAGCAAGGTCATCCTCCTTAACGAGATCCTGGACAACGTGGATACCACGAACGGAGAGAAGTTTGCCAAAGGGGACGTGTATGATGTGAGCACTCGTTCCGTTCCATGAATACCGACGCTGATGCCCACGGTGGTCGCAGCAAGTCGCGTCAATACTCCGGGACGCGCGGCCGAAAATCCAGAAGTGGATATCCAGCGCGGAGACGGACGATCCAGAGTCACTCGGTCCGTCATTCTCGTTTCCCTGCACCCCCGCTCTGACCGGCCGTGCGCCTCCTCCGCACAGACACCTACCTGCAGATCAACGACCAGATCAACACCGTCCTGAACCGCTACGAGGCGTACAAGCAGGGCGACTTCTCGGCCGCCGCGAACCCCATCCCGCCCGAGCTCTCGAACGGCGCCGGGTCGAGCCAAGGGGTCTCGCTCATCGACTTCGACGACGCACCCGCACCGACCGCCTCGGCAAGCGGCGGCGGCGGGCTGAACGACCTCGCGGGGCTCTTCGGCTCGAGCGCGCCTGCACCAGCGCAGGCGGTCCCGGCACAGGGCATGATGGGCGGCATGGGCATGGGTATGGGCGGCATGATGGGCATGGGCATGCGGCCACAGCAGCCCCAGGCGATGGGCGCGCAGATGAACATGGGGTTGGGCATGGGCATGGGCATGGGCGGGATGGGGATGGGGATGATGGGCAGCTCAAGTCACCCGTCGACGCCGCAGGCCCCGACGCTCATGAACGGCTCTGGCAGCGCGCCCGTCACGCCGAACCGGACGGGCATGGCGTCGCCCCCGATGGGCATGGGCTCGATCCGCCTCGGGACTCCACAGCTGCAGCCGGGGACGCCGCAGGCGCACACACCGCAGACGGGGATGGGGATGGGGGCGAACATGGGTATGGGCATGGGTATGGGCATGAGCATGCAACATCAGTTCCAGCAGCAGCAGCAGCAGCAGCCATCACAAGGATTCGCGATGCAGGGCTTCCAGCAGCCGATGCAGCCACAGCAACAGCAGCAACCACAAACACAAGCACCCGCGAACGGGCAGCAGGCGCAGGGCAAGGATCCGTTCGCAGACCTCGTCGGACTGTTCTGAGATTCTTGCTATTTATGGGGGTCGTCACTACTGTTACATAGCGTCGGAGCAATGGAGGGATGTAGGTTACGCGGATTGCGGCGGAGCGTCCCGGTTAGATGAATGTGTGCATACAGGGTCGTATGTTCTCGTGTGGGCTCCGGCTTTGTTTGTTCTCACCGTCGGAGCCTCGCCGGGCACTGTGTTCACATCCTCCAAGCTCTGTCTTTCAGGTTGGGCTCTCGGTGTTCGTGAGTAGTCTTGTGTCGACGAAAGCAGATGTGTGCGATGTGTGCACATGTAACACCGCGGACTTGCGAAGAGATCGCAGACAGCGGAGTTGGGTCTAGTTGGGTCTAGCGATCGCTGAGGATGGTTGAGGCCGGTAAGCTGAACGTAGCGAAGGCAAAGAAGCCTGAGAGTCGCTGTACTCGTCGGGAGGGTGGACCTTCCAACACAGTAATATCATCGAGACTTGGCGTCGGTGGTATGGTCGGACTGAGCGCACGGCGGGTGTTAAAATGGGGCGAAACCACGATACGGCGGTGGGTGGGCGTAATATATGTACAGGGCGTACTCGAGCTCGTTTCATTGTCCGCGCGGCGTGCCATCGGGGTATCTGCCTGCCGCACCCGCTCATGTATAGAACTTGCGGTTCGGGTTGGCCCCGAAGACGTCCGCGCGGATCTCGGGCAGCATCTGGAGGCGGAGCGGGAGCAAAACGACGGCGTGAGCGAGGCGGAAGGAGTGGGGGCGAACGGGGGACGTACCCGGTCCTCGAGCAAGCGTAGCCGTTCGTCGAGCGTGTTGTCGAGCGTAATGCGCATGGTGCCGCTGACGAGCTTGACGCCACCGGCACTTCGACGACCAGCCTGAGGTCAGCACCTCGTCCTGCACAGGAAAAGAAAAGGCGAAACGCACATGTCGTCGCTGAGCGAGCCGACCACGGTCACGGAGACAGTACGGCCGCTGATCTCCTTATACTGCGTTGCAGCCCCATCGGACGCACGCTGGACGAGCGCGACGTCCATCTCGCGCGCGTGCACGGTGACGTCGGGCTCGAGGATGTTGAGGAAGCCCTGGACGACGACGCCCTCGAGGAACTGGACGTAGCGGGCCTCGTCCGTGGAGAGAGCTTCGACGGCGGCACGCGCGGTCGAGAAGAGGTCCTGGAGGTGCTCCTCGCGTTGCTGGAGGAGCTTCAGCCGGGACTTGTTCGTGCGCGTCGACTGGGCACTGCAGGCGGGGGTAAGAAGGAGAGGTGCGATGTGATTAGATGCGGATGAGCGGAGGCGGGCGGGGAGGAGTGGGACGGGGGACGCACATCTTCTGCGCGACCTCGGCACCCTTGCGCTTCTTGTCATAGAGCGCGTCGATCGCCTGCTGCTCCGACTTGACGAGCTTGGCCTGGGAGAGGTCCGCGGAGAGGTGAGCCGCACCGTCCGCCCACACCGGCGAGCCTCTGGGGCGCACCTTCTCAATCGCGAACTCCTCGTCCGCCTTGACCTTGATCTCCCGGGCCTTCTCGAGCGCCTCCTGCTTGATGAACGCAACCTGAAGCACAGAGCCCTCGTCAGACGCATCCTTGCCCGCCCGACCGTAGCACAAGCCGCGCTTGCACCCGCGTTCCGACCGGACTAGGGACCCACCATCTTGTTCATTTCGCTGAGGACCTCATCGTCGTTGAGCGGACGGCTCGCCATCTTGAAGTCGCTAGTGGTGGGGCGGTGAAGTGTGAATGGGGGCAAACAGAGAACCTCAGAGAGGAAGGAGCAACAGACGGCTCAAGCTACGGAGCAGGCCGACTGGGTCGTCCCCGATCCGGATGCGACGGCGCGAGTGACGTGCGTGCCGAGGGAAACGTGACTGGTTGTGACCCACTACGTCACCTATCGTGTGCGGGACGTCTGGGGATCGTTTCACGATCGCCTGTCAAAGGTGTCTTTTCTGCCGCCTTTTGCGCGCGTGTGAAAAATGCACTAAAATGGGCAATTTCTCCGGGTGCCGAAACGGGTGCCGAAACGGATCGATAAAGAAACCTTTGGTACCCACTTCTCCTTTTTCTCCCCTGGAAAAATACCTGCAGAAAATGGCACCTTTGACAGGCTTTTTCTACGCGTTTTCGGGCTCTGAAGCCGGGCCTTTGCCCGTCGTGTCTGTCGACTTGACTCCCTCCCCCTGATACGTCGTCGCACTGCATCTGACATCATGGTCTCCGTCAATTTCCCCGACGGCAAAGTTCCGAAGAACGGACAAACCTACGCGATCTGGAGCGGATATCAACTCGACCTCTGCTCTTTCCAGGAGCTCGTCAGTTCGATCCCTGTCTGTCAGCCCCTTCTACCTGTCGGCATTCCCGTGGAAAACGAGTTCGCGGATGAGGGCGGCTCCGACGATGAAGTCCCAATGCCGCCACAGCCGCGTTACAACAACTCGACGCTGGCCTACCTGTATGCGTGGATGGGCTTCAGGAAGACCCTCCCGCCCGCACTCCGGAAACGCTGCCCAGACTCGACGTGTGAGTCGTGAGCCAGCCGTTGTCTATTCCGAACGCCGACCTCTCGCTTAGACAGGTACTTCCCCGGAATGAGGGGCGTCGACTCACCGCCGGAGCAACGACACTCGCACATCTTCTTCCCTTCGCGATGGATTCCATACAGAGGCAGGGCCCAGCTGGAGGAGACGCATCCTGACTAGGCTCGATCATCCAGCCGTTCTCGTCGTGACCTCCTCTAACGGCTGGTCAAACTCGTAGGGGAGCCTCGCAGGAGACCCATAAAAGGCAATCACGTGATGGGGATGCCCTCCCTTCGCTCCACTCCCCCGCCCAAACGGGCTTGTTGGGGTACGCCGCCCTCCCCAAGCCCTGTGCGCGAGCTCGCGCGCGAGCCCCCGCGGTGCGCGCGCGCGGCCGGTCGCGCATAGGCGTCTCGCGGGCCCGTTGTGAACTTGTATCTGCCGCTCCTGCACATGCGAATCTGCGATGCTCAACTTGCTCTCCGGGTGACGGGTCCAGGAGATGTGGCAATCAAATAATGAAACAGCTTAAAGTACAGTAGCTTCTCTGTTAAAATTCAATGTACAATGATCTAGGTACTGTGCGGACAGCCGTGGAATGCGCCGACAGCGGCATGGGCATCCGAAGTGGGTGTGTGAGGTCGACCCTTGTAAACCAGAGACGTTGGGCAGACTCATGGGTGAGGAGCAGTGTTCCCTGGCAGCTCCCGAGATTTCAGAGAGCAGAGAGCTTCCAGATCTGGCTGGAGAGTGGGGTATTGTAAACGCGACACGGGAGAGAGAGTCGAGCATCGCGGGCGACAGACCCGAGACGCCTGTGCGCGACCGGCCGCACGCGCGCGCACCGCGGGGGCTCGCGCGCGAGCTCGCGCACAGGGCTTGGGGAGGGCGGCGTACCCCAACAAGCCCGTTTGGGCGGGGGAGTGGAGCGAAGGGAGGGCATCCCCATCACGTGATTGCCTTTTATGGGTCTCCTGCGAGGCTCCCCTACGAGTTTGACCAGCCGTTAGAGGAGGTCACGACGAGAACGGCTGGATGATCGAGCCTACATCCTGACTACAAGCACGCCATGACGCCCACCCAGAATGAAGAACAAACCCTCGCTGCGATCGTTGAGGCCGTGAAGGAGAGCGGGGGAGAGATCGAGATCGAGCAGTTCGAATGGGCCAGCATGGTGGACTTGGATTACAACTCGGGGTTTGTCACGGTGAGGCTCAAGTACTTCGTTCGTATCACCCTTGACTAAACTACCATTCCTAGATGTGATATCTCATGATGCATTCGCAATGCCCTTGCCCGCATTCCCACCTGTAATAGTATATCTTCTTTCTCGTTGAGTTGTGTTTTGAGTAGCGTCGATGTGGCGTGTCCAGCACATGTACTTTGTAGCAAACGGCACATCAGGAAAAAGCGCACCGCGCGAGAGCCCCGGCCCGGACTCGGGATCGCACGCTTGTTGCCAGTGATGGCCGGGAGAGCGCTCGAGCTCTCGAGCGTAATGACTGATGATATCGAGGTCGCCCGAGCAGCGGCGAGCACCGCGGTGAGCTCGCGAGCACTCCAGAGTTGCAGCGGCTGCTCACTACACCTTGAGAGTCACAGCCGGCTCCTACCGAGCTCTCGCGTGTCTGAGTGACGCCACGAGAGGACATTCGAGACGCCCTCAGCGGACGGGATACCTCAGGGAATTCAGTAAAAATTTTGTGTAGAACATGCAGTCATTGGCTGCACCACTTATATAACATTAACAGAAGAACTCGGTACATTGTACATACATTCGGTGTAACTTGCGTAGCGCGAAGGCACACCAGTGGGAGCTTGCCGCCGTGCGCGAGGAGCACCGGCGGACCACTGTGTTGCTCGAAACTCCCCCACAGAGCTCCGCGCCGCCCAGGTCTTCCTCATCTGTGCCGCGTGCTGACGGTGAGAGGGAGGAACGAAGCTGGCCCTGTCCGCGTGAGGGCTAGGCCGAAGCGTCGTGGATGGTCTGGCGCGTGCGACGCGGTGGTTGAAGTCACATTCTAGGGCATCTATGCCCACAGCCTGTGCTCGATGTGCCGGGGTGGCGTGGGTGAAAGGAGCCTCGCGGTCTACACAAGTATAAGAACGCAAGGTATGCACGTTACCTTGTGTCCTTGCCCTTCGGTCCGAGTCTCCTCTCCACCACCCATTGCTGAATGCGTGTGCCGAACCTCAGGTGGTCGCCGGGTGCTGACGGTCCGAACGCACCTCCACCGGCTGCGCGAGGCTCCCGAGGACGGGGAGAGGGGTAAGAGTCGGGTTCGTGCACATGCTTGCCACAGTCCTCCACGCGTGCGGGGTAGAGGACAACGCGGACGCGCTCCGCCTCGAGCTCCGATGTGCGAATGCGGCCGCGCTCCAGACTCTTGTTCACCTCTTGTTTGAGTTCCGGCGCGGCCCGACGGCCTAAGAGAGGGCTTCGCGCGAGAGGTCTCCATGGGCGCGCAGGAGGTGTTCGACTAGGAAGGAATGAATGGTGAGGGGCCGCGAAAGAGGATGTAAGGAAGCAAGTTCGAGACGGCGCACCTGGTGTTTTGCACGACGAGGCTTGGGTCGCCGTTCCGTCCAACTTCTCGGTGGTCTATGTGAGCGCACAGTTGGAAGGGGTTCAACGAGGCGGAAATAGAGGTGTAGGAGGGCCCGAAAAGAGGAGGCAGGGAAACAAAAAAACAAAGTCAAGACAGCGCACTAGTCAGGGACTATCATGCGCGATACTCTCGTGTTAAAATGGTAGCTACTTCCCACGCACTGACCAGTCGCCCTGCGCGCGGACCTGTTGCGCTCTGCCAGCGCGCCATGGTCTCCATATCTTACTCCTTCGTCGACTCCATGTGCGTGCATCTCTCGCCCGGTTTGCTCACTCTCCCGCATTCTGTGATTGTGAGTGAGTGAGCCTTCTGGCATCTTAGTTCACACGCATCGTCTGACTACCCTTCTCCGCTCACGCCTGTGGCCCTCGAGGGCGGCGCACGTAGGAGTCCCAGGAGTGCTTGGATCACTGGTCCAGTCTGACAAGAGGTGCGTGCACCTGCCGGTGTGGGCTCCAGACATCGCTTTCAACTGCGTCTTCCCCTTCCCTGTGCCCCTCGCGCGCCCAGCACCCGCGTCCTCGTCGTCCGTTCGTCGACTCCCGGCGCGTTCTGCGTCGGCGCGGACCTCGTCGAACGCGCGTCGATGTCCAAGGCGTAGGTCGACCAGTTCCTGCTCGACCTCCGCCGCGCCCTCGGCACGCTTGAAGGCCTGCCCGTGCCCACCCTCGCCACCATCGACGGCCCCGCGCTCGGCGGCGGCCTCGAGCTCGGGCTCGCGTGCGACTTGCGCATCGCAGGTGAACGCCCGTGCTCCCGAGGCTTCGCTTGCGGACAGTCGCTCATCCGTCCACGCCCCAGGACACGCCGTGACGAAGATCGGGCTGCCCGAGGTCAGGCTCGGGATCGTCCCCGGCGCGGGCAGGACACAGCGCCTCACGCGCCTCCTGGGTCTCTCATCTTCGCCGCGCAGGAGGCGCTTGAATACGGTGTGTCCTTTCCCATCCGTGCGCCGTCTGCCGGATCTCATTGTATCTACTATCTGGCAATAGCTTTACAGTCGTACGCGCGCGGTGTACCACTGCTCTTGAAGCCCACTGGGTGGGGAATGTTTGGATAGGGATGATGGTACGTCAAGGCTTTTATAAGCAGTAGGCCCAGACCTGACAATTTTCATGTGTGTTGTGAGACCGTCAAGCTCTCCGTCACTCCACCTCTCCACCTGGCTCTTCTGGAGCCCCGTCTTTCGATGCTGGTGCTTGTGGTTTGCCCTGCGCATTATACTGTCCATTTTATTGTGAGTATTTCCTCTTCTGCTGCGCACACACGGTGCCCACTGATAACTCTCCACGCTCGGCTCTGCGCCCCAGTTCGCCAGCAGGACCGCATTCTCCTCCCCCTTGAGCGCAGTGGTAGCAAGGCCCCTCCCTCGGCACTCCGATTGCCAAGCACCATTGACCGTCTCGCGCCTCTCCGCTCTCGTCTGCAGAGCTTGATGCACTCGCCGTGGCGCGCCCACTGGGTGAGTGGGTGCTTGGTGTGGACCGCGTGGTCCGCCTCGATGACCTCGCCATTGTCGGTTGGCAGACACGGTGGGTTGACACATGTATTGTAGATATAGAGAGCTGGACTGTATTATTACATATACTTGATCAATATATTTTCTTTCGATGCATATCTGGCAGCGGAGAGAAACAGACCCAGGATATGAGCAATATCGGGAGTGCGTCCCATGCCCAAGATGCCTCTCGAGCACTCTCGAGACGAAACTCGAGGCTGCTCCGGAGTGCTCGGCGAGAAGGCGGCTGTGTCTCCCGAGCGCCCGCGAGGCGCCCTGCCAAGCTCGCGTGCCTCGAGAGAAGGGGACTTGTCTCGCCGTGCTCGAACTGCTCTCGAGCCTCGGGAGCACTCCCGAGACAGGTCATTTTTTCCTGATGCAGACTGCCAGTCACAAATTTAATTTCATGAAGCGAGTCGGTACATGAGACTCAGGGCCGTGGAGAGAGGACCAACAATGGGGCTCCTTTACATTGTTGTTTTTTGGCCTATGGGGGATATTACTGCAAGCTGGGACAATAAGTAGACGGAGAAACGGGCAGGGTGCGCGAAGGCCAATCACGAGCGCGTGATTCTAGAGCGCTGCAGTGACTACGAGCCGGGATTACCCTCTCTCTTCCTCACCGCCATCATGTCCTCCTCATCGCCCGCTCCGCGTTCAGCGGGAAAACTGCCGGTGTATCTCGTGGTGCGCTGGTCACCTCCTCTTACGGCGGATGTTTAAAACATACCGCGTCGGGCTATCTCGCTTGCCCTACACAGATAGGGCGGCCAAGCATGCGCATCCGCCCGTTTAGTAGCCGACTCGTCGCGGGTCACGTCATCGTTCGTACACTTCAAGCTTCAGCATCGTCCAGGATTCCCGGAGGAGCGCGGCGCGTCGACGTTTTAATCCGCCTTTGTATGGACCACGCTGAGCTCTAGCTCGCGCATTACTAGGACAGTGTCCGCGATGTGTGCGGGTTCGCGGTCAGCTGCCTTCTTCGAGCTCTCCTACTGTGACGACCCGACAACACGTAGCAACTCAACAACGTCAGCCTCGAGCTCGCCGAGCAGGTGGTCCAGAACGTTGACGGGCCCATCTCCTCCGAACCTGCGCCGGCCAACGCCGGATACTGCTCCGCGAAGCTCTCCCAGCCCGCTTTCGCACCCCGCGAGTCGACGACCTTGTCCCGCCCCTTCGCGATCCTCGTCGACGACGGCTTCGACCGCGCGCAAGTCGACGGCATCCGCGCCGCGCTCAACGCCGGGATGGCACACCACGGGCCGTGTACCCCACGGGCGAGGCCGCGGGCGTCGTCAGGAGCAAGGGCCACCCTGCAGACCGCCACGACGAGGGTTGGTGGAGCACGCTGTTCGACGCGCTCGTCTTCCTGCGCGGCGCGGCGCACTAAGGTGCTTGGGAGACAGACTATCGAATATCGGATGTATCACAGTACCAGGACGGCGTCTTGTCAAATGCCGTGCCTTTGTGTGCGGGTAGCGGCACTGAGACTCCTGATAATACAAGTTGTATCTCGGTCACACGCCCGTCACGATGTAATACCGGTGAGGCCTTCGAATTCCTTTATGATGGCGTCGAGTATGTTTGCCGTAGGACAGCCTGACTGATGTGGCATCATCGCGTCGTGCGAGGGATCTTCGAGCCGCAATCCTTGGAACGGCTATCTACGAGGAGCATCGGTACAAGTGGGGTAAGCCAACAGTAGCGCGACCCGTGATTCTGGCCCAGCCACTGGCAGCAGCTACCCACATCAAGATGCTGCGCAGATCCCAACGTCATGTCGACGGAGATATGCCGCTGTCTTTCATTTGGTCACCCCTGAGCGACACTGGCAGTTGAGACGGGAAGATGCTTCGTGACGCGAACAAGGAAACATGGCGGTGAGTTGGGCTTCCATTGCTTGCTTTGCGATCGCTGAGTATGAACGCGGCTCACCTAGGCTGTGCAACTTCGTGGGCGCGCGAAGGATCGGCAGGCCCTCTGGTGTGCGTTGGGTTCGCACAAGGGTCGTGTCCGTGATTGCATCAAGCCACGAACGTGCGCGGAGGCTTTCAGCCAACCACGACTCCAACAGCGGGCCAATCGACCGCGGCAACGGAGCACTGTGTGTGACTGCGACGCCCTGTACCGCCCGCGTGAGACAGATCTTCTCGTCCGGAATCCCGAAGCGTCGTTGTAGACAGAAGCCATCCGTCGACCGTGGGTGCGCACAGCGAACTTCACTCACGCCGGGGCGACCATCTTTCTGGGAGCTTTTCTGGGAGCCGTTTATAAGGTTTAAAATCCACGTGCGGTCAGAAAAAGCATTTCTATGGGTTTCTATGGGCGAGAGAAAACCTTACTTGCCTTTCTCTCGGCTTTAATGTGGCACTAGAAGATGGTCGCCCGGTGTGTCATCGCAGCATTGCGGGGCCTCGAATCGAACGCCTTTCCGCCGCGCCATCGAGGAGTGTCGCACTTTATCGGGCACATGATTGCTTGCTTGCTGCCGAAGACAGAATGCTGCCATGCTTGCCGGCCAGCTTAGTGTGTACGGGAACGCGAGGCGGCTTCGCGGCGTGGACGCACTCGCGCATGGATCGCGCTTGCAGGCGGCTGATGATCAGGAGCCCAGGAGCCCGTCGTTGGAACTTGGCGAGCGCCCCGAACACGCTGCCAGCTTCCACAGAGGAGGAGGCGGCTGATGTTTTATGCTGGGTGGACGGCCAATGGGCTGCGGCAGCAAGGGCCGGGTTTGCGGATAGGCACCGGGACTATCTCCATCGTCCACAACGCTCACGTCGCTGTGTACTCTTACTAGCCACTGTATACCATCACTATGGGTACACAAAGTACGACAGACAGGATAAACACTGATAGAGACCTGGCAGTGGAGTTCCGGCCTTCAATAATAGATGACCTTCAGGCACCCACGCGCGGAGGCAGTGTTTTGGCGATGGAGTTACATGGCGCCTCCTGGAACTTGTCGAGAGCGAGAGCGTTATGGACCGCTGTGGGCCTTGGTCGGCACACGAGCTGATTGGCCACCGAGTTTGTCGCGACATTCCGGCACAACTGGTTGCGGGTCGGGGGGCGCGCCTTGGCCACACCGCACTGCTTGTCCGCCCCGGTCGTCGCGTCTCGAGCTCGCCACCTGCGGATCGCTTCAACATCGGTCGATGCGTTCTCGCGCAGCCTCAGAAGGCTCGTTCGCCATCTACTGTCGGTCGACAGGTAGCTGTCGCGGTGAGCGGCTGGACGGCTGGCGGGGGGGGAGGACTGAGTGACAAATGATGTCGATGAGGATTCGAGTGATCGTTGGTGGGATCATCGAGACGCTCGCTCGATCACGCTGTTGCCTGTTGCCTGTTGGCTTGCGGCGAGGAGCGTGAGGGCGAGCAATGCACCACGCGACGGGAATGTGGGAAACGCGCTCGCCGCCTCAAAGGGCCAGGGCGCGCTCCCCGTCCGCTGGTTCCCTCCCACTTTCACTTCGTGGCCAACCTTTTTTCTTCGCACATCGCAGGTCGATTGTAACGCTCCTCCTTGTTCTTCTCTTTGCCTTTTCTCCCAGGAGCTTACAGTCACTTACGCAACGCAAGTCCTCAGCATCGCACACACCCCGACTCCCCACGCACCCGTCATGACCGCCAGGCTCGCCCCCGCCCCTCCGTTATGGAAGCCTCTGCTCGCCCGTCCTTGTCCGTTCGCTGCCCCACTGCCCTCCCAGAGAAGGCCGCCATCACCGAGCTCGCGATGACGATCGCCGAGGAGGTCGCCAGCCTCAGCCGTTCCCCCCTCCCGATCGGGATCGACATGCCCCTCAAGCACTCTGGCCTCAACCCCAAGACCCTCTCCCAGTTCCACGCCTGGCTCATGTCTGAGCACGGCTACGATGCATCCTACACCCGCCTCCTCGAGGCCGACACCACCCCGAGGTCCTCGCCACCGACATTCTTGGTGCGTATCCCCCGAGTTTGCCCTCCCCCGCGCACGCGATGCTCACCCCCTACGCCCTCTCCAGCCACGCCGCGCACCCGCCACAGCCGCACCCTGCCCACTCCTCCGGCCAAGGAGGTCGGTTCCGGCTCGTTCGCGAGTCGCCGCGCCCGCCGTGCCCCGCGCGCTCCATGTCCGTCGACGTGACGACCGAGCCCGAAGAGGTCCCCGTCCTCCCGTCCGCTGCCGTCAGGCAGGGCGCCGCCGACCTGGGCATGGCCTCCTACGACTCCTGGGCGGGCAAGAAGACCAGGTGAGTGCGCCTCCCTCTCCTCCCGCCCCCCGTGATCCGCGATTCCGGATCTGCACCGGTCTCCCACATCACTGCCCGCTGCTCGAGCGCTGACCTCCCGTCCTCCCCCAGCCTCATGTATGGCTTGCTCGCGCTCGGCATAGTCGGCTCGCCGCTCTCCCCGCCTGCGCGCGCGCCCACCGCGCTCGCCGCGCTCAAGAGCCCCGCCGTGCCGGCCTCTTTCCAGACCGGCACGCGCATGCGCCCGGTCGCGCCCCTCGAGGACCCGCGCGCGGCGCTCCCGACGCGCACGCCCATCTTCGTGTCCTTCATGGACTCGGTCCGCATGCCCGGCGTCGATCTCGTGCAGTCGCCATGGATCCCGGACCGCAACTACGCGAGCCTGGACGGCGTGCTCGAGGAGCTCACCTTCCCCAGCACGCCCCACAGTTACTAGGAGGCTCACAAGCCCCGCTCACGTTCGCTTCATGATTCACGACGCCTTACGCCCCCGCCCCCGCGAGGTTTTACGCCCGCGCACACCCCCGAGAGTCTGTTGTAGGTTTGGTGATTCGAGCGCATCGTAGACTCGGACCTTCTGGATATGCGGACCTTAATTGCACAAGTGACGTTCTTTTCTCAGCATCCTTCCATTCATTTCTTAGCCTGGCACCGCACCTGCATACCTGAACCCTGCACCCACTCGCATACGCATCTAACCGCACCCTCCCCATCCGCTCCCCCGCCCCCTCATCACTGCGCTTTCACGTCCATGCCTGCTGCATTCCTGTTCATCCGTCGCGTCGTACGGCGTGCTGTCCACCGCGAGTTTTTGTCGTTGTTTTGCTTTCGTTTCGCCGTGCGCCCCCTTGAGTCGTGATGTCTTATCCTCTTTGCTCGTTGTACTTGCCTGTCCACCACGTACAACGTTCACGACATTATGATGCAAGGACCGCCCCGTGGCAGGGAACCCAATCTCATACCTCGGTGTGCTTTCGTGTGCTCGCATTGCCAGGGGTTCATCAAGAGAATCTCATTAAGTAGCACCACTACCGCACTATGAACGACCAGACATACTATTGAACGACGATTACTTCGCCTCACGTATACTATCTGGTTGGTTTCGCCGTCGTCGCTGCGTGCGTGCGATGAGACGAACAACACTTGACCATCCACCCTCATCGCCCGCCCTCGTCTCCCTGACCGGCATCCTGCCCCTCAAATTACGTGCCGGACAGTGGACACGTATTCCTATCTCCGAATCGTGGCTTAAGAACTCGTTCTCGCGTGCAGGACACATTTATCGGACACATCTCCCAGGCAAAAACCGCAGGTCAGGGGACGTCGTTCTTGGCGAATCAGAGAACTTCTGCTCCCTGAAGCTCAATGTGGAACCGCCCACGAGAAGGTTTAAAGAAGACCACTAGAGGCCGCTCGTGTTGGAGGAGGTAATCTATCAACGACTGATCGAACGGCACCTACAAACTCCTAGGTGTGCTGGCAGCCACACGACTACCCGACGCAAAATGCTCATGCGGCCAGAAGCGGCGATGGGCGAAGGCCATTAGACACACCGGGGGGCGCCTTGTCCACACATGACCGGGTGTAGTCGAAAACAGCGGTGCGATTGAGCCGTGTCCTTGTACCATCTCCTGCAGGTTGAAAAGGTGAACGCGCACGACGTGAAGAGCTCCTTGTCCTCGACCGTCTCGGATCTGAGAGAATACGTGACGTCGGCCCTGTGAGAACGTTTAAGGTCGGAACTGGGCCACCGAACTAAAGGAATTGCACATACTCGGATGTCGAGGGACGGATCCGCTGCACTCATGTTCTGTTATATCCGCCCTAAGCTGGGGCTTTCCGTTCTGAAGGGTATCGTGATCAACAGACACCAAACCAGTGCCCTGTTCATCGACGACGATAGGTGGCTTCAACTCCTGCAGCGCAGCGCGAATGTCGTCGGGTATGCCAATGCCCTGTGGCCCTTCTCATCAGGTCACGATGGAGCACAGTTCTAACCGCCGCACGTACCCGGAAAAGCATCGGCACCGCGGCGCTGGACGCGATGGCGACTTCCGCCTCCGAATTCTATGTGAGCTTGTCTTAGTAATCAGCAAGCACAAAGTGTGATAGCCACCCACCTCAAGAATATAGTCGAGCACGGGCCCTACGGGGTCAAAAGTCTGCCACAAGTTAGTACGCAGGCAGAGCGCGAGATGAGGTACGAACCTTGCTACGCATTGAGTCCGAGTCCTCCGAGTCCTCCGAAAGTTGCGCGAACGAACAACTCCCGTTGTCCTCATCGTCGTCGTCCCCACCTCTTGAGATAGTGTGAGGGCCTGCCCCTGCCTTAATATTGTATGGGACTCTCCGGAATAATCGTCTCTTCATCTTGAAGAAAGACATGAAGAGGGGGTGCCCAGGTATCGCCGGCGACTTCTCGCCTTCGGCCATCCTGGCGACGTCCTTATCAGGCAGAACGGTATGGGAGCCGCCCCATCTGAAATTAGGCCCCTCGAGATCGTGGTCTCCGATTCGAACGATCATCTTCGACCACTCGTACCGGTCAAAGTCTCCAATGATGAGGCCGTCTCTCGCAGCGTACTGCTCACCATGGACAGAGCCAATGGCCCACGTAAACGTGTTGGTGAGGAAGGCGACGTAGTGTAGATCCTCGTCTTTGAGACCCAGCTGAAGCCGCGTGTTGGCGAGCTCCAGCCAGCTGTCGAAATGCTCGCGCATGAGCGGTTTGAGGGTTCCCTGCGACACGATCGATTTGTTCATTGCTGGGGGTTGCAGCATCAAGAGAGAACCCTGGTCGGAACTACTGCGAAACTTGATCGAGTAGAGGTTGTCCTCGCTGTTGTTCCGTTGACTCAGGTTCACTTCGGGGGTGGACTGGCAAGAGAAAGGAACTCACCCTCCAAGTAGCTCTACGTCCTGACCTTGAGATGAAAACGACGGGCCGAGGATGAACGTCCGGTTTTCCATCTTCAAGAGATCGAGGCATCTTTGGTAGTGGTATGGTGTATGGTCGGGTGGCGCGTGTGGCTGTTCGTCGGCACAATGTACGGTGCTAAAGAGCTCCACCGTGGCGTAGTCTTTGTATACCACTGAGCCCAAAGAGAGTGATGGCCGGTCGTCTGAGAGGCAAGGATTCCAGATGGGGTATCCCAGGTCGTCGTTGTACATCTGTCTGTCGTAGATGTCCCAAAGCGTCGTAGGCGGAGAAGGAGAACGCCATCGCGCCAGCTTTGTCGGAAAGACCATGGGGTGGACCGTCAACAGGGAACGAACGAGTGGTTTGTAGCCGCGAGTCGCACTGGCGACGAAGACGTAGTGGGAAGCAGTTGAATGTCGAAGCTTGGGCGAACTCGAACTGTGGGTGTTCAGTACGTAACGCGCAACTAGCGCGCGCGCGCAGGTATGTTCTTGTCGTATATCTTCCACGTGGCGGACCAGGGGTAGAGCGACGAGTGTAGAAGAGGGTAAGTGGTAGGATCCAGAGGTGACGGGGGACAGGGTGCCTTTGCTCGTCTTAATCGCCCGCCTGTTCGAGATACCTACGCACTGGAAATCTGCCACAAGAGACACGCCGATGAGTGTGATGTCGCCGTAGTATTGGAAGGAACTAACCACGAGGTATAGGAGGAGCGAGTCCGATTTGAGAACGCCCGAAGAGAGATAAGTCCCTGAACGCGCTGAAGAAGGGAAGATCGGTCCGACTATGCGACGTGCAAGGGAACGTTGAGTGCAGGAACTTACGCCGGCAGCCGCATTGAATGTTGCCATTACTTACAATGCACGGAAATTTGACCCGCATCTAACCGCTTGACGCGTGATGTGCACAGGAAGATGCAAATGAGTTATGTGATTTGCAAGGGAGACCGTGATGAAAGGACAGATGCTCCTACACATACGTGGATGACTGATGACCGCACAAACGCCTACAACACAAACAGTGGCACCGTGTCTCTCCTCACGCATGCCACGTTTCGGCGATTCGGAGTGAGACCTAGACGAAAGAGCAAAACGATGCCAGCGATTATCAGTGACTTGTCGAAAACTGACGAGCGGGTACACACCGATGTCGTTTATGTCGCACACACCGGTATGTAGACGTCGACGGTGGCCGGAGAACTTGCGGGGGTGGAGGTACATTGTCGACGAGGAGCGCGTCAAACTGTGTCGCAAGAGGCGAGACCGGTCAGCAACGGGCGCCAGTGGGAGGGAGGGCGGCAGGGCTTCGGGGGTTTGCAAACGTCCAGTCTCTCTGGAATGCTCAGAGCGATTCCCAAGAGGTGGGGTAGTACGTTTAGAGGATGTTGAATGCATTCCAAGGGAAGGAGGCCGAAGATGGAGAAAGGGACGTACACCGATATGGGAGGGTGCCGCTGACGAGGCCGACCACCGACTCGACTCCGTCGAAATCGTTCTGCGGCCGAGTCCACAGCTACGGTCACAAAGCTTGTCCAGAATACTACGCCGAGTCTTCGCCGCCCTCGATGGACCAAAACTTCTGCACAGGGTATGAGGAAGTCGCTGCATGGTGGTACGAGTTCGAACTGCCGCTCTTGATTCGCCAACGGCGGGGACCCCGGCGAGGATCGGGTAGGTGGTGTCGCTCGTGGCGAAGGAAGCGACCGTAAGCGGGACGAGCCCGGCAGAGAGTGTGTCTGGGACAGTGGTGGGAATGGCGCGGGGTCGTTCACCGTGCCCCTGTACATAGATGGCTGCACGCGGCGGTCATGGACAACGCTTTATACATATGTACAAGCAGAAGTGGGTGCACTCACGGCTCCGGATGTATAGCATCCGCTACGCCTCTTGCTATGTACAAACGAAACAGCAGACTCAGGAAGTGCACCATGCGCAGTACTAGACACGCGAGGAAGCGGAGAAATCCCCCGGTACGCTCGAATGAGCCCCCGACTGTCTCCGACGGGCTTAGGATGGTGAGTGGTCGCAGCGACCTACGCGCAAATGAGGCGGCAAAATTTAGGCAGAACACGGGGCGGGCGACGAAGGAGAACGTGGCAGAGGAAGTCCCCTCTATCCAGCCTCCGGCCAGTGCTCGACACTCTGCCATCGACGTCAACGCCCAAGTGTTCTCACCGCCATACATATATATATCTGTACACCTTACACAACTACAACGACGTCGATAGGAAGGGGCTAAGAATTGTAATCTCCGACAGAGGGATTATCATTGGGACAGAAGCGTCGATCATTGAAGTGGCTAGCTGTCGCTGTCGGCGGAAATGATGTACGTGGCTACTATATCCCCTGCAATGCTCGTCAGCCTGATGGATGTATGTGAATATAGGGATGGGCATGGGCACATGCCTGAAAGTTGAGGGAAGAGTACCACCACATGGGCTGCTTCGTGGTTTGACCTGGTTCGGCCATAATTTCGTTCATGGATTCCATGAATGTGCTCCATTCAAGCTTCATATTTTCATGGCAACGGCGCTCGAGAATCCACTGCCGCTCTGCAAAGTTGTAGTTCGTCCAGAGCACGTACATGGAATCGTATTCCATGCTGCAAAGTAGCGACTCGAAGCCGATCTCCGCCCCCAGCTCCTTGATGAGATCTTTCAGAAACTTCTGACGCGTAACAAGGACCACATGCTTGCGCAACCTTTCGTCTATGGCATCGCCTGCTTTTAGGTCGGCACAGTGGAAAACCTCCGCCGACTGACTACCAGGGGATCTGAAAAGTGTAGCCTTGAGGTTGATCGTGTGTTTGAGCTTCCGTGCCCAGTCAAGAACCCAATCGTCGGTAAAGGTCCATCCGTACAAAAGGAGGGGAGGGCCCTTGGGATCAGGCGAGCTGGGTTCGAGCACGCGGGGTATGGAGGATGGTGTTTCGTATTTGTGGTAAGGGGTGGATCTTCCGCGGTAAAGATCAGTCGAAGGTAGTGTCTCCTCCTCTATGGGCGGGTATTCGCGACACAGCGTTTCGATGAGCTGTCGAGAACTCTGTCAGAGGGGATGGCAGAGAAGAGAGTGAAGCCCGCTGAGCTCACTATTTGAACAGGGGGTTTTAGGCATTGCTTTACGCCCTCTTCGTAGGGCGGAGCGACCTCAGTCTCAGGAGCTTCAAGGCTTTGAGGGATGAGTTCCGAGATGGAGCCGGACATAGGAAGAATGACGGGTGTGATGTACCGTCACTAGCCGAGCGCTGCCATCTACTTATCCTTTCGCTCGTCCAATGGCTTACTTAAAGTTCATTTGCTGACTCAACTCTCTTTCCTCGGCTCATCAGTGTCACCGTTCCACTGCCCATGGCAGGGTTTGGTCAACACCTCGTTGAGTCAAGCATCATTCCCGATTGTCTCGGCCTCGGCCAGACTTGTATCTAAGACTTGATTCCATACATGACGTTTCAGTGTACATTTGGGTCAGTTTAGGTTGGCGGTGCTTGGAGTCATACGCCACATTCAAGAGTAAAAGGTTCGACGAACTAATATTCGGGATCATAGCAGTTTACTCAGGGGCCCGAATGGCGCTTTGCGCCCCACTGTGCACCAGCAGAGACCAGCAGGTATGTACTGTCTGTGTGCCGTCGCCACGGCGACTAGTTACGGATGAACATCCCTCGCATACATACAGCTACATGAGCTTGCTCAGAGCGCTGAACGCGTGTCGAAAATTAAATCGAAATTCACCAGAGAGCCAGCAGTGGAGAGTGTGTTTCAGTTCCAGTGAGAACTTACAGGTTTCAGAGGGTTTCAGGGGGTTTCGTTTGGGCGAAACCGCCTGAAACCCTGAGAAACCGCTTGTTACCGTCATATTGGTAAGAGAAACCGTATGAAACTTTTGAACAGTTTCATACGGTTTCGGACGGTTGCGTGGAGGTTTCGGACGGTTTCGGATGATTTGGGGATCGGTTTTGAGCAGTTTCGCGTGGTTTAGAATGAGATAACACTGAATTACCGTATACAGTACACTAGAAAACACACTATGTCTACGTGCGTTCATGGGCCGCTCCACAGTGCGTCGAGCACCAGCGCCCCTTCCGCACCCGCTCGCGTCCCTGCGAGGCTCCTCTAGCGGTGGCATGTCGTCCTCCGACTAGTAATCGTACGCTGGCATTGGTGCGAGACACTTGCATTAGCGAGAAGCGTGCAGATGAACTGTGGTGTGTGTGCGGGGTCCCGGTCAGCTCGCAGAGTCGCATGTCGCACTGACGGCGAGGAAGAGGGGGAGGACACACCCTATACTCGTCCAGGAGCGCCCACTCCACCCGGCGGGTCTTCATTGAACGGGGTGCCCTGTGTGAGCCTGACGAGAGAGACTGGTCAGCACACGTCCGGTTGGCGCTCGGACGGACACACAGCAAAGACGATCATGCCGGCGTTCCGGCTGTTGACAAGGTTCGAGAGTGTGGGGAGCGCATCGTGCACGTACGGCCACTTCTAGCGCAAGGTATACCGGGGTACCACAAACATCTTCATCCGGATGGCATCGGCAGCGAGCGATGCGGGACCGCGTGGCGAGATTGGGATACTCGCGAACGTCCTGTTCATTGAAAAGTCAACGACCGCAGCCCAGGCGGAGTGGTCGTCCCACTTGATCTAGCAGTGAATCTCACGTTAGTCAGCCGGGCGGGCACACAGAGCAACGGGCACGTACGTACAGATCACCTGCAAGCCTTTGTCAAGCACGATGTCTGTGCTGCGCCTAGAAGAGCACTTGGTGTCCGCGTTCGCGGCGTTGCAAGGCCAATTGGTGACTAGCAATAAGTCGCTCAAGGGAGACGCATACAAGCAGGTAGGGAAGTTACAATGCTGAGTATATGCAGTGAGGAACTTCACTCACAGTAGGTGAATGGTGTGAGGGCCACAGCACGGGGAGAGCGCGGGCGATGCTCGCAAGATGTCGCAGCAGGCGGAGGCAGCGGGGG